TTTTTCCTGAATGATAATTAATCTCGATTTCATGTTATATAATTTCTTTTGTTTTTAAATGAACTATTACAACAGCAAATAAGTTGACTTTTCATTTGGTAATAGATATATTTCCACATCTTTAAAAAATGATCTCAGTGTCAGGTCCATGATCATAAATTCTTAAACAAGTATCTTTTCCATGCCTCTTTATGGCATTCTTTGCCACAAAGCTATAAAGTCATCTTTTCTTTATTTCTTAAAAGCTATTTTATATAATTTTATACCGTTTACCTTGAACTAACCCGGAATTGTCAATGAACTTCTACTATATTTCTATGTAGGGCGAAGCATTTTCTGCCCTATGCAGATTACGCATGCGTGAGAAAATTCTAATTCCGGTCGATTTTTCATAGCATCGGACCGCGTCGTAAAAAAGTCTATACAAGTAAACTTACATCTCGTCGTTAATCAGACTGAAAGTATTTTTGGAAAATGACAAATTTATACAAAACGTGAGTAACATAATATATGAAATAACTACAGCACAGCTGTGGTCTTTTGTTCATTCCAATAATTATATACAGCAGTTTAAAGAACTAAAATATAATTATACGTTTCTACATTTGACTGATTATAATTTTATTGGAAGTTCAAATTTCTGTAATATGTAAAACTTAATTTTGTATGTACCTGTAAATTTTTTGCGTTTATCAAGATTTAATACATAGAGGGTTTCTATTTTTTTCTATAAATACAGGATTTATTTTCATCGAGTGGTATGAAAATAAATGTTTAATGAGTTGCAATAGCCACGAATGAAGCATAATAATTTTTATATCACAAGATGAAAATAAATCCTGTATTTATAGAAAAAAACTTGAATTTTCTGTTTATTATATAAATACATTACAGACTTCCACTTAAATTTTATGTATTAGCTAAATGTAGAAGAAAGTAGTCCGGCAAGACAACAGTGAAATTACGGAAAATATGTATCACTTCAGTGAAGAATAAATTTTTACAGTGAAACTACGGAAAAAATAAGAATGTGCATTTGTTCATCAATATTTCTTTTATAAGCATCTTATAAATACTAATGCTTTAAAAATTATGGAAATTATTTAGAATTTTGTCTTAAAATCTCTTAAATTACATCTACAGTACCAAGCACAACTTCGGCACAACCATTTCTGTCCGCTAACTGTTTCAACATAATTTACACACCTCCTGTGATACCATTTGACTTTACAGAATTTGTTGTCACATTTAACTTGGTCACCAACAATATCAGATAATTTGCAAATACAGAATATGTACAGAAATAACAGTCTTAAATTGAATAGAATTTACTAAAATCCAATTAACATAGCATCGGCTTGAGGGGTACTCAATTCTCAACATTTGATAGTGCTGGCATCAATGATCCCGAAGGACCAGAAAAATATAACAACACTGAAGTGAAGTACGGTGCAACTTTTTACAGCTGCCACACAGCAATTAACACATGCTGTTGTGAAGTATAAAAATCTGGAAACAAAGTTTCCAAAGTCGCATTTCGTAAATACAATAATTATATTTGCAAAATTTAAAAGTTATGCATTGCTAATAGTTTTTGTGTTCCAATTTGTGTTTTTCAAATGAAGGTCCAATCAAATTTGACATTATTGCACTAAAACCTAGTGTTCAAGACAGCAAAATCGTCCCTTGACAAAGCTTGCTACCGTACACATTGAAGCAAAATAGCAACTGTATTTAAGTTTTGCTTTCAGAGGCATGTTTTATCAATCGATTGAATTGTTACGCTGGTTGTATTCATGTCATATAATCATATAACCGTTTTGCCTCATGTCGATAAATTTATGGTTTTTTATGTAAATATTTAAGTTTCCCAACGATTATGAGTAACATTTCCACACGCAGACTCCATGTCTTATGCACTTTGTTGTCTTTAATTGAAAAATTGTGTTTCAACACTGCATCATGATATATGAAATATATGGCCACTAATTAAGTTAAATACACATTATTTTACGGTATTGCTTTCAATATGTCAATGAATACGAATTTCAAAGCGTTTGCTACTTCATGTTGAGAAGCTTCTGAATCACTTGACTAGCACCGATTGCAAATTAATAACTAACTGGAAAGTAATTGGTAACAATATTTGATAATATTCTTTGAGTAACTGAGGCTAAGGTGTCATTAACAAACGAATATGCCCGTGTTACTTTAGTTTATAAATCGTTTCCCTTTTATTCAAACGAAAACTTGGAGAACTGTCGGTATATGTGCAATGAATTTGTCTAAGGTAGCTACTGATTTACTGTTACAAAATTATGACGACATTGTCTAGTACTCTAGATGTTGACACATCATACATATCCCGTTTCCACGAGTGAATTGGAAAATAAGCTGTCAAAAAGGACAACAATTGTTTTCAAATATTATGAATTTGAATTAAAAGCACATATTGATGAAACAGGCAAGGGTTATAATGGCTTGTAGAAAACAGAAAATCTACAGTTATGTCGCGTATTTCGTTCGTTTGTTTGTTATGTGGTATACTTTGTAATTGTTTGTTCCTTTCTGATCCAAAATATTGCACATACATACAATTGAAAGAAATACACACATGGACTCTAAAACGCCCAAAACGTAAAAGTTGAAAATGTTACAGTCCTGGTTAAATTTTGCAGCACCACTTCCCCGGTACAAAATGTAAAATAGTAGTATCAAGGGCAATGTGACAGCTGTCAAAAAGATGCCGCGTACTTCTCTTCTGTGTTGTTAAATTGTCCTTGTTCCTCGGGATCATTAACTCACATGTAAGTGTTAGCAATTAAGGACCGCTTAAGCCGGTGCTAGGGTGCGTAAAGGATGTTGCACTTTTTCATTATCACTTTTGTACAAACTCATACCGACTATCAATTTCATGTTATTTTGCTGATTTCAATGCTTCCAAGGTATCATGTTTTTCAAAGTATTCATAGATGTACACATGCTTATTATGAAACTGCAAGCATTGAATGTCAGGACTGTTCAGTCAGGAGAAACATTTTTAGCATTGATACCAATAAGGATGTTTTAGTAATTATTTAGCTGACGATGTTTTATGCTTTATAATATTTTTCATTTTAAATGCAATTGTGTATGTAAAACATTTATCTATCAATGCTGAAAATTACTGAAAATTTTGGAAAAGAAAAATTCTTCAAACTACTAATATCATTTGTAACAACATTTGAAATAATCTGAAAGTCACAATTTTATATAAGTATTGTTTGTAACATGTCGGCGACAGTGAAAGATATAGGACAGAGTTGCAGACGAGTTTCATGAGAGGTACGTAAACGCCCCCCCCCCCCCCCAAAGCAGTTTGCAATTTTCAACACTGAATGCTTGTATATATTTATATATACTCGTTGCAGTGGGGCCTTAAAATCAATGCTGGCAAGACTAAAATATGTATTTTTGAGAAAAGAAAAACGCAATGCAATTATAATTGGTATGTTAATGGTGCTAAGCTAGATATCGTTAATTCTTTTTGTTACCTTGGTGTTAAATTTTACTATACCGGCAACATGAAATTTGCTGTTCAGGCTCTAAACGACCAAGCTCTCAGAGCATATAACAATCTTCTTTCAGTTATAAGTAGACTAAATCTTGATATAAAAACACAATTATCACTGTTTGATTCTCTTGTAGTCCCCATACTTCTATATGGCTCAGAAGTATGGGGAGTATATAATTATAAAGAAATTGATAAACTTCATTTTCGTTTTTGCAAGAGAATTCTTGGTGTTAGAACCCAGACATCAAATGCTGCTGTGCTGGGTGAGCTTGGTCGCTTTCCATTGTCTGTATTATGTAAAGAGCGAGCATTGAAACAATGGTTAAAGATAATGAAATGTCCAGGTTCACTTATGTATAACATTTTTTCAGAATTAAAGTCATCAGAAAATCTAAATTCAAATAATTCCTGGACTTTGTCTGTGAAAAAATTGTTAAATAATTTAGGCTATGGATACTTATGGAATGAAACAAATTTTGATAATAACTATATGTCTGTATTAAAGCAAAGGTTACGGGATCAATACGTACAAGAGTGGAGCGAAACAATTGCAAATCAACCGAAACTTAAATTTTACTGTTTGTTCAAGACAGAATTTTCTTTTGAAAAATATTTGACGGTGTTAGATAAAAGTTCCTGTAGACAAACAATGTCTCGATTTAGATTGTCGTCACATAATTTAGAAGTTGAAAATGGTAGATTTGTTGGAATTGATAGAAACGATCGTATCTGTAAAATGTGTAGAACTCATGTTGAAAACGAATATCATTTTTTACTCTGTTGTCCTATTTACAGAGAGTTGCGTAAAAGATATTGTATAAACTATTCCTTTCCTACTCTAAATAAATTTTATTTTCTTTTGTCAAGTAAAAACATAAAAAAAATAAGAAATGTTGGAAAATTTACTTCATGTGCTATGAAATTAAGAGCAGAATTTCTTGCAAATATGGCTGCTCCTTAAAATATCTGTTTAAAGTACTTTCAAGTTATAGAAATATTGTTAAAATAATCGTTTGATGTATATATGTTTTTGTATGTTATATTTATATTGTATATATTTCTGTTGTCTTGGCCATCATGAAAGTTATTGTAAATGGCCAAAGGCATTTTCTCATGCCGATTTAGCCAAAATAAACTGTATAAACTGTTGAAATGTCTGTCTCAGTTAAATTATTTTGTACATTTTGTCGGGTAAATATATTTGATGTTAAGAAATTGCCAATATTGACGGAAAAATCAATAGTGATTTTGGTGTAATTTCTCGAAGCTAATTCATTCCTATCTGACTGATGATCAGCGGAAAAATCAGATAATTATCTTACTCTGCAACTTTTCATTTGTTTAAAATAGCACGAGGAATATTTTGTTTACTTTGCTTTAAATAAAACTGTTATTTTAAAGCGATTCAATATTGAATTGAATGTTTTTTTCATAACGATTTATTGATAATCTAAATGCTTTGTTTATGGTGGATAAGGAATGTGCCAATAATTCAAATAGTAGCTTGTCATGCACACAATGTTGCAACTCTGACATTTGCAATTCGGAAGGATGTGGTGAAGCAGGTATATGTTTTTGATATATAATTTCTTTAAAATTGATTTTTGTTATATAATCTCAGCATAAAAAACCAATCATCAAACTTATTGAACTCATTAAAAATGGCATTTTAATGCTCTTCCAATTATTTCTACTTATGTATCATTTTAGTGATTAGCCTGTCCGTGATCTACTTTTTGCCCTGTCCTGTTTTTGTTTGGGATCCTTATGGTCTCCTTGCCACTGGTTGTTGTTGCTGGGTCGTGTTGGGGTTGCGTTCATTGAACGCCGCCTTTCCTTGTCGATCTTGTTTATCATATTCCAAGCATTCACTTAAAAAATAATAACATCATACACACAAATATCTGTTTTTAACTCACTTACTTTTATTTAAGGTTACCCTGTTTCCAGAGGGCCAATATGCTACAATTGTCCAGTATACAGAGATACATCCACATGCCATGATATTGACTTCTGCAAAATCGGAGAGGTATTCTTTTATTACAATTAGTTTTCACGCCATTCCCTTCTTAAAGTTTATTCAACGGCGGCCTTTTCCATTTTTTGATAAATTATTACGGTAGTGGTATTCATTATTCAGTTATCATTCACTTATCAAGGAACAGCATCCTCTTAACGTATGTCTTTATACCGGTTCAACAAAAACTGGACAAAAAGCTTTTAATAACCATTAACTTTGCTGGCGACAACAGATTTTACCCATGCTTTAATGACGATTGACATGGGTTACACTGTCAGCTATTCAGTAGGTACATTTCTTTTAGTATTAGTATTCGGTTTAAAGAACTACATGTTTTAACTTAAGTTAAACAAATCTTGTGAGTGGTTTACTTAAAAGCAGAACTGTAATAGGCATATAGTGTTAATGTTATTGCTTTTGACAGGTATGCATGTTCCAGGAAACGAGGGAATTTGGAGATAGAGTTCTGAATGCTAAATGTGCCAATCCACATGTAAGAAATGACTTCATAGAATGTTTGTACTCATACATAATTGTTTAAATTTATGTTATACGATTTCTATAATGGTATGCTTATTAACAATTTTCCTAATCTTGTTTTACTTATAATTTTTGAACGTGTAAAAAAGCAAAATAATGTTAGATGTGTGGTGCACATGTTCACCCGTTATTGACTGGATGCTTATGTGCGTTTATGAAAGTTAGAGTTATTATTAATTAATTAACAACAGCTAATTATAAAGTTATTTGTTTATGTACAAGACGCTCTAGCCTGCTAGTAAACGTTATAATTTAGTATGCAACCTTTTTGTTATTTGTTATATCGGATTTGGATAACAGTTATACACCAAAAGCACATAGCTATGTAATTTCTGTCTTTATTATATAGTGCACATTTTTATATAAGGTACAAACCTTTCGCGAGATGTTGTCGTTGTTGTTGTTGTTTTTAATCGATGTTGTATTTCATATAAACACTTTGTTTTTAATCATTGAATTGATAACAGTAAAATGTTGCTTTATAAAATTGTCTGTAAAAGATGTTTATTTTGATAAGGAATTTGACAATTAATATAAAGCTTATTGTATGGGCTTATAATAATTTGAAGATTTGCTCGAGAACAGCCGGGGCGAGTATAATTGGAAGGAGAGCAGAAAGCAAACAAATTGATGCTCGTACATCGGAACAGCATGTTTGTAACGCATGCTGCAAGTGTGATCTTTGCAACAAAAACTGCCGGGTCGCACACAATGAAAGTGATAATTCAGGTCAGTACTACATGCATTATCATTTATTTTATAACCTATACAGGTTAAGTCTATGTATTTTGTTACATAATCTAACGACAAATAAATAGGTTAATCATGATCACAAGAACGTTCCATAATTACTTTAATAACTAAGGCATAATAAATATTTGATAACCTAAAACCGCAAATTTTGAATATTACTCTCTGTAATTATCTCCTTTTTTTAGAAATATCCCAAATTTCAATAATTATTATAATAGTAATAATTATTGTGATTATTATTCTACTTAATTAAAATGCTGAATACGATCAACGTGTGTTTGTTTTGAACTGTGATCTAATCACAAGAAGTTGCTAAAACTCGTCATCAACATCATTTAAAAAAGGACGCGCTGTTTAATTTACCATAATTGGCGACGCCGTAGAGCGGCCTCCTCTCTTATGGAATGCTTTTTATTTTGGCCTATGGAAGGGGCTGTTATTATTAGCAGTGAATGCAACATTGTGTTAATTAATTTTATTTTGATTAGTAAAAATCAAGTATATGTTGTTATATTTGTATTTAATAACTTTATGTAAAAGCATGTGCATTGTGATATTATTTTCACGAAATTACAGGCTCAGTTTAACAGCTTGTTGTCTTAATGTTTCATTGGTGAGCAATGAATTCCTGTGGAGAAGAGTTTAAGAAAATTGTGTGCACCCAAACGAGATGTTAACTTAACCATTGAATTCAAATATGTCCTTAGGCTGTGTTAATTGAAAATGGTCCTTCTGTGTCTTCTTTATATAATACCTTAAAGAAAACATATTAAATATCTTACGTGTACCTTCGAAAGATTTATAGTACATTTAATCATTAGGATAATAAGTTTAATTTATGTGTGAAATATCACTTTTTTGCAGTTGAGACGACACATACAGCATCTGTTCCAAGTACAGACACTACCACTGCAACGACTAGAACATCACTACGAACAAATGCAACGATAAATAACGTGTCAGAATCGACGACAGGTTCTAGTCTACAAACTACGTACCCTATTATACAGACAACCGTAATAAATGGAAACAGAATTCTTGCTATTTTTGGATCTGACATGGTACAATACATTCGTTTCAATATAACGCGGGTCGTTCGGGGCCAAGATTGGGAATACAAAGACCAGGTTTGGACATTTTTGTACAGTATTTTAGCAGTTCTTATCTTAAGCTTATCCATTGTTTCGTTCCTAAATGTATTTAGAATAACATTGAACATTTTAAAAAAAAGTTCATAATAAGACAAATGGGAATTACAGTTTGTATGGTTTATTGTGGTTTTTACGTCGGTGTCAGCAAAACATTTGTTTGTGAACGTGCGAAACCAACCTGCTTTCGGCATAGCTTACCAGTAATTACAGATCTCTAACGACAACATTTCCGACATGACACAATATTTAACTGTGAAAGAAATTTACAAAGAGACTTGTATCTGAGGATTGAACCAAATTATCATATAACTGTAAATTTAGTAATATTATCATTGATTTTGTAAGATGGTGTTGTTTTCAATGGTGTATAACACTGCATACAATGAAATCTTTCATTGCCTTACTTTATTTAATAACATGTTTAATTTTCTCATTCATTTTAAACAAAAGGATATATAATCTGGTGTATTATTTATTCGTAAGAAAGTCCTGAAGACTGTAAAATTTAATGACTTTATTTTAGTATTTACACTTTCAGACAAGATTAATGATATTAGTTTTTTTGTATTTTTTTTAAAAGGACTCACATGGACAAGGAACCGTTCTTCGGCAATATAGTCTTCCAATGTGGGTCTGGGTTAAGTGGGACAATGGGAACGAGAACTCTTATAGAGTTGGCGCGGCTGGAAAATACGACCTTTATATCGTTTCGATTTGAAGAATATATGTTTATAACAAGAGCGAGTCAGAATGAATGATGCAAACTATGGTTTTTGTTTTTCAACTTAATTTGAATAATTATATAGACACTTTATGATACTTGCAGCAGATTTCCTCTAGAATGAAAGTTCATTACAGTTGCAATTTACGCCTTACAAGTATCTATGTTTCTTAAAATCATAATCTTAATGTAGCTTCAAATTTGTATTCTCTAAGAACATTGATTCTGTCGATTGTTGTTAAATATTAAAAAGTTTATGGAAAAAATTATGCTGATTGTTTTTGGTATTATATGCCACAACAAGCTTCTAAAATGTTTTATGCAAGTTTGAAATACACGATCCTATACTACATGTCTATATATTATCACGGATAATAAAGTTCTACGAAGAAACTTTTTATGCTGCATACAAATGCTCTTACAAAATCACTTAAAATATCTCACTGTCACGACATTTCTTTATCAAGAAATAGCTTATATGAATATATTTATGATACATTTCTGTAGTTTTCTTTTATGTTTGAAATACCAATGAAAAAAAATGCTCATTGAAGTCCAAGCAACTTTAATAGAATTTGTTTCCAACGAATATGCATTAAAACATCACGATTCCCGTTTGGTGTATGTTTAAGAACCGTTGTTGCTGTTGTGTTTTATGAACGTCGTTATTCGTTATTTTCATAACTTAACACCGCTTGTTTTAATAAATATATATATATACATGCAATTGTTAAGCATTCATTGATACAATTCGAAATCATTTGTTGAAAGCCCATTAACCCGTTAAACCATAAAATATGCTATATATTCAAATTTAAGGAATTATATTTCAAGGAAAATTTAGGCATTAGTATGGGTGTTAAAATAATTGAGCAACACCATTTTAATTATTCATGTTTGTTTTGAACAATAGGTTTCCTTAATCGCCACTTTTGAATAAATTCGACAAAATGTCTGAGAAATTTTGGGTTTGTGTTGTGTTGAAAAACAAAAATGGAGACAATGTCTTCAACTTTTATACAATTTGTATACCTCCAATCTCTTTATTATAAATGTAAAATAGTGCACCCATAATCAATATCATTATACGAACGTTATTTCTTGTTCTTGAAAAATAAATGAGAACACAAAACATGTCTGATGCACTTAAATAAATATATAAATTGAACGAATTATTCGTTTACAAACAGAAATAAGTGGAAAACCTGGAAAAATACCGAATCAGTAAAAGCCCGTGTGTTTGTACATGTATTATAATTCAAACGTTTGTAAAGTTAACAACTGTAAAAAATGTACACAAGATACGGGTAACTCCGGTCGTATCTTCACAACCCATTCCGTCAAACGTCGCAAGCAAGAAGTTCATTCTTATAAACTATTTTTTATAATTTTAGAAACCCAAAGTATAAAAGTTCTTCCTGTTGTTAATATTATGGATTTGGTATTTGATTGTATTAATCTGTCAATCATGTATATATTAAAACATTCATTTCAATATTCGACCCCGTGTTATTTACAAATTTTCATATGAAATAAGCTTTATATGTTTTTAAAAATCAAACAAGCTTAAAATACAAGTCGTTAATACAGCCAAAATAACACTGCCAGGTTTGTTTGTCAGTTTGTTTGTTTTTGGGTTTTACGTCACATCGACACAGTATAAGTCATATTGCGACGTTCCAGCTTTACTGGTGGAGGAAAACCTCAAGTGCCCTTCCGTGCATTATTTCAGGCACGAACGGGTACCTGAGTAGAACCACCGACGTTCCGTAAGCTAGCTGGATAGCTTTCTCACATGAAAGAATCCAAAGTCCTTGTCGGGATTCGAACCCACAGAGGTGAGGGGCAAGTGGTTTGAAGTCAACGACCTTAAGCACTCGGCCACGGACGTACACTGCCAGGTACTTGATAGCTTGATATAAGAAAATTCTATGGTTTGAGGGCTTGGAATTTGAACTGCGTCGTATCAAACAATTTGTAAACTCTGAAACGAGTATTCAATTGAATTAAAGAAAAAACGATTGATAAAGCAATATAACGGTGTCGAATCCACATTACTTCATAAACTTTCAGGCCCGCTTCGAGTTTCAAGTTCGCTATAAATTGTGTTTTACCAAACAATTTTGCTAGAAACATATCCATATATGTTCATATATATGAAGCGGAAAATTCTGAAGCGTGTTTATACATATATCTGGTTTCCAGTATTTTCCAACAAAAAGAATAACAAAAACACCTTTTTCATTCCAAGATGGCGCCGTTTGTTAACAAAATTGTAGGTAACGACGGGCATTATGAATCTTATTTTATTGTAACAGTTATTATCTTTCTTTATTTAAGAAGAATATTTTTATGGCAATGGCGGGTAGCTGGCAAAAGATTAGACTCGGATGTGAAGCAACTTAGAAACAATGTGTTGTCTCGTTTCGTATTGTGTTTTACCAAATTAAAATCAAAATTATTGATTTCTTCCGATCGGATTCTAGACATTTATTCTTGAACGGTGTTATTTGAATAAGGTAAGACTTTACAAAAATAAGTGCAAAACATATTAAACATCAACGAAAAAAAAACAAAAAAACAACAGCAATTATAGTTTCAATAAAACGAAAATTCAAGGACCTACGCGGTCTCAATCTTATATGACTTAAATCATATATTAATTACAAACCCGTAGTTTAATGTTCAATATCAAAATTTCATTGACACAAATTAGATCTACACAAATCGTATACCCACATTTCACGAACCTTACCGGAAAATCAAAGATTAATACATTGTGTGCATTGACCGTACTAATCAGGATGAGATGTTTACGCATTAAACAAATATTAACAGTCGTTGCTGAAACGAGTAGTATAACTACTTTAAATCATTATTAACTGTGAAATTATTATGGATAATCGTAAGTTTATTGTGTCACGATTGCGAAAACTTCTTTACAGATAAGGTAACAAAAAGAGAGTTGCGTCCCTTTTGCTTATCTTAACCTACACATACTTTGTTGACCAATTTGATGTATTCAATGTAGGGCATTTATGTTATCTGAATGCTTATACCTGACAAGGTGTATATTAACTTACAATATTATACTAAACATGAAAGTGCTGATTAATATTATTGTGATTTCATCGGTACTGAGTGGTAAGTGTTACATAACATATTATGTTGACCCATTTATTAATATGTAAAAAAGATATTAAAACCCAGTTTATTTCAAATAAATGATAAACACTTTTGTGTTCGTATGTTTTGTTAGTATGTTGTGTTTGGTTTAACGGCGAACCAATACACTTTACGTCATATGACGCCAAGCAAGAATAATTATTTTGGCTAACTTAAAGCAACACAAGGGAGCAAAGCTTCTCCACCTGCTGGATATAAGAGTTGCATAGACTTCAGTGATTCGAACCCATTTACTCACCTCTTACAATTCAACCTGTTTAAAACCGTGGCTCTAATTGTGATATATCAATACTAAAACGCAACCCATCACCCAAGGGGGTTAAACACTTTAATAAGAAGGCAAGATAACAGTTTTGATATTGTAAAAATTATGAAATAAGTGAACACATTTATTTTGTTGCATAAAACTTGCTTCGTACTACAAACGTCTACAGTAACTTAATAACAGGGACTAGATCGTTTGTTTCAGTGGCATCTGCATTGTACTGTCTTTCATGCAAAGGTATAGCTGAGGCCAGAAATTGTGCAGATATTGAGAAATGTTCAGATGGACAGGTATTGTGTTTGTATAATACTATATCAAATTCAACATAAGTTAGGTCCTATTTGCTAAGTTTTCCAAGTTCATCAATTTGTTTCGCCTTTATTTAACTTATCATTAACTAATTCTGTTTCAGTTTGTTCCCTTTTTATTCTTTTTTTAATTGCATGTTTGTTTTATTATCTGATTGGCGTTGATTGTCATGTAAATTGTTGAGTATTATTGATTATACCTGGCTGCATTTTTGTTGTAAAACATCTTGAAATCTTTTGTAATGATTCACACGTTGCATTGGAGTTATTCTTTTGTTTTATGAATTGTGGCTGCAGGTATGTTACAGTACACAGATGATTTCACCAAAAGGGATAATCTTTCGAAATATGGGCTGTCGCGACGTAGCGGTAAGCGATGTTTGTGTCTGCCATTTTACAAATCACATGAATGTGTATCTATACACAATATCTAATCATTAATTAGTCACTTTACTTCTCGGTACTGTAAAGCCAGTATATTTTTGTGGGTTTCCACTCAGTCGGCTTATCATGGTATATAACTGCCTTAAGTAGTTTTACTATTTGTTACGACTGCAAAGCCTCATAATTACCACTGTAACAATCAAATGTCCAAAAACCTTTGACGTAATAATTGGTATAATTTGTATTCTGAATCTGAATTGTTTTCGTGCAATATGAAAGTTATAACGAATCTTTAGAAGTTATTCTATCAGTTAACAGATGATCAGACTGAAAAAAAAAATAAATTACAGCCAATTGGACTGTGAATGGGTATAATCCACAACATTCAATTTGTACATCTGTAAACGTCTTCCAGATGTGTAAACATGGAGTCATTGTTGGAAAGAGAAACATATACAATCGTGAAAGTATGGTTAATGTCGACAAGTTCGATGAATCTCTAGAAGCTGCAAGCAACCAGGCCAAAATGGCAGAAGTGCGGTCTATTTGATAAAGTGATATGTGACGAATGTTGGCAATTCAGATCTTTGTCAGACCATCCATTATGTTCTTGACAAAGGTTAAAACGCTAGCAACATGTCTAAGTGGTAAAATTAAGAAAATATGTAGGGTATCTCCTCTTTTTTTTCCTTTTTTTTTTCAATGTCTAATAAAGTTAGCTTGGTAATTACTATTTCGAAACGTTTTTCAGGACACAGCGTGTTACCATAAGAATTAATAGATTCAAATAGACTAAGTACCCCAATAATGCTGGGGACTGTGACCAGTTATATGTTATTTCGGTTTTGGAGTGATTTATCATTTTCTCTATTTGGTAAATTGTTGTTCTTTGACAGTTAAAAAGTGCTTGTTTATCAGAAATTACACTGCGCTGCATCGAACGTACGCGCATCGTCACAGCAGCTCATGTTGTGTACAACGTGTGGTAATAAAAAGAGGGAAATTTAATGTGTTTTAATACCGGTATTGCTCGCTTATAGCAATATCTCCCGGCGCATAATTATCCGTTTAAAAAAACTGGAAGGGTTATAAACTAAAATATTGTTTGCTTTCTGTAAGATGTTGATTTTACTATTTGAAGATTTAACTGAAAATAAATCTCAAATGCCTAAATCTCTTAAATTAAGTCCCTGCCTCAAAAAACCATTTTCCTGCTTTATACATGCAAAAGTCTTAAATTTCTTAAACCCTTACCTTCATATATACGCGAAATAACGCCACTTTCGACCCCCCCCCCCTTTAGGAAAAAAATGACCTATTTGGGCCCCAAACACAAGTTTTCGTTAGAGAAATGTTGCTAAAAAAAGTGAGCACTTTTTCGTCGCCGCCCCCACATCCCCCCCAATCCAAAAGATGCATCAGGGGGTTGCCAGAAGGGGGATGTGCCCCCTTCTGTTTGGGGGGTTTGAAAGGGGGCGGAGGGGAAAGGATTAAAATCAAATTATCACAATGCAAATTTATCTTTAATACATTTAACATTATTCATGTCATATTGAAGCCAGTCCTCGTTTTTCTTTGATCATATACGATTTTTTATTAATTTGATTGGTCCAGAGAATCTTGATTTAAACTCCATTGTGATTAAGTGAGTCCAATCATTAACTTCCTTAAAAGCAAAGTGAACGTTAACTGTAGCGATATCAAGAAAAAATACATATTTGAAGGAAAAAGGGGAATATTTTGCCACCTATCTATTTTGCAGGTGCCTCTCAACTTGGACCAGCTTATGTTTTCAATTGTGACGCCCAATCACCAATCTGATCTTGCATTGAAAATCCGACAGGTCTGTGGACGCTGATGAGGTAAATGTCCGGGAACAAAGTCGTAGTTCATTTCATAAAATTCGGCACTGATTTGTTGCTTTTAAATGCATTTACACTGTTCACTTGTGACGTATATGACGCTGGTGACGAAGCGTATTTTTGTAAAATTAAATTTTAACACCTGATTACTTTTTTATGCATTACAACATGCGATGGCTTTCACATAGTTGGGGGGAAAAACCCGGCTGTTTATTATAGAACATATTGTCATATTAAACACGTTTGTTTTGACGTAACTTAAATGTTTCATAACAAAAGACCAAATTGAACAAAAAACTGGACAAAAAGTTATCCCCTTTGAAAGCAATAATCACAACAAAAATTCACACGGAGAATTGCAATATACTCGGTTTGATTGAGTCTGTATTTGAGTAATGATAAAATTGCAAAAGATCCCTAACACCCCCCCCCCCCCCCCCCACATCCGTTAAGTCCAAAAGGTGGGGTAATATGCAGTGTATTATTGCCTTGCTTTTGGTTAAGTGATTTCTATATCAGAAGCAAACTACAGATGTTAGAGTTGTCAAGAAGGTTATTCATTGTTTGGTTGTTTGTTGTAGCTGCTCTCAAGGGTTGATCGCACAACAAAATTGCAGTCGCTTTTTTTTTTTTTCCTGTTATTATTTCAATCTGTTATTTTCAGTCATGTTATCAAAGTTTCTCCACACATCACACATCAGGAACACTGCTTAGAAGGGGATGCGTTTTTACGAGGCGGTAAGTAAAATTCTAAGTATGAAATTTAGCAAATCTAGGTGGGATTGATCTTACACATAGGTAACATTTCAACGGTACGTTTCTAGCATAAATTGTTCATATAAGCATTGCATTATTTTCTAACAACCTAGCTTTATAATATGGTGGCTTTTTTGTGCAATGCTGTAATTTCGCCACGCTTGGGTGCCAGGCGAATCACGTAAGTATATCATAATATGAACGACAATATCAACAAGGAAGGGCAGCTTTCAATGAACGCAACTCCTGCACGACATAAGAACTAAGGATAACCAACAAGGATCCCAGTTAAAAAAGAGTTTCAAAATATCATAATTATTTTCAGACGTGTTGTCATTTCCATATACCTGAGACAACCACGGATGTATGTTGGAGATGCTGTGACAATGATTTATGTAATGCCAATTGTACAAGTATACCTTACAACAACGCACATACAACAAAACGTAAGGACAATACGCATTAGCATCATTATTATCATAGTTATTGCTTCATCAACATAATCAAAATCATTTGTTTGTGTTCTAATCAAGGACAGTTATTATCATTACCACTAACATCATCATTTTTATCATAATAAAGTTAGTTTTCATTTTAATAGTATCTTTGGTAGCTTTTTTCACCATCATTGTAAGCATCATGTTTATTTTTGTAATCTAGACTACTGTGTTTTCTTACTTACTATTATTACTTTCAAGCATTTAAATGTTTTATCACTCAAACGTTTCCTGTGTTTAAACTTGTTTCAAAATAGAATAAAGTCATTTGAAGTAGACTCTATAATAATTATGTCGTTTTATGTTTATTGTAGATAGCTTTTGCTGCATGTATTACGTTTATACAATTTATTAAATTAAATAATCATATCTTTGACATATTTTTGTTCGATGTTTTATGTCGTCTTTATGATTTCACAGGTCCGAAATGTTTCTACATTCTTATTTTATTTCTTAAAATAGTATAACTACGACCTATAAAATGTTAAAGAGAAAAACCAAAACAAACGATAAATAGTTTCAGCCAATGATTTGTAATATTATCTTCAGTTTATCATTTTATTCCGGAGCTTTAAACCACCTATGCTTTCACAGGTCCTTGCGTTGATAGATCATCGTCAGTTACTTGTGAACTTGCTTCAAGCATTGCGTGTAGTGACAAAGATAAGGCAAGTCACGCCGGATGTTCTCATTTTTGCGGATTTTGCTAAAGGAGCTTTGACAATTTATTTTTTGATGAAATTAATTTGTTAAAATTTTGAATATACATCGATAATAAATACTGATGTAAATTAAATGTGTTCTTAAACATTTTGCTATTTAAAAAATAGTATTGATAGCCAGCTATAGGGCGTTCGTGGTCGAGGTGTTAAGGTTACGTGGGTTCAAATTCCGCTGAGACTTCTGGATTTTTGTCATGTAAAAAAGCTATCGGAACGTCGATGTTTCTGAAAGACAATTGTGACTTTGCTTGCTCTTCGGATGGTTGTATTAAAATTTATTTTAATACCATAAAAGTGCACGAATAAGTGTTCATAATGATACATGAATAATATTAATAGGTCCTCTAGACTTTACACGCTTTCTTAGAATCATTGTACTACGTATTTGAAAAAGAATTGTGCGTGCTGATGCAATGCTTGCAGCTGCTAGTGCACAAATGGGCATCTTGGGTATCCCGTTACCATCATAGTAAGAGACCGTTAAAGTGTCGGTATGTCTTCTAAAATAAAAGAAAATACAATGCATTTAAAATAAAAATCGAACTCCCAATAAACACTAGCCCGTTTGTACAAAAATGATTAACTTTTGCAGCCAGTATAAAGCAAGGTCAACATGCACGTCCGTTGTTAACTCGTTTTCTAAATATATCTTTACTCCTTGATTTGACTGTTCTTAAATTTCTGCAGACATTTTCACAAAAAAATCTTACGACAATTTTTTGTCGTAAGAGAAATCTTATGATAAATCTCCTTTTCACAAAACATCTTAAGAAAATCTTAAGTGCAAAATCTGTCGTAACTTTACGATAGGTCTTCGCCGTTCGTAAGTGTAATTTTTTCTCTCTTAAGGGTAAAATATCTTGTATCTATTACCTAAACTGAATAAAAACAAACAAAAAGTTGGAGGACAACTAAATATTAAGCAAACAGTATGCTTTAACATGTTTAAATAACACAAATTGAGGTAGATCTATAATTATTTTTCCAACATATACATTTGTGACGTCATGACTTGATGACGTCACGATGGAGAGGGTTATGAATAGTTTAAAATAATATGAACTATACTGTAGACTAGTATTATTGAAAACTTATAATTTGTACAATTGGTGAGTACGATTTCATTGCCAGCATGTACTAGTGGTACATTTTTATTTATTAATAACATAGTAGACCTTCTTTCTGAATCTTTTAGATATATATAATTATCTTCAATCAAGATATAAATTAGATCAGTTTGAATCATTTTTTGTTCTTATTGAAATTTGATTGTGTTCAATAGATATTTCAAGCTCTTGATTACTTGATTTTAAAACCGGAATCAAATATAGAGTATGCAAATGAACGTTGCTAGGGATGTTTTTGTCGTAAGATTTATCGTAAGTGAATTTTTTATCTTAAGATAAAATTTTAACTAACGAGTGGCTTTGTGAAAATGACTTAAGATTTAACTTACGATTATCGTAAGTGAAAAACTTAAGATAAATCGTAAGATTTTTTGTGAAAATGTCTGCTGCAGTGCATGTCCCCAAAATTTAAATTCAGCAAACTAACGATTGTAATCTTGAGAAACGTTAAAAACAAATTCGGCAAAAATGATAGAGTAACACAAAGTACAATACTTACTTGTTTGTTTATATTTGAATTATATAATTTCAAAAGAATAATACAATGTATTTTCCGACTTGTAAATGAATAACAAATCAATCTTTGAAAAAAGAAAAACATAAACGTAACAAAATAAAGTTAGACATAGAAGCTAATCGTAAATCACCCTAGAGTAATAACTAAGTTCCACCTAATGTTAGTTATTGTACATGCTGAAATACTTTTCGATTTTATCATGATAATATGACCATGGTGTTGTGAGGTCACGCTTAATGTTTAATAATCACCTTATCCCTTCGGCAAAAAAATGATATTTGAAGTTTTATTTTTGACAACTTGTTTGTTCACTGTTATGTACACTTTCTTTTCCGACTGTCATGCACCAAGTTAAGCTAAATCATACTCGAGTGTGAGAAAGCCGCTTTTACCATAACAGGTACATGTGTTGTCTTATATGCATAGTGAGTTGTCCAGGGTTTAAGCAAAGGCAATGTTGATTTCTACTCTCCCCGTGTAAGATTTGTTTTATTCGTTTGTTTGTGTATATCTGTATTTAGTAGTATTTTGGCAGGTTATAATGCCACTTTCCAAATTATGTGAGTGAGGAAGACCTCTGGTACTCGTATGTTAGTGTGCTTTGACACCTGCATGTGTCTTAGTAGAACAACCGACTTTTCTGTTACATAGAATGGAATGTTTCTGGCGGACTCCGATTAGACAGCGGTAAGAGCCCAGTGATAAATTTATAAATGTCAAAGGTTACAGTAAGCGATTATGTACATTACGAATAACATTAGCGGAATTATTGAATCTAAAACATTGATAACTACATTCTTAACAGTTGATTTTTTAATAATTAAATCTGAATTTTGTTTGCTTCTTGCCTATTGATTGACAAACGTTAGATTATTATCATCATGCAGACCTGTCCTTCCATTATATGCTTTCTGAATGATAAAACTTTGTCTGATTTTCAAATGTATGATGTCAATGCTCTGCAGAAAGTACACATAACATTTTAGCCAAACTTGCCTGCCATGTGATCTGCATACTTTCATACTGTTTTAGATAAACGCATCTTCTAATTAGCACGTGCTATTTAATTTTGGCTTGTCTACCGTTAAATCTACTTATTTTCAGGTTATCTGCTTATTATAAGATACTGGCATCATTTCATTTTCTTATTAAAACGTTATCTTTTTACGAAACACTTTTTGTCGAACATGTTATCCGATGAGATGTATTTTGACCTTAAAGTTTCTAGGTGTTTAGCTTTCATATTGCTTTATATAAAAGGTGACTTATAAGCCCAGTAGATCGAGTGAATTTGAGATGTTTTACATGTAACCATAATAAACTGCTGACGCAAGTATCAATAATAGACACATTTCCAATCGTATCTTATCGTATTTGACCTTATCTGATCATTTTAGCGAATTCTTATCGAAAGCTTTGACGATCAATTAAATATGGATTTGCTGTCAATATACTGGCCATCTTGTTTCACATTTACTATGTTTTGCTTTATGGTAAATTAAGTGTCCTTAAAAACAAATGTGGTCTGACATGTAACTGATAACTAAAACGTTTATTTTATTTACATCATGTCATGCATAATTCATTCATTCCATGTAGGTGGTGTAAAGTAATCAAATATTCTGGGACAGTTTTCAAAATGTATTCATACTCTCAACAAAAGCCACAGTAATGTTCACAATTAGCATTTCTCGCATGAGCAAGATCTTGACAAACTATACTAGCCGCAAGCTTACAGGTTGCCTCAGGTGTAGTGTCCTTACATGCAGCTGCAACATTAAACAAACCATTACAGTATTAAGTTATTCAAACATGATATCAAGTTATCTTAAAATAAATGTAAATGTTTTACGTTATTAACTAGCCTTGTACAATGTGGGTTGTATCATTTTCGTGATTATAAACATTCTTATTTTACAGTCGTATTGAAATAAATTAATAGTGTTATGCTATTGGATAATTATAATTATTGTCGGACTGCTGATATCAAGAAATGATTTTTATTATACGCTATCACTTACAAAAGTAAATAAGAACAAATTTATGTAAGGTTGAAGTGGGCCGATAAAATATCCATCCATCCATCCATTCATACATATGTCAAACACGAAAAATCATGAAAAATAAAGTAAATCAATCATCACTAAGTACCACGTGTTGAAAGTTTTGTTAAAAGTTGTCCTGATGGGGTTGTATTAGCCGTTACTTCGTGGACAACGTTGTTACATCCGGTGTTACACACGTCAGCAGTACAACAACTAAAGCATGTGTCATTCGTCTTGTGGAAATTGTTAGCACTAGCTACTCGTTCGCAAATCTTTAAGAAAAGGTCGGTAGATGTTAACATATATACACTAAAATTAACTTGTTTATCTGTCATAGAGCAGTTGTAAACAAATTAATTCACCCTTTATGTACTCTATCCCAATTACAATCAAAGAAATATAGTCCAAGTTTGAAATGCATGTTAAATCAATATGCTTTAATGCCTTGCTTAATCGATCATCTTAATTAATATTCATGGTACTAATATTTGTATATCAATTATCATAATAAAATAATAACATTGATACAACTAAATGCTTTGAATTTTCAGTTAAATTTTAATTAAAGCCACGTGCTTGATGAGCCGAAATATGTTTTAAAAATCAAATTTGAGAAACGTGTACAGGTAATAAGATTTGAGATGCAAGTAATAATTTATATGTTATGTGCGGTTAATGACTGATTTTTTTAGTATTTACAACTATATTTCTTCTGCGTTACTAACGCATTAATTGCAATTTTTTGCATATCTTAATCTATTCGGTAATTTACGCACATTACAAGTGTCATTGATAATGTGTAAATTGCTTCCTTTGGATACTTTACTATAACATACTTTTCAATAGATTTTTAAAATTTTCATGAAAATTAGCATGAATCTGGAGGCGTTCTGCTTTAAAACTGATGCTATTTATTTCGATTCCAGCTGTTACAATTCAAGCCGTCTCGATAAAATGGGTGTTGAAAACATTAAATAGTTGCAATATTAATGCTTATATTATTTTCAGAGATATTTATGCTTAGCCAATTTGTTTTAGATAAACAAATTTTCCCTGGGTAAGCACAAATTGTAACTGTTATGAAGCATGATAAAAAAAGATTGAATTTGTTTTTGATTCTATACCATGGGAGAATGCCATAATGCAAAGACCACTGACTTATCTAATTCTTCTTATCAAATTAGCGGTTAAATCTATTGTTATTCAAATAAAAGATCAGAGTAGGAATCTATCAATGCAGTTGAGTCTAGTGAATGTGGTTGTGAAGGTCATATTTTACATGGCCAACATTTTTATGACTGTACAGCAAAGGACAACGAAGACACTTTGTCAAAATCTAGGCCAGCTGATATCAAAGTTCACATCTTTAGCTGTGCACATAGTTCAACTTTCATAGCTGCACATCAAAGGACAAGAAAGTACATGTAGGTCACATCATAAAAATCTAGGTCACCTAATATCAAAGTTCAATTTTACAACTTAAACTGTGCACATAGTTCAAATTTCATGGCAGTACAACAAAGACAAGAACCTAGGTCACTGTCTCCTTGGTCAAGGTAATGTTTTGACTCAAGGGTTTAATTCAAACAATCTTGATACAGGTCCACCAAAAAAAATTCATGTCAAATATCTAAGCTGTAGCTTTCTCCAATTCAGAAAACATTTGTTTTAAATTTTGTTTTACTATGTGTACATAATGAAAATCAATGCCCCCGGGCAGAGCCAATTTTGACACCAGGGGCAAAATTTGAACAACTTTTGTAGATGACCTATGACCGATATTGTAAAGCAAACATCAAAGTTCTAAGCCTTGTATCTTCAGACAATAAGATTTTTATTTGTTAACAATATGTACATAATGACTTAAAATCAATGACCCCCGGGGCAGGGTCAATTTTGACCCCAGGGCAATAATTTGAACAATCTTGCTAAAGGTTCACTACACAATGTTTCATACAAAATAGCTAACCTCTAGGATTTGTCATTTTTAAAGTTTTTACTATATACATATAAGAAAAACCTATGGCCCCGGGGTAGGGCTGATTTTGACACTAGAGGCAAAATTTGAACAACTTAAGTAGAGTACCTATATATGATATCATATACAAAATATCAAAGCTCTAAGCCTTGTACCTTCAGATAATAAGATTTTCATTTTTGTACTATATGTACATATTGAAAATCAATGACCCCCGGGGTGGGGCCAATTTTGACCCAGGGCTATAATTTGAACAGTCTTGGTAGTGGCTAACTACACAATGTATCATGCAAAATATCAAACCTCTAGCCTTTGTCAATTTCGAGAAGATGATTTTTTTAAAGATTTTGATATATACATAAAAGGAAAACCTATGACCCCGGGGCGGGGATGATTTTGACACTAGATGAAATATTTTAACAACTTTGGTAGAGTACCTCTATATATAATATCATATACCAAATATCAAAGCTATAAGCCTTGTACCTTCTGACATGAAGGTATTTTATTTTTTTACTATATGTACATATAGTAAAAAAAAAACAAAGACCCCCAGGGCGGGGCCAATTTTGACCCCAGGGCTATAATCTGAACAATCTTAGTTGAGGTCTACAAGACAATGCCTTATGCAAAATATTTATGCTCTAGGCCTTTTGGGTATTTACAAGAAGATCTTTTCAATTTATTCTTATAATTCCTTTTTGTTGCCGTGGCAACCAGATTTCTGCATGGAATGAAATTCTTTGAACAACTTTGGAAGCCCTGCCAAGTTTGGTTGAAATTATACTAGTGGTCTTTCAAAAAAAAAAGATATTTTAAGTTCACTATATTATCTATAGAACACACAAGCATACAAACACGCACGCACATACGCACGCACGCGCACACGCACGCACACACACACACAGATGAATCGTTATATGCCACCGCAGCGCAGATGTTTGAGTATTCCAACCTAAACATGAAGCGATATCAACTTAATTTAAAACAGTGCTATAAGGCTACACAAAATATACTTTACTGCCCATATATAATTGTATAACTTTTAATATTATTTTCATATACTTCTCTTAAACATGATTACTCAATAAAACGGAAAACTTGCGAGGCCAAGCGATTAAATATTAGGTTTTAACCCTGCTTTGCAATAAACACTTCATAATAAAGGCTATCGTTTTTATCATTATGTGCATACAATGATTACACTGTACTTTATTTGATGCATATTTTGATATAACAAAGTCATAAATGTTGGTGTTTTTGTATTCAAATGTCAATTTTAGACATAAATTTTTGATAAATACATCCTAGGATAATGTTAACGTGCATTTTCGAGCATACAGCCTCTTTTAAGTCCAATATTTATTCAGTTTGATTGATGGTTGAAAAACTTTATGTTGAAATTATATCATTTGAGTTGATTGAAATTTTATTATACCTGGGTCTGATAAAAATGAAGCAAACAAACAAGAAAATATTCAATTCAACTATTTTAGTTCGACCAAGCTTTGTAGATTTTATGCCTAAATAGTTTTGTGAGAATGAATTGTCTAGTTGAACCATTTAGGTGATTGAAATTTATCCCTTTTTTGTCCCAGTTGGAAGTTTGAAAACAAAAACATAGAGAATACTAATCTTTAAACAAGCAAGTTCAGGTGGGATCAAGTTGTGTCCGTTTGGGATCTGGAAAGATCCCGCTGGATTTATCATTTATAGGTGATGCCGATGTTGATTCAGATTTTGGATTCTTGAAAATCCCACTTTATGAACTTTATCAATTAACATTCCGTGGATCTCTAACATGATCTTATCGGAATCTCATAAATGGTTTTCACTTTGATTAGACATATGAACAAACTGAAAACCTATTATACTTTTCTTTTCATTTTTACATTTAGAGGTGTATGTAAATATCTGTTGCTTATGCAAAACGAAATAATTGTACATGTTATACCCTATAATGTTATAGTTGTCCCTGGTGTGATAGGATTATAACATTTCAAATAACAATAATTGTTTTATCTTTGGGTTACATCCCCCCTAGCATAATAGTGAATTTATATAGATTTTTTAAAGATAACCATTGACATTTTAAAAAACACGATGAAGTTGCTTTTTATTCTCGTAGGAAATAGGGAGGGGGGGGTGGTAAATGCAAATAAAGTCATATTTTAGATGAATGTTTCTTATATAACATTCTAAAACATTTAAGACAATTTTAACGCTTTGTCAAATTTAATAGACATATTTAAACGTAAGAGAAAAAATATTGCGAAAATCCATTTGGAGAAAATGCAAGTTTTTAAAAAATAATGAGTTCCAGCCATCGGGAATAATTTCCATCAAAATGCGGCATGGGTTCATATTCCAAAAGAAAAACCATTTTACATATAGCCCGGTGAAAACACAATAATGTAAATTATAAAATGTTTTCTCAAAAATTTGATTTTTTAAATAGGATTATAGTTGAAATGAATACTAAACGTTTTGACATGCAGCTTGATTGTAAAAGGTCATGACTTCCGGCAGCAAAGCTGAGAGTGCATGCCTTAATTCATAAAAATACAACATATTAAAATATCTTCTACTACAAAATGATTAAATTGAACATAAAACTATGGGAGGGATAATTTTTACCAAAAAAAACTAAACCAAAATAAGGGATTTCGGGTTTACTATTGTAAATAGTTTTTTTTCCCTGTTCCCTTTCCCGGGGAATTTTTTGGGGGGTTTGGGGAAATTAAATATTTTCGTTATTTTAAACTTCGAACAGAAAAACAATATTAAAACTAAGTTAGCCTGATAAATATATGTAATGTATTGTGTTTACACTACATAGTCAGTTTTAGTTAGCGCAATACTTATTTGGTAAAGCTACAGTCTCAATTACATCCCGGTAGAGCTCCGGCAGAGCCCCGGTACGTTACACGTCCGGGGTGATCCGTGAAACGACAGGGGTACGACCGGGAACAAAAGGGGTTCATCCGTAACTCTGTCGGCAACGTCCTGGATGATCCGGGAACATCCGACATTCGACCCCGAATGAGATAAAAATATTTAACTATAACCGGGGTGGTCCGGGAATGATCCGGGGAAGTATTAAGTTTTACCGGCTTTATCCCTAAAAGCTCCGCCGGAACGACCGAGGGCTTACACCGTAGCTCTTTGCCGGAACAAAACCGGGGTAATCCGGGGTATTGATATAAGCCGGTAGAGCTACCGGTAGAGCCCAGGTGAATGCTGGCAAGAGCCCGGTGAATGCTGGCAGAGCCCCGGTGAATGCCGGCAGAAAAGCCCGGCATAGGCCCCGGAGGATGCCGGCATCGAGCTCCGGAGGATGAACGGTGGAGCTAACGGTTGATCCCGGTAGAGCCCCGGCAAAGCACGGCTTCATTTAACATAAAGAATTCACGACAATTTTGCGATGATTGCACTTGTTTTTTTATTAAAACCCTTCCTATTTCCCTTCTATTCAGTTTTGCATAAGGATTTTTCAGAAAATCATCATGAATTACTACTATTCTGGAACAATAGATATTATATTAAATAAAGTTTATGTATCAATGTAATCATATTCGCGCGTTTTCAATCCAACGGGGTTCTACTGGGGCTCTGCCTGGATCGTCCTGGGCTCTGCCGGGGCTCTGCCTGGATCGAACGGGGCTCTGCCTAGGTCAACCGGGACTCTTCCGGTGTCATCCAGGAACGATCGAGGGAGCACCGGCATGTACTGTAGCTTTACCTGGGCTCTGCCTGAATGATCCGGAGCGCATCCTGGGTGGTAAGTTGGGAATAACCGTAGTGCTGCTGGGGTTAGTGTGACCGCAACAATAATTTCATCCCGGATTGTCCCGGATCATCCCGATAAGTTACCGAGATGGTCCTGGGCTCTGCCGGGAGTAAGTGAGACCGCAGCTTAAACTCTTTGCAATAATATGCCACAATAGTAGGGCCATATGAAAAACGATTTAAGAACAAGAAACAAGAACAATATATTTTCTACATAAATGTTAAACACATGATGATTTCACATTAGTGACCTTGGTCTTGTTTTATTTTTTTTTCTGAATTTAAAGCAATATAATTGAATATTGTGCTTGTAATTGTGGTGAATAATCTACATGTAATTGTGGAACACTGATTGCTAGACGTTATACTTACGTCACCTCGAGCGCATTCCTGAACACTCGTACACGGACTGTTCCGAGTCTGATGGTCACAATTGAAGCATATCGGTCCTCTATCCGTCCTATAATCTAAGACACATATCTATATGCATACGTGCATGCTAAAATATATGTTACATAAATATAAAGGTATGTCAACTTCAGTTCTTGAATAGTTCAATGTTTAATTGAATGTCTTGAATGCTAATGACAAAGCTGCATATCGTTTGTTCTTTCTACAACCTTTTGCAATGCTAATTCGTTTTCGGGTCCACTTGGTTAGGGTTTATTGTGGAACAAACTACTAGTAAAACAGGTTTTGAAGTGATCTTTATTTGATAAAATCTTTATTCTTTATTCATTGCAAACGTTTACGTTTAGGATTACACATTCTTGTTTTAGTCTAGAAAGGGGCTTCATTTTTCATTTATACCGTAAGTAATTGACTTTTCATATACGTTTATGTACCGCAATGAGTATTTCAATAGCTGTTATCCTATCTATGTAACATTTAACATGTGTTAAGATCGATCATCTGTATAATGAACTATTCTTTCATTTTTAAACGGGCAGTATTCTAGGGTTTTATTTTAAACTGAAAACTACTCTTTAGTAAACCATTTCCATGTAAAAACATGTTTAAAATTACCTTCATCATTACAAAGTTTGGGCTGACATACGCTAGAATGGCAACAGGCATCACATAATATAGTATCGCCTAAACTTCTCAAAGCCATACCAGTTACATCTTTTGAAAATTCGCTACCGAACAAGACTCGTTTACCAACAATGCCGGTTGTTGAACTGCATTGCTTTTATTATTCAGAAGAAGAATAAATAAAACATTATTGCTAAGCGGTGGTCGATTAACAGCAAAACAAAAATAATGTAAGTGATAAAGTATGCAAACATTGTTATTAAGATTAAAGACAAGAACTTAATCTTCAACGTTAATTCGTCCCTTTTTAACCAATGTATTTGCATTGATTATTTCATCGTTTTAGTTAACGGAGTAAAACCACCAGGACGTGTATATAACGCAAAACCGTTGAAGTCTTGTCAATAGGGTGATTTTAAAACGAGAACAAAGATGTCATATCGAAATTCCTTAAAGCTCTGCCAAGCAACAGCGATGGTTAGTAAACTAGAAAACAATAGTCAATAGCTGTATCCTTAATTACTAGTAATTTGTAATACTAAGCAGTTTTTATTATATTACTCAATTAAGTTGCATACAGTATTATAATTAACACTGGTTCTTTGTCGGAACAAATAAATGAATTATTTTACATAATTTAATTTGTATGCAGACGTTTAAAACGTATTTTAAAATGTATTAAAAAAATTTCGCGGTACTGTACTGCTTTAAGAACATCAGTTGTATACATGTGTTATGTAAAAGTAGCAATATTCTAATCTACAAACGGATTTGCGCATTTAAATAGTCAAAACTGACCGATACATCTCTGCATCCCATTTTCCTGTATATATGACCATTGCTTGTTATGCTCTGAGTTGAATAACACACCTTAAAAAGCAAAGTCAGTAAAAAAATCATATAATGTTTCCTTTAAATTTCATTCACACGTTTTTGTTATGCCTTTATAAAAAGAGATTAAAAGATAAGAATCTCAGTTAAAATTTTAAGCAGTTTTTCCAGATTAAAAAATCAAATTGCAACAAACATATACAATTGCGTTTTATATTTGCAAGGGTAATGATTTGCAACATGTTATTTTGACTTCTTCAATAGAAATATTACAAATAACATAATTTAATTAGGTGTATTACAGCGTAATCGTACATTTGTGAATTTTGTAACGAAAATTTAATTTTTAAACTCTGTCATGAAAAAAAATGTACCTGATTCGGTCCACATTTCTTGACGACGCTACAGTCACGTGCTTTGGAGACATCTGCACACTGATAGCAATATAAATCACCTTGTGTACCTTTTACAATAGGGGAAAAATATATAACTTATCATAGAACGTGTTGGGTAAAACATTTTATACTCGCCAAAGGTTCCCATATTACGACCTGATTCAACTCATTCAATACAAAATATTTTGTAAATGCGTAAATGTATAATGACACCGATATCTAGTAATTATTATAAAGTTTAGATTACTTAAGAGAAGAAAAAATGCCCAACATGTATCTTTGTATTACCTTATTAGCTTTGACATATTGTTTTTGTAAACTAATAACGTCTGAAGGAAATGGTCCTAGAAAATGAAATTGAAATATCTCGTTTAACCGCTTAGTGACATTATATATAGTGAGTGAACGTGTGAAGATCAAAAAAGGTTTTCATTTTACCATACATACTCTCAATTTGATAATTAAGTTCGCATAAACAATAAATAACACACAGATCCAAATGGAAATGAAATTTATGTAACTATCCGTTAGAATTTACGTATAACGCTTAGTTTATAAAAAGTGGGGTAGTCTTTTTTAAATTTTAGGCAGATTCATAATATTATCCTAAACATTTTCCAATATCAACTGTTGGTCAAACACCACTTTGACAGGCAATCTTTTGAAATATAAAGTCAAATCAGCTCAACTTGACTATGAAAATATGAGCATAATGTCACTTTAATTAATTAGTTTTATATATTATCTTATGTACTGGTTGAAACTATGTTGGGTTGATATAAAGGCACAGGGAAAAATGCATAGATATAGATGATAGTGATGTACTTGATTTCCTTAATTTAAGCAAATATGGAATCTAGGTAGAGGTACATGCTAGGCATGGACATTGTTTGAAATCCGATTGAATAATAAATAAATTACTGCTTACCTTGAACAATTGCAATCAATATGTAAAATAATACAGTCAGTGTAAGAGCCCCTGTAATAAAACAATAAAGACAACAATAATGACTTTTTTAAAGTCGCTGTAATAAATCAATAAAGACAATAATGACTGTGCAAATGTTGCCGTAATAAAACAATAAAGTCAACAGTATCTGTATAAAAACCGCTGCAATAAAAGAATTACACCTGTATAAAAGTCGCCTAAATAAATCTATAAAGACAATAATATCTGTATAAAAGTCGTTGTAATCAAACAATAATATTTGTATGAAAGGCGCTGAAATAGATCAATAAAGACAATATGGTACGTATTAAAGTCGTTGGTATAGAAATAAAACAATAAAGGCAATACTGTCTGTATAAAAAATGCTGAAATAAAACAATAGTGCTTGTATAAAAGAGTCGCTGAAGTAAAACAACAATGCCTAGAAAGAAATATCGCTATAATAATACAATAAAGACAATAATGTTTATGTAATAGACGAAAAACAAAACAAAATAATCAAGACAAAACAGTCTGTATAAATGTCGCTGAAAGAAAACACTTATTAATAAATGATAATCTTGACGCATTTAATGCGCTTACATCATCTTACCCTTATCACCACATCTTCCTTTAAACGAAATTGACAAAACATCCATCACTTTAAATTGAAAATCCCCTTATTGTAGAAAAATAAAGTATGGAAGTTATATAAACTTTATTTCATTTATGAATATAATTTCATGCAAAGTTTGACAACCAACATTAAAATTCTAACATCTCTAGAAGATTATGTATTGTACCTTAAAACAACAAGCCTATCACATATGAAATAAAATACTGTTAGTAAACAAACAGTAAATAGTCATGGTACAAAAACAAACTAACTTACACATTATTACTCTAAATATGTGACAAGTCGTTAAAACTATAACGACATATCTAATATCTGAAAGATTCAACGATCAAGATAAGAATTTTCAATACATGTCTACTTTTATCTTATCTTATTTATATGTATATTGTACATATTTATGTACATGTAAATCTTTTATTGTAACACTAAACTTAACTATCCACATATTTGGAAAGGTAACGCCCATGTTCTGTTTTAAACATTCACTTTGAATATGAACAGGCCAGCTTTGCGTGGTTAGGTTACCTTGTGGTAATTTATATATACAAATATTATAATTGCACGGTTACCAAACCACAATATATACCACGGTAATTAACTTACCGTGGTATATTTTAACCATCGTTTATACAATTGGCTGCAGGTCGTCATCTTTTAATTAGTTAAATGTTCAAAATATATATCCAGGGAAAAGAGAGAATTGTCGTGAATTTCCTTTTAATTTTATTTTATAAAATCTTTCACAAGATTGGATAAATCCTTTTTCCTTGTTTTAATACATTTTATTTTATTCCAGTTTTACAGTCCTCCTGTATAAATCTTACACATACATTGTAAAAGGCCAAAACAAATGTGTTATGCATGAAACCTCATGCGAATTATGAAAAGACGAAATAAGCGTGCAATCACTACACCGTCGGGGAACTCATACAAAAGATTTAATCTTATAAATGCACGCAAAAATAGATAACATGAATACGTTAAAAACACGTGAAGCATGATAACATTGACACCGTCGGAGAAGTACATATCTATAAATGTAAACTTAAAATATTCGCAATATTTGCGACAGGCATTGAAAACCGCCATTTTTATCATCTGATCTTGGTATGCAACTGTCATATATGTAGTAGATTCAATTACTACAAGCATGCATAAGGCCAATGATATATATAATGTTATAAATGTAGTAATGCAATATTTCGTAATCTATAAAAGGAAATTTGAATCTTTTCCAAAATAAAAGCAAGTCTATGGTTTATTTGACATTTTAGATAGAATTTTTTCTACTTGAGAATAAAGTAAATGCTGCGTCATTTTTGAAAATAAGTGGGAACATAAATATAACCCAACATATAAAATTAGCGTTCGATTTCTTGCTGATGTTCTTATTGTTTTGCTTTATCTATCTTTATTTTTATTTCTTTTATTTATTTTTTCCATATGTCACTGGGCCAAGTATACATTGTCTGCATTGCCAAGTGCTGTATATTTTTGTTCTGTTCGTGCCTATGTGTGTCCCTCTAATTTTATATGTTATTGTCCATTTCTCTTATTGTTTTTCTTAATATTAATTTCTTTTAGTCATACACTCGTAGATCATATCTCATATCCAATAGCCGTTATCTATACATACTAGTACTTTATAACCTTTTCAATCTCTTCGTTTATCTTTTCTTGCTTATATTTTAATTTCCCAGCTAATCTGCACACTTTAATTGGCGCAGGCCACGGTTTTGTTGCAGAGAAAAAATTGTAGCGCTTACTTGTCTTTTTACAGACCCCTCTACCCCAGGTCCAGAACTCACAGCAGAGTCAATGAGTCCCTTTGTTTCGTTTGAGCTGCGACACATATTGTCAAATAAAAACAGAAACATAACATGGCTACACGAATACAGCAATATACAATATAATACACATTGAATATAGATCTACACAAAAAAAATTCTCAAATTGACATCAACGTTTTTAAGAATACATAAATAAAATCAGAATAATGATGCATGTGCCACCTTCATTAGAGACATATGGAGAAATCAATCTGACTAAATCTCAGATGTACTTATTTCTGATAATTTACCACAGACAGTATATGTTTCGCCTTCATTACATTGTGCTTCGGATTTCACGAGAAAGATTTTTTTAGTCATGCAATCAAATCGTTCTTAACAATTAGACATTAGACGAAGCATAAAATATCGTTGTCTGTGGAATTAAAACAAAGTGTTGGCTTCTGTAAGAGAAAAAATATGTTTGAACTAAATTGAGAAAAAAATAAACTGTAAATACCAGACTCAATGTTTAATGGGCAAGATTGTTTTGCCAGTTTTCCTGCTGACTATATAAATACCGCCATGTTTGTTATCGAAATCGTGAAAATTTCCAATTCAGTATTGGTTTTCCAGCGGTAAGAATTAGAAACCGCATCGATTTCAAAGTTGTGGAAGCTGGCCGATGATTGGCTCTCTGAAAGATTACGAGAAGGTGACAACCTATTGGTGATCGTCAGATCCTAATGTGTAGCGTAATTAAGGATCTGATTTTAATCAGATTGATGGAGAAATAATGACTGACAGGTATAACCGGCAAGAGAAAAGTAAGGACCAAAAAAGGAACGCTAATAAATTTCTGTCACCCACTTTCAACACCTGTGAAGCAATCTTTAATCTCAAAGAGACACTCTTGAATCCGGAACTGGATCCAATCAGTACTGGGTAATGAGTGTAAAGTATCTTGCTCAATAAAAATGAACATATCGCAACTGACGGGGTTTGACCCCATGCGGATAGTGATCCTTAGATAACTTATTTTTAATTTTATTATTAATATTTTCTAGATTTGTTAGATAACTTATCCGACGCTTTTATCACTAGGACATACCGTAGATTATTTTTATTATTACTACTGATAATATTTTCTAGTTTAACTGGTGGAGGAAGACAAATGTTGTCCTTTCATGCATGACTTCATGCGCAAGCTAGTACTTGAGTGGGTTAGCTAGGCATCATTAACAAGTCGGCAACGAATTCTTCAAAAATTATAAAGTGGCATGACGAATATAACAATATGATGTTTCTTGTTATTTTATTTTTAGAATGTTCACAGTCTTCGTTTAATCAAATAATTAACAAAATCCACAATAATGCTCGCAGTTGGCGTTCTGTGCGCGGAACTGGTCTTGGCAGACGATACTTGCTGCCAGTTTACACGTTGCTTCCGGTGTGCTGTCAGTACAACCTGCTGTTGTTTTGAAAAAAAAATACAAAATTAAAATTTTAAATTTGCGATAGGGCACATATGAAACGTTCAAAAAAGATATATTCTTGCATATTAGACTGACGTTTCCGTTAGTTTTATCCATACCGGAAAGATTATCTGGCATGGGTGTGCCACTGAACAATGGCATGTTAAGGATGATGAAATTTCAACCGTTATGAATGAAGATAATTTCAAACGCTGTTGTAAGGAAGACGTTACTGGTGTAATGACATAAATTTCCATGGAAAATTCTTTTATTAAGGTAAAGTGTTTAAATTATAATGCAATATGTAGGATATGCAAGCCTCCTTGCCGCCCATTGAAACCCCCTCGGGTCGAGTATTTCTATCCAAATTGCAACATATGACAGATATAATTAGTCTGAGACAATTATGTACTTATTTAAAACTGAAAATTTGTTTCACAAGATACAGACAAAGATCAAGGAGGTTATTTCGGATTCATTTCCAATTTTACTTAACAACAAGGAGAACAAAGTGACCCAACAAACCCGGGACATTATCAGCAGAATTAAATAATATTATATTATTTAATTCTGCTGATAGAAAATAAACATAATATGAATTCATCATTATATTTTTTAATAACATTGTGATCAAAAGGTAGATATACGTGTACAAATAATTTGTTGTCTATACAGGATTCCGTAGCTGCAAAACAACCTATTCGCCCTTGAGTTTGTTCACACTGTTGCTTATTAAACCTTATGTTGGCAGCTTACCGTGCTTTTTCACAATTCACTATCGTGATCGACATAATAAGTATCTATATCTCGTATGTAGGACTATGTTTGTATGTTATGTGGAATTATCTACTAAACCTTAATCGAGTTGATTAATAGCTTGTTCTTTATGCAATTACATTATTTTGACCCTTGTGATTCTTTTTTTCGCTGTTTCATTACATACCTTGCACTATCCTTCCTGCTGGTTGCATAACAAAATATCAAAATATCTTGTATGGGCCTTTAGTCTTGTTATATTAAAGAACAAACTTATTTTCTTTTTACTTTTGTGCCAGTTGTATTACGGTATAATCCCAAGTTGTGTGTTGACTTTCGCGCTGATTTTATAACAGTACAATTACATACCTTTGTTCCAGTATATTACGGTATATTCCAGATACCTTGTGTTGACCTTTAATCTATTTGTTAAATGGTAATGTCTACATATATTGTGTATTTTTTGTGTTCATTGTTTAATCAATATACCTTTTGTTGACACTTGTGTTGGTTGTATAACGATAATATATCCATACCTTGCGTCGGTATTTCCTGCTGGTTGTTACAGAAACTACTTACCCTGTGTTGACTCAGTTACTTGTTGTGTAAAATTATTATAAACATTTCATGTGTTCACTTTCACTTTTAGTCTGTTGCAGTGTAAGATATATAACTTGTGTTGGCCGTTGTCCCGAAATTAGCACGAGTTAAAAATTACATTCCTTGGATTGTCATTTGTACAAGTTGTATAGCGATAAAATCTACATACCTTGTATATACAATTGTTGTGGTTGTGCCGCTTTTTACATTATCAGCTACATACCTTGTGTTGAATTAACATGGGGTTAAAATTGCAAACCGTGTGTTGGTAAACAATTCAACTGTTGAATTTCGGTATGATCTTCATTCGATATATCTATTTATTTATTCACTGTATGATGATAAAATATAGATACCTTGTGTTGATAGTGTGATGGTTTAATTACCGTTTAATCTACATACCTTGTGTTTACGTTCGTGCTAGTAGAATAACGGTGTAATCTACATTCATTATATTGATTTTTGCACTGACTGAAGATAAAATATAGATACTTGTGTTGACTAATGTGTTGGTTGAATTACCGTTTAATCTACATACCTTGTGTTGACCCTTGTGCTGATTGTGTCGTTCTAACAACTGGAGGTTTTGTTGTTGCCAGTTCCCTGTGACAACGACTATTACAAAGGTCATCTTTGCAACAATTAAAACATGACGAATTCGTTAGATGGAATGAATTTGAGCCATAAATCATTTCACAAACCTAATGGAAAAGACAAAACCAAACATGTATTGATAAAGAGAGATTGCCATATTGTAAAGAAATGAAGCAACTAAAATATATGTAATATTCTTGGTGGGTTTCATACCGTAATGTTTTGTTTATAGGGCCAAAGTTGTTTGTCAATTAATATCTTAATTTTGACATACTGATACAAGAGTAAAAAGGGACAGAGGTTTGTCAGTATATGTATTTTTTATCTCTCTATGCATATTTTTTCATAAAAGTAGAATATTTAATTTCAAATATTCGAAATGTAACGTAGACAGCTTTGATAAAATGATTTTTAGAATATAAATATATTGACATTTTGTCTGATATTGCAAATATCGAGTGCATAAAATGTTGTTATTTAAGGTCATACATTTCTTTCGAGGCGTCGATCTCAAGGTTGTGAATATTAAGTTAAACGCAACAAAATCGCAATTTCATACAGGTGATATTTTTTTTAATTACTACGCGAAGGCAAGCACAACACAATGCAAATTTTACAGTTTTTTCTTTTCTTTGTCTCGCTAAGTCTTTTTGCAATATTTGACCTATTTCAATGTGCTTTTGATAACATACGTTGCTAAGTTCAAACTTACTGATTTGCTAAAACAGTCAGTTTTCCTGAGCTTTTGACCGCTTGGGCTGCGGGCGTAAGACTCAACACAAACCTTTAGACAAAAAGAACAACAAAGACGATTGCATTTAATCATTGACAAATATTTTTTAATCCATTTAACCTGGCAATATCTCAACACTTTAAAGTGGATTGGTCAACAGTTGTGATATTTTTTTTTTCAAATATCAAGAATAATTTCAAATATCTTGATAAAAAATAGCATATCCTTATAAACTATTTCTTGAAACAATAATGTTAATAGGGTTCTAGGGTTCTAAGTGTTTAAGAAGGAACATTTATATGATGAATAATTATTGTTTGTTCTAGAACAATTTAATAACTTATTATCGGGTATATTTATGAACAAAGTAAGATATAGGGTTTTCTTTTTCTTTTTTTTTCTTCCTTTTTTTTGTTGACCTGCAAAGTTCGAACCTACTTTTAATTAAATAACCAACTCAGTCCCCTACTTTACGTATGGAGATGAATTGATATCATTTGGATGAATTGATCTTTTATGGCGAATATGTCATACTTTTATTCTTAAATATAATCCCGTTTTGTGATAAAAATTAATTTTGTAAATTCATTTAATATGTAAATATATAAAAACAAGTTTTGATTGATCAGTTAATACTGTGCTTTAAATTTGTAACTATACTTAAGTCCTACATGAAGTCATTAGCAAACACTTTTGAGTTTTGGAACTGACTAAAATATGGGATCATAATTAAAGTGTTTGTTTAACTGTACTTCATCTTTAGAACATTCCTGTATGATTGTGCATGGGCTGTCCGCAGGCTGGGCGCTACAGTGAAAACATATTGGTCCTCTATTCGTCAAATATTCTGAAAGAACATCATGTATATTGCATTTGAACCCCTTTCTCGTTTAGGGCACAAGCTATGTATTACTTGGGGATCATAGAATGGCACTACTGTGTCACATTAAAAGTTCCATGATTACCGCCATGTGAACAATTAGCGGATGTTTCTAAATTCCAAATTTAACAATAACGTGTTGAAATTTTAATTCAGCTTAAGCCTAAGCTAGGGGCGTGGACGATAGTTTGCACTTGACAGTACCGTCCATGAGCAGGTTCAATCAAAACGAGTATGCAACATTTTCAATTTTACAGTGTTGTGCATTCGTTAGGGATTCTTATTTTCTTTGCTTTAAGCACGATCATTTTGTCTAGGGTTAAAGGAAGGTAAATCAGTTTAACAAAAGACATAACTTAGATATATAGTTGTATTACCAACAAATGGTCAATAATTTTTTTAATGTCTCATGTCAATATTGCCAAACAATAACCCTTTACAAGTGTTTATATATACGGGTACGTAATGTTTGCAAAGGACGTTTTAAACTTTATATTATTAAATATAAAAAAATACCAAAATTACAATCTTGTTTGAAAAATATTAATTAATAAAGTTCAAATTTTGAATCAGTTTTGAACAACAATAATGTTTTCATTATCTGTAGAAAAATTAATATTTTCCACACTTGAAAAGTGATTATAAAGAACTAACTCTTAAATAAACCAATGATAAATGTATATGATAATATTTGTTTGTTAATTGAGACAGGTACTTATCATTTTACATCAAATAAGAAGAGGGTTGGATAAGAAGAAAAAACCTCAGATTTTGTCAAATGTAATCGGGGCATCAAATATTTTTAATAATATTTTTATAGAAACTTTTTTTTAACATTTGCTGCAAAATATAAAGAAAGTTAACCATGCTGATCTTAAATTATAATCATTTTATTCGTTATGCCATCCCATTTCACACATTCCACAGTAAAAACTTACTATATAAAACATTTTTTTTAATTACAAATTTTATATATAAATTAAGAAAGAGAACAATAATCTGACAAATTAAAAAGAACAAAAAAGACAAAAAAAATGAAAAGAAATACATCTTCATGGGTTCGAACCCATGGACCTTCGAATCTCTCAGGCTGTCTCCTTACTGAAATGATTACTCTTCATAAAAGTGATACGCTATTTGGCGAACAATACCTTAATTTACATTTAATTAGTTATGGTTTTCAAGTAAGTTATGTTACATCTTCCTAGTTTGTAATTTGCTTTATTTGTAATTGTTTTGTTAAATGTTGTTGTCCATAACATTGGAATTAATCTTTGAAAATAAGAAAATACAATGCCCTTGATAATAACAGACCTATGTACAGGTATGTCTTTAACTGTTAATTGTTTACATTTTTTATGTTTAGGAATACTGACTGAGATGCATCATTGCTTTCAGTCACTGGTATTACTGTGCACAAATTTATATTGCCGAATGTATGATAAATTATATATGATAATTATATATTCAGTTTCAGACACCAATTAGAATCCATAAAACTACCATAATATACGAAGGGCGTGTCTGATAAAGCAGCCGTTCGTCATAATCATAGATTTTGCGAAAGAATAGTAATGTTGTTGACGGTAATATGAAGATCCAAAATTAATGTACTGAAATTTCAAGAATTCGTTTTATTCAGTTGAAATCAGTTGGGAAGTTTATTGATATCTATACTACTGTATGTGATGTTCAAGGATACATACACAATTCCATCAAGCATTGTTACTCACGGAAATTATGGTTTTTTCCTGCTTACAAATTTCTTTTTAACTGTACAATTTGTTGACATTAATTGCTAGGAAACCTTAATATGATTATCTATAAGTTAACTCAAATGGAAAATTCATTGACAATTTCTAACAGTATAATGGAAAATCATTGATTTCAGGTCTTATTAGTATCCAAGGGAAACTTACATTTTTAGGTATAAATTTAAAATGTATAAGAGATATGTTATCAATAAAGACTGTAAAGACTGTTTCACAAACCTTCGTCATTACAAAGTTGAGGCTGACATATGTTAGACTGGCAACATGCATCACACAAAGTTGTATCACCCAAACTTCTCAAAGCCACATCGTTTACATCTTCTGACAATTCTCCACTGAACCAAGATCGTTTGCCAACAATACCGGTTGTTGAACTACATTGCTTTTTTTATTCGGAGAAAAACAATTATATTGAAAGTTGTGTATACATAATGGCTAAACAGAGGTCGATATACAGCAAAAATGCACTGTAACAATTTTTGGAATAAGGATAAAAATGATAAAAAAAGAACAAGTAAATTGACACATCAACGCCAGCAATGAAACAATGTTAGCTTTAAGTTGATTATACACTGATTTTAACATATGCGTCTTAAATTGTTTGGCAGCACACCACACTAAATGAAGCCACAGCTTCGAATGGCCAGGGAGGATTTCATGGATATAGTGACTATTGTGGATTTAAATGACTGGTTGTCTTTAAAATGCATTTTCAGCATGAAATTTGTTTTTGTAACATGTAATATGATCATTGGCAAATTCGAAAACATGGTTAGAAATAACATGCTGTTTATAATAGATGTCAAGGCCGCCATTGTTTGTAAACATTGCTTTTAAACAGCATGCTCGGTGAAAACAAGTGATTTTACAGGGGGGTACAAACTTTCAGCAATAGCAAAAAATCTACAAGGCCAAGCACCTATTTCTTTGTGATAGTTTGCATGCATAGGGAGTTGCTAAGGCAGTGACAGAGTTTCTGTAGTCCGTATATTTGCAGGTATTTTTTGCCGGAGGGACGAAAAATGTTGTTTTGGGTCTCGGACCACTATAGATTTTTGGCTTTTACGGAATGAATTGGAATTTTTTTAACTGCCTGACTGTTGCACATGGGATGATTTCATTACATATTTGCAATGTTATGACATATATGTTCTTAACAAAATGTGTTTTCTTTTTCCAGGTTGTGTAGTTTGGGATAAGATTTATTAGACATATTGCTTGTAGGACATTGACGGCAGAAACTTGAAATTTAGTGTGGAGTGCTACCTTTTCTTCCGCATATTTAAGTGATTGCATTTTTTGTTACTTAACTAAGTATTTAATATAATATATTTTGATATGATAAGCTATATTTTAATGTGATGTGATGATGTGATATGATATGTAATGATATTATTATATAATATAATATCAAATAATATTATATAATATCAAATCATATCATGTCATATCAAATCATATCGTATCGCATCGTATCGCAGAGTATCATATCGTAAAAAAGAAACAATAATTCTGAATCAGCTGTGCAAATACGAGTATAATAATCCAGACGTACCGATACATCTCGACATCCCATTTTCCTATATATATGCCCATCTGTCGTAATCCTCTGGGTTGAATAACACACCTTTTATATAGAAGAATAAATAACCTAAATGTGCTTAAAATATGATAAACAAGATCAACATGGAAAGGCAGCGCTCAATTAACGCAACACACCACACAACCCAGGAACAAGAAACTAAAAGTGACCGGTATTTACTACCCTACCAGTATAGAACCTAACGGACTAACCAAAGAAATGATAAAGAAACAAATACATCATTTAGGTGGAAATCTTTATTTAAATGCAATACAAAATAAACGGATATATTAAAATTAAAAAAAAAAATATTCAAGGCAAATGTTTGTGATTTTTTTCATTCACAATTTTTTTCATGATATACCCCTTTATCTGCTAAAAATTATATCTATTACAATTGTAAAAGAAAAAAGAAAACACCAAGTAATCTTGTGTTTAAAAGAAAATTGCTAGACATAATATCCTTAGAAAAAAATAAATAGTATTTCACATATTATTCTCTCCGTGAAATATATAACGTATTATTCCTAGACATTCCAAAACAAAAGTATTTTACCTAAAGATAGCAGTAGTATATATTTAAAGCATATATATACCTGTACGTTATTTTAAGAAAAACAACAACATGTACCTGATTTGGTCCACATTTCTTGACGACGCTACAGTCACGTGCTTTGGAGACATCTGCACATTGATAGCAATATAAATCACCTTGTGTACCTTTTACAATGTGAAATAAAAAATAACAAATTATGTTATATGATTATATTTCTGACATATAAACCTGCATGAAATTGTTAATGTACAAAAGAAAACAAACGATTTAGAACATAAAAATAAAATGCTTCACATACAAAACTTAATAGGTCTTAAAGAAGGAATACTTTTATAGCTTTGAAATTGTATATATTTATTTAGTATAAATTATGATTTTGCACTATAGCCTTGCTGTATTATTGTTGGTGTCAATCTTGGCACCTCAATTTTTTAAAGTAAACCGTCTTTATTTTATAACTATTTTTAGGTAGGTTAAACTATATTATATTTATAGACCGTGTTTGGGTCAACATTGTTATGGTCGTAAAACGTTCTCAAAATGCCACTTGATTCAACTCGTTCAATACAATACATTTTGTATTTAACCAACACTCATTCAACACAAATATATGTAGGGTATATGTAAAAAAACACTTATATCAAGTACTAAGTGTAAATAACTTAAATAAATAAGAGAAAAAATAATTAAAAAATGGACAAAATATGATCTTTGTAATTAACCTCATTCACTTTGAAATATGCTTTGTAAACTGTAAACTGAGGGAAATGGTTTTAGACAATGGAATTGAAATACTTCGTTCAAGCGCCTATTAATTAATCAGTTTAATATATTTCATTAAGTAATTGAAATGATGTTGGGTTGATATGAAGGTACATGGGAAATGCGCATATAATATAAAGGACAATGATGTAGTTGATTTCTTTTGTAACCGATTTACAATTAAAGCAAATATGGAATCCAGGTAGATGTATATAAGAGGCATGACCATTGTTACGAAGCAGATTGGATAAGGAGAAATTGCTGCTTACCTTGTACAATTGCAATCAATATGTAAAATACTACGGACAGTGTAGACGTCCCTGTAATAAAATAATGAAGACTATAATATCTGTATAAATGTTGCTGTAATAAAACAATAAAGTCTGTGTAATATTGTCTATATCAAAGTCGCTGTTATTAAAAAAACATAAGACAACTATAATGACTGTACAAATAATGCTGTAACAAATGAATAAAGTCAACAGTAATGCATATATAAAACTCGCTTTAATAAAAAATAGAGTCAATGTATAATTGTCCCTGTAATAAGAAAATGAAGACAAGAATGTTTTTCATAAGATATTGCTGTATTAAAATAATAGTATCTTAATAAAAGTCGTTGTTAAACAATAATGCTTATTTAATAGTTAAAGTCAACATATCTGTATATATGTCCCTGAAATAGATACGGTAATAAAAGACATTAATGTTCGCATTAAAGTCGCTGTTATAAAACAATAAAAGCAATAGTCACTGTGTATATATAGAAGTTGCTGAAATAAAACAATAAAGGCAATAGTCATTGTGTATGTATAAAAGTTGCTGAAATAAAACAATAGTGCCTGTATAAAAGTCATTGAAATAAAACAATTATGCCTATAAACAAAAAGGCCCTGTCATAAAACAATAAATAAATAATAGACGGAGAAAAAACAGAACAATAAAGACAATAATGTACGTGTTGAAGTAAGTCGTTGTAATAAAACGATAATAGCATAAGTATCTGTATAAAAGTCACTGAACTGAACTACAATGCCTATATTGAAAAAGTCGCTGTAACTCAAACAAATAAAAACAATAATGTCTATATGATAGACACTGAAATAAAACAATAATGATAAGCATTTAATGCGACAACATTATCCAACCCTTATCACATTTTCCTTCAAACAAGATTGACAAAACATCCATAACTTTTAATTGTAACAACAATTCAACCCCATATTGTAGAAAGATGAATTATTGAGGCTATTATATAAACTTTATATGCATTCATGAATATAATTTCGTACATACTTATTTTAACGCCCAACATTAAATTTTTAGCATCTCTAGAAGAAAGTACATTGTACCTTAACAAAACAAGCCTATTACATATAATATAAAATACTGTTAGTTAGCAATCAGTAAATAGTCATGGTACAAAAAAAAACTTACACATGATTACTCTAAATATGTGAAAAGCCGTTAAAACTATAACGACACATTTAATATCTTAAAGATTCAACAATCAAGATAAGAATTTTCAATACATGTCTACTTTTATCTTATGTTATGTATATGTATATTGTACATATTTATGTACATGTTTATCGTTTTCGTAACACTTAACTTAACATTCCAAAATTTTGGAAAGGTAACGCCCATGTTTTGTTTTAAACATTCACTTTGAATATAAAAAGGGCAGGTCTTCATCTTTTAATTATTAAAATGTTTAAAATATATATCGAGGGAAAGGATGGCATTGTTGTGAATTTCCTTTATTTTATTTTTATAAAAATAACATTGGATAAATCCTTTATCTTTGTTTTAATACATTTTATTTTATTCGAGTTTAATTCCAGTCCTCTGGTATAACCCTAACACATGCATTGTAAATTATGTAATAGAAAAAGCATCAAAACATGAGGCTATCTGATTTGTACGAGGGGGCGTAGCCCCCCGAGTATTTTTCAGATTCCCGAGTGTTTTGATGTTCTTTCTCTTTTGTATCATAGTCAAACATAAAAACACGTTCCCTGTTGTCACAATATGAAACCCGGCAAAAAGGAACCAATGAACAAACATCTGAATATGATTATTTCTGTCGCTTTCCCTTTCTCTGCCGGCACAATATGTAAACCCCAAACCTCAATGGGCACACTCTGGAGTGCGTGTAACTTATACCTGCACTCCAGTTAACGCACTGTGCATGTATATGTATACGATTTAACTCTGACATATTTTCAACAGAAAGGTCCCCAAATTAGGATTCAACTAAAAGATTCAGAATGTATAGTATAATTTTCACGCCAAAACAAATGGGATAAGCATTAACCTTCATGCGAATTATAACAAGACGAAATAAGCGTGCAATCACCACACCGTCGGGGAACTCATACAAAAGATCTTATCTTATAAATGCACGCATAAAATAGATAGAATGAATATATGAAATACACGCGAAGCATGATAACATTGACACCGTCGGAGAAGTATAACAAAGAAAACAACAATGTACATTACTATAAATGTAAACTTGAAATATTCGCAATATTTGCGACAGGCATTGACAATCACCATTTTTACCATCTGATATTGGTATGAAACTGTCATATATGTAGAAGATTCAATTACTATAAGCATGCATAAGGCCAATGATATATAGAATGTTATAAATACATGTAGAAGAACAATTCAAATATGTAATCTTTCGAAATCTATAAAGGAAATTAGAAACTTTTCAGAAACAAAAGGAAGTCTAGGGTTTATTGGACATTTTAGAAATAATTTATTCAACTTTAAAATAAAGTAAATGCTGCGTCATTTTTGAAAATAGACGGGAACATAAATATAAATAAACCAACATATAAATTAGCGTCTGTTAATGTTTTCTTGCTGATGTTCTTATTGTTTTGCTTTTAAATTTTGCTTGTTGTTGTGTCATTTATCTTTGTTTTTATTTCTTTTATTTATTTTTCCATATGTCACAGGGTCAAGTTTACAATGTCTGTATTGCCAAGCGCTATATATTTTTGTTTTGTTTGTGCCCATGTGTGTCTCTCTATAGTTATATGTTATTGTCAATGTCCCTTATTGTTTTCTGTAGTTATTTCTTTAATTCATACACTCATGGCTCATATCCCATATCCAATAGCCGTTACCTATATATAATAGTATTTTATTATCTTTTCAATCTCTTCAAATATGTTTTCTTGCTAATATTTTTATTTCCACGCTAATCTGCACAACGCATGCGCACTTGAATTGAAAGATTGTTGGCGAATCCCCTTACTTGTCTTTTTACAGACATCTCCACCCCTGGTCCAGAACACACAGCAGAGTCAACGAGTCCCTTTGTTTCGTTTGAGCTGCGACACATATTGTCAAATAAAAACAGACACATAACATGGCTACATGAATACAGCAATATACAATATAATATACATGGAATATAGATCTACACAAAAAGTTCTCAAAATTGACATCAACGTTTTAAAGAATACATAAATAAAATCAGAATAAAGATGCATGTACCACCTTCATTAGAGACACATGGAGAAATCAATCTGACTGAAATCCAGATGTACTTATTTCTTACATGTAGATCTTATTACCACATATCTGTTTCGCCTTCATAACATTGTGCTTCGGATTTCCCGAGAAAATATTTTTAGTCATGCGATCAAACCGTTCTTTAAAATAAGACATTAGACGGAGCATAAAATATCGTTGTCTGTAGAATTAAAACAAAGTCTTGAGAAAAAAATGTTTGAAGTTATTTGAAACAATAAACTGGAAATATCAGACTCAATGTTTAATGGGCAAGATTGTTTTGCCAGTTTACCAGTCGGCTATATGAACAGCGCCAGGTTTGTAATCGAAATCGTGAAAGTTACCAATTCAGTATTGGATTTCCAGCGGTAAGAATTAGAAACCGCATCGATTTCAAAGTTGTGGAAGCTGGCCAATGATTGGCTGTCTGAAAGATCAAGAGAAGGTGACAACCTATTGGTGATCGTCAGATCCTAATGTGTAGCGTAATTAAGGAGCTGACTTTAATCAGAATGATGGAGAAATAAGACTATAATGACTGACAGGTTTAACCGGCAAGAGAAAAGTAAGGAACAAAACAGGAAAGCTAAAAAAAATTTCGACACCCACCCAAAATACTTGTGTAGCAATCTTAAAGTTCATCGAGACACTCTTGAATCCGGAACTGGATCCAATTAGTACCGGATAATGAGTGTAAAGTTTCTTGCTCAATAAAAAGAACAGATCGCAACTGACGGGGTTTGACCCTATGCGGAAAGCGAACCTTAGAAAACTTATCCGGCTAGGTCATACCGTCCGTCATTTTCATCAATACTACTGATATTTTTTTCTAGATTAACTGGTAGAGGAAGACCAATGTTGTCCTTTCATGCATGACTTCAGGCGCAAGCTTGTACGTGTGTAGGACAACCTATTTCCGCTATCTAGGTAGATAGCTTTCTGTTGTTTTTTTTTTCTTTTGTTTTTTTTGAAAGAAATCAAGCACTTGAATGGAGTCACAGTGGGGAGAGAAAAGTGTTTTGAAGTCGGCAGCATTAACCACTCGACCACAACCCTTCTAACGTAAAGTGGCATGACGATTAAAACAATATGATGAATATTTTTCTAATTTTATTTTTAGAATGTTCACAGTATTTGTTTAATCAAATAATTAACAAAATCCACAATAATGCTCGCAGTTGGCGTTCTGAGCATGGATCTGGTCTGTACAGACGATACTTGCTGCCAATTTACACGTTGCCTCCGGTGTGCTGTCCGTACAACCTGCTGTTGTTTTAAAAAATAAATCCAAAATTAAAATTCTAATCTGCGAGAGGGCAGATAGGAAACCTTAAAAAAGATATGTTCTTGCATATCAGCCTGGCGTTTCCGTTAGTTTTATCTATGCCGAAATTTCATCTGGCATGGTTTGTGCCACTGAACAATGGCATGCTTAGGATGATGCAATTTTTACCGTTATGAATGAAGTTAATTTCATACGCTGTTGTTAGAAAATAGTTACTGGTGTAATGATATAAAATTTTATGGAAAATTGTTTTATTAAGGTAAATAGTTTAAATTAATATGCAATATGATACAATATGCAAGCCTCATTGTCGCACATTGCCCCCCCCCCCCCCCCCCACCCCATCAGGACAGATATTCTCATCCGAACCGCAACATTTGTCATATATTATTAATCTTAAATACTGGTTAAAAACTGAAAATTTGTTTCACAAGATGCATACATAGATCAATGAGGTTATCACCGATTAATTCCGACTTTTATTTATCAACAAAGAGAACTTGATGACCCAACAAAACTGGAACATTTTCAGCAGAATAAAAAAGCTAGAAAACAAACATAAAATGAAGTTATCATTTTCTTTTAAATTATATTGTGATCAAAAGGCTGATATACGTGTACAAATAATGTGTTGTCTATACAGGATTCCGTATTGTAAAAACAACTTTTATTCGCCTTTGGTGTTTTCACACTGTTGCTTATTATACCTTTTGTTGACTGTTTTTCTTGCTTTGTCAGAAGTCACTTTCGAGCCACTTAATTTCGAAATTATTAGTATTAATGTATCGTGTGCTGAACTATGTTTGTATGTTATGTGGTATAATTTACTAAACTTTAAGTTATGTTGACCCTAAATTTGGTTGTTTCATAGCTTATTCTGCATGCACTTACCCTCTTTTTGACACTTGTGCTTCCTGTGTCGCCGTAAATTTACATACCTTGCACTGACCTTCCTACTGGTTCTATAATGATATATGTACATATCTTGGCGTTTTGAGTCTGTTTTATAACAATACAATTATATTCCTTTTGCTGACCTTTGTTCCAGTTGTATTACGGTATAATCCCAAATTGTGCTTGACCTTTGGGCTGTTTTTATAACAGTAGAATTACATACCTTTTGTTGACATTTGTTCTACTTGTTACAAAGGTAATATCTCCATATATTGTTATGTTTTGTGTTGGTTGTCTTATAGTATAATCAACAAACCTTGTGTTGACACTTGTGCTGGCTGTATACCGGTAATATGTACACTCTATGTGTTAACCTTTGTAATAAGCTACATACTTTGTGTTGACCCTTGACCCGAAATAAGCACGAGGAAAAAAATACATACTTGGTGATATTTTATATTTGTGTTCGTTGATGACGATAGAATATCTGTAGTTACCATGTGTGCTGGTATAATCTACATTCATTATGTTGAATTTTGCACTGTCTATATAACTATAAAATATATATACCTTGTGTTGACTACTATGCTGGTTGAATTACCGTGTAATCTACATACCATGTGTTGACCCTTGTTGCTAGTTGAATGGCGGTGTAATCTACATACCTTGTGTTGACCCTTGTTGCTAGTTGAATGGCGGTTTAATCTTCATACCATGTGTTGACCCTTGTTGCGAGTTGAAGTACCGTGTAATCTACATACCTTGTGTTGACCCTTGTTGCTGGTTGAATGGCGGTTTAATCTACATACCTTGTGTTAACCCTTGTTGCTGGTTGAATGGCGGTGTAATCTACATACCTTGTGTTGGCGTTTGTGCTGGTTGTGTAACAGTAACAACAGGAGGTTTTGTAGCTGGAAGCTTCATGTCACAACGACTATTACATAAGTCACCTTTGCAACAATTAAAACATGTCGTATTTGTTTGATGGAATGAATTTGAGCCATAAATCCTCTCACAAATCTAATGGAAAATACAGAATCAAATATATATAAGTAAAGATCATAGTTTTCACATATTGTAGAGAAACGGGGCAACTAAAAGATCGGTAATATCATTTGATGGGTTTCATACTTGATCTAATCTAATAATATTTGAACTTTAACATATTATTACAGAGACTTTAAGGGACACAGATTTGTCAGTGTATGCACGTTTTATTTGGAAAATAGTATCCCTCCCTAAGCGTTAAAGTTTTGTCAAAATAGAAGAATATTTCATTTCAAATATTCGTAAAATAACGAACACGAAAAACAAAGTCAACAAGGGAAGGCGGCATCTCCCATCGCATGATCACGGGCAAGGAGACGACCACTTCGATTAAATGATTTTTTAAAATGAATGAAACTAAATTGATATATTGTATGTATATTGAAATATCAACTGCATGAAATATTGTTACTTAAGAGCATGTATTTCGTTCGATGTATCAAACTTTCTGTTGTAAAAGTAAAGAAAAACGGAATGAAGACGCAATTTAATAGAGATAGTGAACGTTTTATATTACCACGCAAATGCCAAAATAATAATATGCGAATTTTGAAATTTGACCCAAAATTTCTGTACCGCTTTTTATAAGCATCGTAAATTCTTCTGTTGTAATGTTTGACCTACTTTAATGAGTTTCTGTAAACATAATTTGCTAGGTTTAAAACTTACTGATTTGCTAAAACAGGCAGTTTTCCTGAGCTTGTGACCCGTTGAGCTTTCAGCATAAGTTTCAACGCAAACCTTTAGATAAAAAGGAAAACAAAGAATTTTGCATTTAATCAAATATGTTACATCGATTAGGTCTCGCAATATGTTAATACATAAGAGTTGATTGCTAAACAATTTTTGCGTAAATATTTCAAATATCGTTATAAATAATAGATCTGTATAATTTGAATATTCGTATAAAATATTTCTTAAAACAATAATGTTTAGATAGTTAGCATGCACATTTATACTTTGAATATTAATGTATTGTTCGATTTTATTATCAGGTATATATTTAAATATAAATCACATGGGGTCAATGTATCTTATACTTTTAAACAACTTCCATTTATTACATTTTTTTGTTGTGACATAATTATGACACACTATCAACATGATTATTAATTGCATTTGAGTAAGACATTTTGTTGTAACTTAAACATAAACGACATTATTATATATGTTATTCAAGACCTTCCAATATGGACTTATTCACTTTAAAACAAATAAAGAATGTTCACAGTAGTTAGTGTATATGCATATGTCAAAAGGGCGGATGCAGCATAATAGTAGCAACAATGCAACATTGGTTTCCTTAGCAATAAATGAAAGAAACATACAGCTATTTACTTTATGAGACTGTTAAGTTGATTTATTCCCAAATAAATTTATGTCTTATGTTATAAATGTGTTTTACACGCGTCAATAGTTTAAACATTCGAATCATACTAATTAATATGGAAGGATATTTGATTTGTACGTATATAATTCAGCTAACAGAGTGTTGATGTTCTCATTAGTAACGAAATCATATGCAAAAATAAAACATAGAAAAAAGCAATGGTCGAGTATCCAAATATGATATTTCTATCGCTATCCCATTCTCTGTGTTTACAATAAGAAAACCCCAGGCAAAGTGTGTCAATAAATGGGCATGCTCTGGGCTGCGGGTCACTAATACATGCAGTCCAGTTAACGCACTGTGCATGTATATGTTAACGATTTAACTCTGACACATTTTCAATAGAAAGGTCTCCAAACTATGATACAACTTGTCGATTTATTATTAATAATCAAACTACGATAAAAGGTAAATAGAAGTACCGAATCACGTGAGCATTCCGTGATCTTTGTACAATTTTCGTCCTCCAACTGTTTTTCACAACTATAACAAATAGGTCCACGGTTTGTTTCGTATACTGAAGATATACACATACGGCATGATATCATTTAGGTTAGCGTTTTGTTTAAATAACATGGAAAATATCACCGTGAAGTAAAATGTTTATTGTTTATGATTGTACTTTTGTTCGCCATTCTATTAAACTGTTCGATACATTATTCCCTTATACCCATATAATATTTCCTTACCTTTATACAAGTTTAAATTATGATCAAAGTTTTTAGCATGAAACATAAAGGGAAATTCAAAGCATCAAAAACTCACTTTTACATTAGACAGATTACATTAATACAATGTTAAACTAGGTTCGTTATAATATGTACGCCAAGATTAGAAAAAATACAAATGTCTTTTGCCATTTTAATAATATTTATGATAGTTAGGATATTAGTTTTCAAGGACCGCTATGCCCCGTTCATGCTATTATTTCTATTTCCCCAAAACTGTTTATTTAAAAGTATCTTATTATATTATATTATCCAGTTTTCAGAAACATACCCATTTGTCATACACGTGGAATAGCTTTTGCTTCCTTTGCTGTGTTGGTAATTTTTATAATAATAGTAAATTATTATGTTGTAAGTCAAAATACCACTTGTTTGCATTAATATTTGCTACATTTACGACACCATTAGTGCACATTTAGCGCTACTTTCGTCAGTTATTAAACAACTTACATGCTGAAAATCCATTATTCAACAATTATTAAAATGTTTTGAGAATTAAAAAAGCATGGATTTCTGAGGCATAATTTAGTACCTTGATCTTGACACAAGTTTGCTTGACACCACAGGGAATCGCAACATCCATCACACACTGGCAGGTCACCGTCACTTCTCTTATGCACAATTCCACTGGAGCATTGCTAATACAACCATCATTTTAAAAGAAACATTACAAATAAGTAAAAGGTACAGCGAACACATGCTTAACCAAAATCTTCCAATACAAGCATTTTTGATAAGGCGTTTCGTGAAATTTTAATTTTCTATAACATGTTGCGTTTATCTGTTCTGGCGTATGATTACCCAACAGCATTATTTTGCCCTGCCAGAATTAAAAATCCCCCACCTGTGATTTGCATTAAAACATTACAATAGGTTCGATATTAATATATGAAATTGTTTTTTTAAACTGTTGTTGTGGTTTTCGTTTAAAGCGGGTTTTTTTTATTATTGTTATTTATTGTTTGGCTATCTCCCTATTTCTTTCTGAATGAATTCTTTTCTTTGTTTAAGTTGAATTTTGGGTAAATGTAAATTGATTTCCTTTTTTTATATTTGATTGTGGAAATAACGAATTACAAAGTGAATCATTGTAATACCATGTTTCAAGTATGGTTGAAATAAAAATAATATATATTGAATCGACAAACCATTCTATCCCTGCAGCCCATGCGTCTGTAAATATGTCCTGATGTTGAAACCAGCTGCGTTGAAAAGCACACCTGTAAAAGACATTGTTCAAAATAGATTAAAGTGGGGCGTCCGTGGCCGATTGGTTAAGGTCGTTGACTTCAAAGCACTTGCCCCTCACCGCTCTGGGTTCAAATCCCGACAGGGACTTTGGATTCTTTCATGTGAGGAAGCTATCCAGCTAGCTTACGGAACGTCGGTGGTTCTACTCAGGTACCCGTTCGTGCCTGAAATAATGCAAGGAAGGGCACCTGAGGTCTTCCTCCACCAGTAAAGCTGGAACGTCGCGATATGACCTCTACTGTGTCCTTGTGACGTAAAACCCAAAACAAACAAACAGATTAAACTATATTTTGCGGACATAAAAGATGGGAGACGTTAGAAAAAATCTAGTGGTATCGTTCACTTAAAATAATATCAGAATTTAACTAGTTGCCTACATGCAGTTGATAAAAAAATCTGTTCAATATTTTTCGAGCTGTAAATGTTACTTGTCAACTGAACTTTTCATGTAAGGTAAGCCCTTTCTTCGACCAAAAACGTACGCACTGTTCATTGACAATAAACTTGCAAACTGCAAACGTTCAACGGACTGAAAACATGAGCATCAACTGGCATTTCAATAAAACTTTAATAAATAAATGAAATTCTATCGGTAGAAAATATGCAATCACGAAAGAAACATGTTAAAATGATAGGTAAACAAGAGAAGAAACCTCGTGTGGGCCACATTCTTTGACTGTGTCACAATCACGGGCACCTGGTATGTCCGCGCATTCTAAACATGTCATTCCATTGATTTCTGCAAACAAATCTTACGTGTTGGATATTTATAATCCCATGTTGAGTAACATAAAAAATGAGTTTTGTAAGTAAAATCATGATGTTTTTTATTTATTTATTTATTTATTTATTTTTAGTAATGCACACTTTCTTAATGATGTACTTTTGCCTATTTTAAATGACCAAGTACAATTATTGTTGGATAGTAGCAAGCCAATCAATGATTGCCCCTGACCGTTGAATAATGTAATTTCCTTAAGCGTTTTAGTTGGTTTACACATAAGGAATAGTAAGATGTTTTCGAAGAGAGGCACAAAAAGGGGACATAAATTTATTGCATATTCAAAACAGTTAAGCAGTTATTACTTGACCTATGCAATGTTGGATCTGCTCAGCAAGACGAAAAAACCTCAGACAAGGATCGCAGAAAACAAGGGGAATTTATATACAATTGATGTATACAAAATATCAGTCTATGAAAACTGATTTCACTTGTCTTGACCAAGCTTTTACAAAAACCTACCTTTAATGTTACAGATGAGGTATAGAGCCAGGAAAACTGCATGGGCCAGCACTAAAAGAAGAAATAATGAAATTGTATAAATTTAATATTGAAATATTATTGGATAAAAATAATTATTATAGTTAAGCTATCTATTACGGTAAAGATCAATGGAAAACTATCATTAAGAAGGTGAAATCATTCTAAACCCGATAGCATAAAAAAACAAAGACAAATTATCATTGTGTCTATAATGGAAGGTTTGTTACAGTATAAATTACCAAATGTTTTAACAGTATAAATAATAATGTTAATATAATTAAGTATAAGACATAAACAGAAAACCACGAAATAATTATTTATGAGATGTTGTTGGCAGGTGTGCGATACATGACCCGATAATAGAAATATATAACAAAAATATTATTGTTCATCATATTTAAATATTCATATCAAATCTCTATTAGTTTATAATGTTAAGCAATAGTTTACAAGGATTGTTTTATATCATTATTTGTAATACTTAAAGATATACTATGCTTACATTTGATATTAAAAGATATTGATAATTATTAATCAGTCTCCTTGTTTATATATTCGTAAAATAAACATGTTTTGATTCAACACAAAGTAGATATGCTATGTCTTAAACTCTACACACTAGTGGTCACAATATGAATATATTTTGTCATTAAAAAATGTAGTTTTTTTTTTTAAAAAAAGACCAACTTTAAATTTGCATGTCCTTTAATAGAGACGTAGCTTTCAGTAAATAGTTTATTCATATTTTTTTTTCAAATAAGACATATTTAGCAAGCATTTTGTGGATTTCAATAAATTTCTGTAAGTGTAATACTTTTGTCACGGATGAGCATAGTATATCTTTAAGGTAAATAAGCTTATTGTAGACCAATCTACTGGAAAGCAAAGGCAGTACTGACACAACATTTAATTAAATTAATTTTACTTATTAGGGATAATAAACTGATATTTTGCTTATATAACAAAGGTCAATAGCATTTCGGGAAAAAAAACTAAAAGCGCAAATAGATCATAATGTACTGCCTTACTGCGTTACTGATATGAAAACAAAACTTATTAAATGCAACTTTAACATTTTAATTCTCGTTTTAAACACACACTCTTATAACCAAAGTTTTATCTCGGTTCAATATTATAATCAAAAGAAAAATAAGATACAGCGAAAGACAAAAACTCATGACAAAGCTATAAAAACAAACAGGGACTTAAAGAAGAAATTGAAATCATGTCATTGTGCGTGTAATAAAATAAGGTAGGATTGAAACACTTAGATAGCCAGATAGGTAAATAATAAGTTCGTGTCGTTGCAAAACAGTATAACGTAAAACTAAACAACAATATGCGGATCTAAACCGAATTTCCTCAACGTAACAATATGGTATCATTGTGTAATGGAAATAATAAATAATAACTTACTTTTGCAGATATATGAGAAAGCCAGTGAAAGGAAAGGAACGGCTTAAAATTTTGTTAATAGGAAGATATTGTGTAAATTTCTTATCTGTAAAATTTAGATTATACTAAATTTGAACTTTCTTATCTACGCACTAAATTAACGCATAGACCTCCATCGGAGTACAAATGCCCTTAAAGGCGCCTCATAGATTTGTGTCTGTTACATATATGAAAATGCACGCTTACATATAAGATTAAAAATCAAGGAACGTAATTTTGTTATCATGTAATTTAACATTTATGTGTAATTTAAACATAAAACAAAAAGGAGTTTAAGCATATAAAGATTCCCCTTGTTTGCCCCTTTTCTACAATTATATTTAATTGATTGTTTATCTAAAAGTTCATTTTCAATTTTCCTGTGTAGTGTGATGGATGAAAAATATATCTCACAAAGAAACGAAAAAAAAACTGGTGCAAAGTAATGAAATATATTGTGATCTTTTAATTACTAAAACCAAATAGTATTTTCTATTTGTGTACGCCATTTATTAGATGCGAGCACTCTTTTGGGAATGACATTCTCAAATGATGACGTCACAATAATTGATGTCACAATATCCATGTGTAAAATAAGCATAATCGTATAAATTATGCATTTTTTTCTTATTTAAATATTTCCAAATTATCATAATGGGTAATTGCGTGACACTTGTTTAAAGTAACATTGGTCACGCTAATGGGCGCGCACATAGCTTATAAAAGCATTTGAATATTTTAGTATTTGAATAATATAGGCCTACCATATTCCAGATAAATATCTACCGGTTCCAATGGTAGATAACTTTGGTACCGTAAACAATTGTAACCTGATCTCCAACCATGAATGTTAGTGGCCGAACCACCTTGAATGTTAGTGGCCGCACCCACCTTGAATGTTGGTGGCCGAACCCACCTTGAATGTTGGTGGCCGGACCCACCTTGAATGTTTGATGGCCGAACCCACCTTGAATGTTAGTGGCCGAAGACACCTTGAATGTTGGTGGCCGAACCCACCTTGAATGTTAGTGGCCGCACCCACCTGGAATGTTGGTGACCGACCCCAACTTGAATGTTGGTGGCCGAACCCACCTTGAATGTTGGTGGCCGCACCCAACTTCAATGTTAGTGAACGCACCCACCTTGAATGTTAGTGGCCGCACCCACCTTGAATGTTAGGGGCCGAACCCACCGTGAATGTTTTGGCCGAACCCACCTTGAATGTTAGTGGCCGAACACATCTTGAATGTTAGTTGCCGCACCCACCTTGAATAGTAGTGGCCGAACCCACCTTGAATGTTAGTGGCCGCACCCACCTTGAATGTTAGTTGCCGCATCCACCTTGAATGTTGGTGGCCGAACCCACCTTGAATGTTGGTGGCCGAACACACCTTGAATGATGGTGGCCGCACCCACCTTGAATGTTAGTGGCCGAACCCACCTTGAATGTTGGTGGCCGAACCCACCTTGAATGTTGGTGGCCGAACCACCCTTGAATGTTGGTGGCCGAACCCACCTTGAATGTTGGTGGCCGGACCCACCTTGAATGTTTGATGGCCGAACCCACCTTGAATGTTGGTGGCCGAACCCACCTTGAATGTTGGTGGCCGAACCCACCTTGAATGTTGGTGGCCGAACCCACCTTGAATGTTGGTGGCCGCACCCACCTTGAATGTTGGTGGCCGAACCCACCTTGAATGTTGGTGGCCGAACCCACCTTGAATGTTGGTGGCCGAACCCACCTTGAATGTTGGTGCCGAACCCACCTTGAATGTTGGTGGCCGAACCCACCTTGAATGTTAGTGGCCGAACTCGCCTTGAATGTTTGTGGCCGCACCAACCTTGAATGTTGGTGGCCGAACCCACCTTGAATGTTAGTGGCCGAACCCACCTTGAATGTTAGTGGCCGAACCCACCTTAAATGTTTATGGCCGCACCCACCTTGGATGTTGGTGGCCGAACCCACCTTGAATGTTGGTGGCCGAACCCACCTTGAATGTAAGTGCCGAACCCACCATGAATGTAAATGGCCGCACCCACCATGAATGTTGGTGGCCGAACCACCTTGAATGTTAGTGGCCGCACCCACCTTGAATGTTGGTGTTCGAACCCACTTTGAATGTAAGTGGCCGAACCCACCATGAATGTTAATGGCCGCACCCACCATGAATGTTGGTGGCCGAACCACTTTGATTTTAAGTGGCCGCACCCACCTTGAATGATTGTGGCGGCACCCACCTTGTATGATGGTGGCGGCACCCACCTTGAATGTTGGTTGCGGCACCCACCTTGATTGTTGGTGGCCGCACCCACCTTGAATGATGGTGGCCGTAAAGTAAGCCAGTCCTAATAATTTATCTTTTTTTCGCTCCTCCCGAAGCAGGCTGGAACGTAAGAACGTCAATCAAACTTGCGTCGATTATCTGCAAGAAAACCTCCTCTCTGAGTTCTGTCCAAGGGAATAGAATGTTTTACAACAAAAATAATGCTTGCTTTTTGAAAATTATCTCGCAGGAGACAGCACTGGCCATTGGCGTTCATACAAGCCCTTGTTTGTTTGGAAGAAAAACATTTAAACAAACTATTATGATAGCAAAAGGTCTACAGTGTTTCACTTACCGACCTTTTTAAGTAGTGCAAAACATTAAAAATGACTTGATGCGGTTATGGATTACACGAATAGTTCCATTTGACATGTTTTGTAGAATCTATGTGACAACAAGTATAGCTTTAAGTATGTTGACGTGTTGGGAGACATTTATTTCCATTTTGAATGCTATTTTTTTTATCAAAATTCTAGTTCATCAAGTGTAAGTTTTCAATAAGCAAAATCTCACGCTATGTTATCTGTAAGGACATACATGCATGCATACCACTGGTCATTTAGTCGTCAATAGAAACACTTGTTTCAAATTAGGCGAGGACTAAGCGACTCGAAGGCAACATCGCCAACAGTCTTTACCACTCGGCAAATGCATCAACAATGACTAACAATGACTAGAAGGCCTTGTATGGACAACCTAAGGTGGACTCACAACTACCACAAACTTGCTGAATGGTAACAATGATGTCTAAGAAAGATAATGCCAAAAGTCGACTATATTTGAGATCCTATATATCTTGGACGTTTGTGTTTCAAATTGAGGCATGTAACTGAGAATATAATGCTTCAAGCATTGCTATACACCGATGAAATTTTGGAAGATAGGTGGTCCTAAAAGATAAAAAAATGTAGTTTTTTTGTTAAATTTCGTAAAAAAGAACGGAACGAAATAACACATATTCCATATTTTGCGAAATATATTTTCCTTTAATGAACTAATATTTATTTATTCATTTTTCATTTTTTACGGAATTTTAATTTGAGGATATTCAAGTTCTTTCTGTAAAATCAGGATTCATTATCACCGAATTTTATGAACATAAATATTTCATGAATGTCAGTAGCAACTTCATACTACAAGAAGAAAATAAATCATGTATTTAAAGAAAACATCTTAAAATTGTTGTTCATCATATACATTTATTTACATAACTATTAATTCCCTTTAAATTGTATATTGGCTGAATTTAGAAACAGTGCTCCGTAAAAATGCGGAAAATATGTTACAATGCAATGGACTTTTTACAGTGAAAACACAGAAAAATGAAAATATATATGCTTTTTATCAATATTTCTCAATTTTTCATTTCTAAAAATATAATACATAGCATACAGGTAATAATAATCTATAATTACGTTTTAAAAGAAAAGAACAAGTGTCACGGAATTCTCTTATGTGCATGTTATTATGGACATGATGTATGTCGAGCTTTTTTTCAATCCGACATTTCATTTAAATCGATTTTTGATAAGATCGTTTAATTATGTAACCAATTCAACAGCTTGTCAGTGTGTCTGTCCTTACCTCATAAAACTTGTACGGACCACTCCTCAAAAGCTACAAGTGTTATTTCATCCAAATTACAGAAATGATATGTACTTCTTTAAGTCTTATTGGGCATATCGTCGTGCATCTTCCGGTTAATGATTTTGTCAAAGTTATGTCCTTTAATGATGTTTTAATCTTTACAGTTTGTCAGTACTACCCCTCTTATACAACTTTTGCAATTTCAATGAAACTTTATGGGACTGATCTGTACCTGAACTGCTTGCTGGTGTTACACGGATTTTCGGCTTGTATGATTTTATGGCCCATGAATAAAAAAAATTGTTTTTGTCTGTTAATAAATTTTGTGTTTCTAGCTACACAGAAGCATGTCCGGACTATTCCACAGAAACTGCTGGTGCAATTTCATTCAAACTTTAACAGCATGATCAGCACTAAATCTAATTGTGTTCATCGTCGGCATTTTTCAGTTCATTAATTTTCGTCAGAGTTGTTGGATTTAATGTTTACATGTATATTTTCAAACATTTGTCCTGACTACTATTCTTAACAACTTATTTAAAGAAACTTTGCAGAATTGACCGGCATATACTTGGGCATATACAACGGGTTTTCCGGTTGACTGGTTATTTTTTTGCTATGGTCCTTAAATAAAAACGCGTTTTTTTTTTGTTTTTTTTTTTTTGTTTTTTTTGTTTTTTTCGATTTTCGTGTCTCCTACTGCACAATAGCGGACACATTCAATGGGCTATCATCAACCAAAATACACATGTAATTAATGACCGTTCTCGTTTCCATTCACAATCGCTCAAAGGCAGACAATTTAGATAAGACATTATGTATTGGCATAGGTGATTAATAACCATAGGTTACGTATAGGTGAAAATGTTATCTGAAAATGTTTGGAACTTCAAAATGGTACGCTGCTCAGTATCAACGAAAACAACAACGAGGTGAATGGTATAATAGATACAGTGGTGAATTTAAGAGTGGAAAAAACAGGTACTTCAATTTCTTTTTTATAACAGCGGTTTCAAAAATTAAATTGACTTCAAAAAATATTGCTCTGATTACGTAAATCACGGGTAGTATTTGCGTAAAATGGTATTGCACGGCCGTGCATATAACTTGACGTGACGTCATTTGCGTTATATATGTTAAAACAAAGAGTAAAGACGCGCTAAATGTTAACAAGCGTTACACTATAGGTACGTCAAAGGAAAAAAAATCTTGTTAAACAATCTTCAGCTTTGGTACGTTATAAATTGAATATAAATTGAATTCGTGTTTGTCTATTTCTGAATTTATTGACTTATTGAGCTTTTAGGTTTTTCTTTGGTCATACAAGGAAATAAATAAGATTTCTGTTAAAGTTGATTATTAAGTCACTTTAATCACGATTTGTTTGATATTTGGACCCAATTTTCTGCCATGATTTTTGTGATAAGACGAGTTCATGAACCGTGTTGTGACGCTATCGGTACATGAAAATGGAGGCGTTTTACTTCTTCGGTAAGCTGAATTTGAAAAAAAAGCTATCATTTTCAACAGTTAAATTACTTTTCGGTCCTTTTTCGGTAATAATTTTATGAAAGTGTTTTTCGCAATAAATACTGAAGTGAATGGATCCTATTCTTATTGGTTTATGCAACATTTTCTTTAAATTGGTAATCGGTTTGAATAATTACACGATGAGTGAACGTCAAAGCCAGACCATGGTGTGGACAAGTATGATTCATTTGAGATAAAGTTTGGAGACCTTTATTCTGAAAAGGTTTCCGAGTGAAATTGATACGCATACATGCAAAGTTCATTGTTTTGAGTGCAGTTACGCGCGTCCCAGCTACTGCACTGTCTGTCGGGGATGTAAATTGAGCAAGCTGGTAGATTGGCTAATGATATTTTCTGTGAGGATAACGATAGAAGTGTCATTTTCAGATGCTCGTTAATTGGTTACTTTTTTTTGGGGGGGGGGGGGCGGTTTGAATATTGTGACGACAGGGAATGTGTTTTTAGTTTTGCCTATGATACAAATGAGAAAGAACATCAAAACACTTGGCAATTTGATTCGTACCGGGGGAGGGGGTACAAATCAGAGATCTCGGGATTTTATGTTCTTCCTATTACTTAATATATCCGCGGTTTTGTAAGATAACTCGAATGTACCTATCATTACATTGCAATATTTCATTGATTGTAAATAATCTAAGTATATCTCGACCTGATAACAAGACCACATATTTAATCATTATGCTGAAAACTAAACTTTTAAACTTGTGTAGTGCCTAGATTATAGAAACGAATGACAGTCGAACTTCGTTCGGTCGGACTCTGGAGGCCTTTGCAGATTTGTTCGAAACATCGATAATTCGAAACAACTATCATAACATTCTTTATACTTTAAGTATAACTATATATGAAGATTCCAACAAAAATGAGGTTGAATACAAATATATAAAATTATCTTATAGATTACTATTTTAAATAAAGTCTAACAAAAAAGGGACAAATGTATGAAATTCCAACAGAAAAGAAAGCAAATATTAATATATATGTTTTTACAACAAGATGCTATCAAAAACATTCAGGTCTGCAGCAAAGAATAGCAAATAATATAAAAAAAGAGTCAAATTATTCATGGGTGTGCCAATTGAAATTGATTCAATATTATAATTGTCGTCTCTTATCACAAAGGAAATTGCAATTAAACCATCGATGTTTATATGTTTAGATTGAAAGACGATTTACCCATTAATGTTGACTGGATCATTGCCTTTGTACCATGACAACGAGGGGACATCTCAAAATTGCCAAAAATTACTATTTTGCGTTAATTTTTTGCATCAAAATTGATTTCAAAATGTTGCAGCTTCTCAATGGATTGAGATAGAGTCAAATACTTTTCAGCGTTGGTTACACGTACCTTATGGTCGATCTGGGGTCATTTAAGCCTCTCACAAGTCCAAAATTTTCTTGGCGATGAGGGGGACTGCCGCCCCCCTTCAACCCCCCCAAACAGAAGGGGGCACATCCCCCTTCTGGCAACCTCCTGATGTATCTTTTGGTTGGGGCCGCGCCGAAAAAGTGGTCACTTTTTTAAACAACATTTCTCAAACAAAAACAAGTTTTGGGGCCTAAATAAGGTATTTTTCACCATTTGAGACAACTAAAAAGGGGGGCTGAAAAGGCGTTAAAATGCATGTATATTGCGTAATGGGTTAACAGAAAATGATTAAAATACTTGAAATTACGCAAAATTGCGTTTTTCCATGTTTAAACATGACCTAACTTATAAACTTGAAGAAAAGTTGTTGTTTTGTAGATTTTTTTGATTTTTTTCATTAACCCATTACTTCATGAGCATTTTGTGAAAAATGGCTGTTTTCATTGAAAAGTCTCCCGTTACAAGTTCAAATTGCTATAAAACTATAAAAACTGCTTCAATACTAATCAAACTTGGCTCAAACAAGTGTTGACTGGACCATTGCCTTTGTAACAACATGCCCAGGCCTAAATTTCCTGTTACCATGGCAACGAGGGGACATCTCAAATTGCCAAAAATCACTATTTTGCGTTGATTTTTTCCATCAAAATTGATTTCAAAGTGTTGCAACTTCTCAATGGAGACAAATAAAAACGGTGGGGTGGGGGCACGAAAAACGCGTTAAAAGGCGTGTATATCGCGTAATGGGTTAACTAAAAAAATGTGAGAACAAATTAACCTTGTAAATCTCTAAATCAAATTGATTCTTTTTGCAGCTGTATTTGCATGTCTGATAGGCGGTAATGTCTGTACAGTTCCAATTCCGAAAGGTTGTACCGTCTTTGGCTATGCATGTAAGTGGATTTCGTTTTCAATAACTGTTGCAAAGGCAACACAATATGATATAATCGAATATAGTTTATTTTGTTGTTGTTTGCGATTAACCGTTATTCTATTTCTATTTTTAATGTATTTTATTTATTGTGTTTTATTTTCTTAAAAAGGCCGATTATGGCCAAGGAATGTTTTAATTCGCACTTTTAAAAGAAGAGTTCTATATCTGTGCAACTTCTTTAATAATTTCCAAAAAGTAACCCAGAAGCCAATGACCTGAACCATTGTTTTTATTATTTTAATGCTTGACTTTTAAAGTATTGTATGGAAGTCAAAACACAACTTCGTTTACATATTGCTAACTTTATGACAAATTATTACACATTTTAAGCTACTTTATTCATATAACACACATCTTCCTCTCTGGCGTGGGTTCGATTCCCGGGAGATGCTTTGGTAGTTAAGCGCGGAGGAATGTAGTCAAGTACTGGTGTAACTCTCCAGGAACGATGGTTAGGAAACTACCCTCCTATATGACTGAACTACTGTTGGGAAAAGACGTAAAATGAAACAAACAAACAAACATCCGCTATGCTCTAAAATCATTATATATTAAGAGGTTAAAATGTATTCGTTTCTGGAGAATAATGTGTCTTGCCTTTAATCAGATTACAGCTAGAGCAAACACTATATCCCTATAGTAGAACTTTATCTCTAAAGAATAATTATATCCCTATTTTCCTAAAAACTATATCCCAATATTCCTGTAGTAGAACTATATCCCTATATCTCTTTAGTAGAACTATATCCCAATAGTATAACTATATCCCTATAGAAAAACTATATCCCTATATTCCTTACGTAGAGCTATATCCCTTTATCCCTATAGTAAACTTATAGACCGCCTCCGTGGTCGAGGGGTTAGAGTTGATGACTTCTAATCCAGTTACCACTCTGGCGTGGGTTCGATCCCCGGGAGATGCTTTGGTAGTTTAACGCGGATGAAGATAGTCTAGTACTTGAGTTACTCTTTAGGAACGATGGTTAGGAAACTACCCATCTATATGACTGAATTACTATTGGGAAAAGGCGTAAAATGAAACAAGCAAACAAACAAACAAATATCCCTATATTCCTGAAGTAGAAAAATATCCATATCGCAGAACTATATCCCTACAGTAGAACTATATCCCTATATTCCTGTAGTATAACTATATCCCTATAGAAGAACTATATCCCTATATCCCTACAGTAGATCTATATCCCTAAAGTAGAACTATATCTCTATATCCCTATAGTAGAACTATCCCTATATCCCTATAGTAGAACTATATCCCTATAGTAGAACTATATCCCTATATTCCTATAGTAGAACTATATCCCTATAGTAGAACTATATCCCTATAGTAAAACTATATCCCTATAGTTTTACTATATCCCTTTATCCTTATAGTAGAACTATATCTATATCTCCCTATAGTATAACTTTATTCCTATAGTAGAACTATATCCTTAAATCCGAATAGTAGAACTATATCCCTATTGTAGAGCTATATCTTTATATTCCTAATGTAGAACTATATCTCTATAATGGAACTATATCTTTATATTCCTAATGTAGAACTATATCTCTATAGTAGAACTATATCCTTATATCCCTATAGTAGAACTATATCACTATAGTAGAACCATATCTTTATATTCCTAATGTAGAACTATATCTGTATAGTAGAACTATATCCTTATATCCCTACAGTAGAAGTATATCCCTATTGTAGAACCATATCCCTATAGAAGAAATATATCCCTATATTCCTATAGTAGAACTATATCCTTATATCCCTATAGTAGAACTATATACATATATCCCTATAGTAGAAATGTATCCCGATAGTAGCAATATATCCCTATATAGAAGAACGTATTTAGATCGGATATTTATGCATATTACCAGTGCGTTCTATAATTATCAATACCAATCTTCATAATATAGCATGGAAAACATATCAAAAGTCAGTAAAATTGGTCAATTATTTAACATTGTGCTACTCGAAAGAATGTTATATTTCCACGCTTATATCTTAATCATTTTTATTATTATACTATTTTGTCTTCCTTATTTTTACGTACGTTTCTATTTTCAGTGAACGGTTTTCATCATCTACCGTTACCAATTAACGCAAGAACAGTTATACCCCCGCTGTTCGGGCGCCGCTTTATTCTCAACAACCCACTACCAAAATTAAACTTAAGTGGGATCAACTTTGGCAATTTACATATAAATATGTCCGGTATATTTCAGGCATCTACACAACTAGTTTACGATTCTATAAAACCGACGTTACCACGTAAGTGTTTGACTTAAATGTAATTACGTCATTAATGCCTTGCCGATTTCAACACTTAACTGGTCATGCCTTTGAGCTTTAGTCCTCCTAATTGGCTTTCCCGATACTATTCAGTAAACCGACTTTTAATTTCACATGATTGGTAAAAAGAAATGGCCTTAAGATTGAACGTCCAAGAACATTCTGTTTTGTTTCGCCTGAGAATCAAAACTTATTCATTTCTGGCTATATAAGTTGCGAGCATCTTTGACATGAAAACCGGAGCTAAAATGGGAACTTTGATTTTGAAAATTGGAGCAACAATGGGGACTTTGTTTTTGAAAATTGGTGCAACAACTGGTACTGATTGTAGAATATATTATGTGATCTGTTATAAATCAAAATATGAAATCCCCCTCCCCAAAACAACAAAAAAAAAATAATTAATTTATGCTATGAAACACAAATCTTACCGGCACGTATAGAAAACTGATAACGCTCTCTAAAACTAAGTTATTAAGTTATCACTGAAGAAATTGTCTAATTTTCCCTACCTAACAGTTTGCCTTTCGCGTATTTTTTCAGGTACAAAGGAAGTCCAGCATACATGCAGAATAGGTAATGATACCTTTCATTTTTATTTCTCACTAACTTTAATTTTTTAGTACTTTTTTAAGTTTCGACAAAAAACTCCATTACAACAAAGATGAGAAAATATGTGGTTCTTTTGCTTGGTTTGTAATTAGTTTAGATCTATAACTAAAGTGCATTATTTCTTTGTATTGAAATTGAAACACTGTTTTTGTTTTTATTTTGCTAACTTAAAAGTACATTATTGCACGCATAATGTTTCTTTAGGATCTTCATCTATTCAGTCGGCCATGTATTTATCTCTTGTAGTTGAATTGTGGTTTCTCTATGATGTTATCATTGCAAAGTATAATATTTTATTCTGTATCATATGATAGCCAATATGTGTAACGCATGTGTCAATGGGCGGTGAAGGGGGGCACATAGGCAAAATGTGTCAACTATTGTATGGCAATTGTCAATAAAATTAAAGCGAAACTGAAAGTGATAAATGCTAAAAAATTAGAAAATAGATTTCAATTTTGAGTACATTGTTGTAAAGCACGGTTTGAGTTCAAATACGTGGATATATAATGCCGAGGGCCGAAAGCATTAATTTTGAACGAAAAACCGTGAACTTTTATGATGCATATATTTAAGCACATGTGAATAAAAAAGAAACTTGGTGACAATATGCGGAAGAGATCTACACTGAGTGTAGAAGTGCTTTTCTGGCGTTATTGGTTTATTGACGTCATTTCTGACGTCATACCTCGTGTTAGCATTTATCTTTTTTGTGCTCTGAATATATCGTGTAATAACGAACTTGTTTGCTTTATCTGTTTAATAGGGGAATGGGTGAAGCGTGTTAGAATATGCTTTTGCAAAGATTTTATCACACACTATGATGATTTATGATAAATTAATATGAAATGTATACCAATATATCTTTGATACACTTCAACACATTACAGTTGTGTCCTTTTTACTCTTGTTAGAGTGAAATGTCACTTTAACTGCAATATAGATATATGACTCTAGGCTTCTTTAGTATTTATTCTAAAATAGTATATTTTTCGGTAAAAATAAGTCCGATTAAATTCCTTTGTAGATATGGACACGACGTCACAAAAAACATTAGGTAAGTTTATTTTTCTGACCATTTAAATTATCTGAGCTGATTTTTTGGCCTTATTTAACGATTAAAAGATTATAAATCAACTGTCCTATTTTTAAAATACTTCGTGCATGTTATTTTAATAGGGCATAACCGAAGTCAGTAAATATTAGAATATACTTATAAATATCGTTAAAGACTGTTCTTTGTTAAATATTCAATACAATTAATCTTTAAAAGCGTGGGCCGTAGCTACAATTAAACTCATGCGAGGACTACTCTAACTAACTTTTTTCGATATTGATTCATGTTTCAAATTAAAATAAGCACCTCCAGAAATGTACACTTGTCCATCAGAAAACCGAAGAAAAAAGAAAACAAATGAACACACAATACTTTCTAACGGGGTGGAACCCCATATTTATCCCAAAAATGAACACCGGTAAAAAGTATAATGTGAATTTCCGCTGCTCCAGATGTGAAGCATAACACCAGATGTGACTGTGAAATTAGGTCAATCGCTGATTAAGTTTACAACGTTTTAAACAGTTACAAATGTATATAAAATTCAATCTTTTTTTTTAAGAAAAACGAAATGTGATTCAACCCTCCTGACTCTCCTCTATATTACCCATTTTGGTTTTGGATTTCTATGCATTCTTCATCGAGATATTTTTCCGTCGTGGATTCTGGTGTGTCCAAAACATGCAATGTGTATGAAGAAAATGTCACTAAATTGACCGAAAAAAAGAGATTTTACGATATATCACTACAGGCCGATGCTAAACATTCAGACAAATCCTGATTCAAACATTTATTGAGATTTTGGTACAAACGAAGGTTGCTTCACATCTGGGGAAATTCAAATATACTATTTACCCATACTCATTTTTGAGATGCATATGGGGTTACACCCCCGTGTTTCTTGAGCATATTTATTTGTTCTTGTGTACATTTTAGATTTTGTTCGAGCTATGATGACAAAGTATAAGGTGTGCACAATGTGTGACAACTTTGATACCAACGAAACAACTTGTAACACGATTGGTTTCTGTCCGATGACATCAGTAAGTTTTTTTTTATTTATTTATCTATGTATCTGTTTATTTATATATTTAATTGATACATTTATTTACTTACTTATTTATTCATTTATTTAGTATTTACATTTGTTTCGTTGTACCCTATCTGTCCATAACACTTAATATCATTCAAGTTAAATATTCTTTTGTTGTCTTTGACAAAATACACATTCTATGCCTCAGCTGTTACTGAAATTGCCACCCAAATATTTAGCCAAAAGTAATAGTTAATATAAAAAACGAATTTGTGTCTTTGTATTGCTAAATGAAACTTTCACTAAATATGAACATTCTGTCATCAAAGTTTTACTATAGATGGTAATGTCAAGCCCCTTTAAACTAATTGCTGGGCTCCCGGGATCATGAAATCACATCTATAGAGCTGAGCTTTGGAAAACATATGCAAACTCTCAGCGTTACATGGCCCCGATAACTCTTCTGGTGGTCTGGTGGTTAATATGTCTGCCTCTGAACCCAGGACACGTGGGTTTTGGCCGTACTCGGGTCATGATCGTGATTTCTCGTAGACACCATTACTAGCGGACTAGAAAGTAATTAATATAAACTTCAAGAACTTGTTTCGCAATCGAGCTAAAATGAATATGCTTAAACTAATTCTACAATAGTGTACGTAATTTTAGTCAATGTATAAATGCTTATAATATTATAATATTCTTCCATGATAGAAATGTTACAACGGACAGTCTAATGACCGCCACTTTTGGCCAAAAACCTCGATCTACAGTTTTTACGACGCAGCACACCCAAAAGCAGGATATCACGGATGCTGCTTGTCCACGGACCACAATTGCAGATATGTAAGTCAGTTTGCCCCCCTTCTGTGAGTGTCCACATTTTAAACGATTTTTATCACAGTAAATGGTTAGTTTGTGTCACTGTACACATTGTCGCATGTCGACAAATGTCATGTATTATAGATTTACATCTTTCAAACGAATATGTGCAAAACAAAAGACAACTGAAACAAGAACAACAACAAACTGTCAATAAGAACTACTAAATATTATGCAGATTTTTTTTTTAATGGAATAAAAATTAGAAGATTAATATTTTTGTACATGTAACATTCCACTTTGAAACTGATATAAGATATTTCTGATGTAGGAGTTTTGAATTTATTAGTATAATAGAAGTAAAATAGTTATAGTAGATTTATTATATATAGAGGATATTAAATGAGGGTAGATTCAATACTGAATTTATTGAACTAGTTGTATAAAATTATAATATAACTTTATTCATCGAGTTCAATAAATTAAGTAATGAATCTACCGAATAAATAATATTTCATTTATCACATACCCAACGTAAGAACCGTTAAGGTTAAAATAATTATTTTTGTATTGACGCGGCTGTAGCGTAAGCTAACGTTAGTGCGTCTTTACGCTATGTTGGCAAGTATGTGTACACCCAATGACGTTTCGACAAGATATATGCACGGCTGTGCAATTAAGTTTTAACGGAATCTCAAAAGCAACACTGGTATATGATAAAAGAATGTTATATATTACCAAGATGTGATTTTTTTATATTATAGCACCGATACATTGTAAAGAACAAGAAGAATCAGCATTTAAATGCAGCTAATTATACTATCAAAACATGCACAACATTTGCCTGCAACGGAGGTTAGTATGATCTTTCTAAGTTTCCATGGTGACATTATAAACAACAGGTGCATAAAATCCTTAGAATTCTTAAGTTTAAACATGACATTACAAAGTTAACTTTCCTTTCCTCACATATTGCGTTATAAGAATATTTCTTTATTAAAGATGTTAGATTTTTTGGTGGTTGATTTGTGCCATGTTTTTTTTTCTCCGCGGGGCGCAAGACGAAAACACAAACAAAATGATTGTGACCACTGTGTCGTATTTTTGCCCCTTGGGACGCCAAAGCAAGAAAAAAAGACAGTCTTCAACTTTCGATCCGCGGAGCACAGGAAATCAATTAAACACGAAAATACGACACAAAAGTGATCATTTCATTTTGACGTACTTTCATGGAATAAAAATACGCATGGCATGAATTAGCAACCACAAGATTGCGCCCATTGTAAATAACTTTTCTTTGAAATGAACCTTTATCAGTAGTGAAAAAAAAAACTTTGCAAACGAATGTAATATCAAACGATTTTTTTCTGATTTAATTTCCAGGTGATAGCAACAAAATCACAACGCTTTTGGGAAGACTGCGTAAGAATATTCAATATTTATTTCGTTTTGGGGAGTCTGGAGGTTAAAACAAAAACTAAATTCTTTATCTTTAAGTTTTACAGATAATAAACATCCGATTCCTAATTTAAACTGCCTTCACGTTGGTACAATAATGCTGCTTAACGTATCCTAGTGAACTAATACCAGGTAATAACCCTAAACCCAAAGCCAAATCTGGCTTCTTTCCCCAGTTTTCGTAGAATGGATATTTTAAAACCGAGAAGGCATTTTCCACTGTGACGTCATCACTTTTAAGAATATCAATATAGCGACTGAAAAAGATAAGCTATATATAAAGTGTCAAAGTTGTATTTCGATACTCATTAAGCCGTTTTCATTTATAGATTACGAGCTATTAATACTTTTCCTTTTAAGAATTTCTGACAAAGAATGAACATGTTGAAAATAACCTATCTAATCGCCGAGAAAATGTAGTTTTAGTTTTTCAAAAGTCTGTTTTGCAATCATTCCAACGAAAAATATATATTTCAATATTTCTTATATTTTCGACATTAACAAGAGGATGGTAGGTGGGCTGCCTGGGGCTCATGGGGTCAATGTTCGCGCACCTGTGATACAGGAACTAAACATAGGACTAGAACATGTACAAACCCAAAACCGACCGGCACGGGGAAGCCGTGTGTTGGATCTTCTTCTTCAACAACATATTGTCATGGTCCAACTTGCCCTGGTAAGTACATTTAAAATGTATGTATTTATTTTATTCATAGACTATTAAAAGCTTAACCAAATGATTTCAATTTTACAGTGATGCTTGCCTTATATTGTATAAACAACATATATTACTGCTAACTTTACCTGATTTATAATACAAAATATGTATGTTTGATCAGTTGATTGGCATAAAATAAGACAAAAAACACGCTGTTTATTATTGTTAACCCTTCATTCTTGTTTAAATACCGTATTGCATTCAGGGACGGAACGTTTTGTTTTCCTAGTCAAGGAAGGCGTAATTCTAAGTGTCGGTTAAAATAGGAACATATTATTTTTTAAAAAATTTAAATGTTTGATGAAAAAAATCTTTATCTTTTTACCAGTAAATGGCCACTGGACTTCATGGACAGTGTGGGGAAGTTGTTCCGTTACATGTGGGGACGGGATAAAGTCTCGTACACGGACTTGCACTCATCCGGCTCCATCACATGGCGGTAAAACGTGTGTAGGGTCATCCGGTGCAAATACTACATGCAGCTTAACAGCGTGTCCTAGTAAGCAAATAAATTAAGCTATTGTGTTAGATAATAATAACATGGTTTATACATTATGGTCCTAACAGTTTGCAGGTCTTGCATCAATGCAGATGAGATTCGGACAGACATTCCATTTTAAACACAATATGATTGTTACAGATATGATGGCTGATTTGTAATGGGTTGTAATTCGCTCTGCTGGGCGCAAGACGAAAATACGACAATGTGAACATTTTGCTGTACTTTTGCTCCGCGGGGCGCCAGGTAAAACCAAGCAGATACGAAAAAGTGGTTACTTATTTACTTTGCTGCTTTTGCCAAGCGCCCCACAGAGCTCATGGCACATTATTTTTGCCTGACGCCCTGTTGAGCTAAAATGCGACGTAACACAAATCATAGTAAGACAAACGTTCTAAATGTAACAAAAAATCAATTTCAATAATATACATGTTAATTATTATTTATAACACAAAATTGAAAGTAAGCATATCTTTGTAATAGCATTTATGTGTTCTTTCGAAGCTTCATTCATTGAATTAAATAGCAAATGAAGAAAAAATCTTATAAATTAAGGTTGCGTCTGTTAAATTGTTAAATTGTCTATCAGTTGACGGACACTGGGCAGGATGGGGTCATTGGGGATCATGTTCTGTCACGTGCGGAGGAGGAACAAAATCTCGTCACAGATCATGCAGTCATCCAGCTCCATCTAACGGTGGTAAAACGTGTAGTGGATCATCTCATGTGTCAGCTTCATGTGGAACAACACATTGCCCTGGTATGTCACGTGACAACACGTGCTATTTTTAGTTTGTTTGTCTGTTTGTGTTATGTTTCGTTTATTCGCACAGTCATAAGGAACATTTCTGTCTGCTTTATTTTCTTATACCTAGTTTTGTAAATGTTTTTCGGCAAACATACATGGTTTTTACGCTTTAAATAAATTTTGTCAATTTTAGTTTAAACATATTTATTTATGCTCGAGTAGAGGCTGGAGTAGAGACTGAACCTATGATCCCTGGGTTGAGAGGCATACACCTTTACCACTAGGCCATCAATCCCCCACCACTTTTTAACCCCCCCCCCCCCCCTTGTCAACTTCCGTATTTCATAATGGGTATGATTATGATTTATTGATAAGTAAATTTGACAACATATAACAGGATCTTTGAATTATGAAAACATAAATTTATTAACTTTGTCATAAATGATATTGATGGTACCAAACATTAATCGGAAAACCGGCGATAAAGCTTTTTTCATCAAACAAAAGAGGCGAATAATTCTGGAAAATGAATGCAAAACAACCCTATTTTGATAAGCCTTTGATCGGATAACAAATACAAATTGGGTTTGAGTGCATTCACATTCATGGAATTGAAGGAAAACAGTGTTTAACCTTTTGTAAACGTTAATTGTGTAAATCAAGTAATGCAACCCATGTGACTTTTGGATTATCGTAGTCTTATACATAATACAGACTTTACTCGATTTAAGTATATTTCATCGATACTTTTGCTTTTATTTAGAGAATGTTATCCCAACTATATTGATTCAAAGACGAACGAAGCATGTGCATCGTTGTGTAAATGCACAATGTACAAGGATGGAATAGAACGACTTATTTATTATTGTGAAATAAAATACACTTCCGACATTCTTTGTTCGCATCGAAAAAATTCCGAACGTGTTACATGCATAGTTTCCTTCTTTCTTCAACTTAAAAATACACATTAAATTGTAGTGAATTATTTTGCATACGTATTTTCATTTATCAAAATATCCGACTTGCAGTCGATGGTCACTGGCATTCGTGGCAACCTTGGGGCGCGTGCTCAGTAACATGTGGTCATGGAACAAAAACACGTGTAAGAACGTGTACAAGTGTATTATACGGTGGGCACACGTGTACCGGAAATAGTCAGTCTTCAGCAACCTGCGGAAGCCCTTGCAGTGGTATGAGATTTTTACTTTACATGATATAAGGTAAATACACTCCATATTGTTAACATTTTCAGAATGTAATTTGCTGAGTTGAAGAAAAATACCACATGAGGGGGATATGGTACATGATTTAAGGGTTTTTTTAGTAGACTTTGAATATAAACGAATATTGCTTTACCTCTATATAAGGGCAAACATGAGTTTAATAATGCTTGTTTCCTGCAGTAAGTAGCGATAAATGTGACATTATTTGTCAATGCCCCAAAATGTAAGAAAGACAGTAGTATTTTGACTTCCATACAAAATACTAAATCACTATTACTGTACTTATTGCCAAGCAGCAACATATGAAAAGACAGGTCAGGTAATTAGTCAATGCAAATTGGTCTCAAAGCAAAACAAAATGCAAACAGAAATAAAAACGTTAATAACTATTAAACATTAAAACAAGAAAATACTCTGTAAACAGGAGGAAACTTCTTGGTTATTTACAACTCTGGAAACGTCCTTGAACATAACCACACATATCCTACTTTTATTTCATGTCATCTATATGTGTAATTTATATTCAAATTGTTATTTATGAAAACCATTTGTTTATGATACATGTTATTTTTTGGTTGATAATTCGGTCGTTTCAAAAGCCTGACATATACCTATGAATATTTATCGTTTTATATTTTGTAAACTATTTTAAACGGCTGTGAAATGACTTTATAATTTAAATTCAATCGCTGTTCAGAACTGTATATACATGTAATAAATCACGTGACTAGTCAATCAACCAATCTGCACACTCATGTTAAAATACTGCAAAAAGCTATCAAATCGCTAGGTATCTGTAAAAAATATTTTGATTTTTTTTCAGTCGATGGCCATTGGAGCACGTGGAACTCGTGGGGCAAATGTTCGGTCACATGTGGACACGGAAAAGAGACACGTGGCCGAACGTGTTCTAACCCAGCACCAGCATATGGTGGAAAGGACTGCATCGGGGACCTCACGGACGAGCGTCAATGTGGGCAGCCATGTCAAGGTAGAGTTATTTGTCCCTTAGAAAATTGCGAATGCACTTAGAAATTAGCTTTCAGTAACGGTTTGTTTGAACCTTAAGATGGTTAGAAGAAGCAAAATGTTTCCGTTTTCATTTGTCTGCATACATGTATCAAAATCGTATGAGAACTCAGATGGGCTTTTTCGGAGTTTTCTAAAAGTACAAGAATTATTTGTTCTAATGGGTTCTCGGTAAGAAAGGCAACTGTTACAGACAACACAAAACAAATAACTCGACTTAATAATACACGTTTGGTTAAATCGTGAAAAATGTCTTCAGAATTTGGAATAATTAGAAAGAAGTATAATCGTTTTAGGAAATCAAGTTTCGTATCAAATACAGTAGAAACCCATTCATTTTATACAGGCAATACTTAAGTTAGAATATGTAGGAAGCTTTGTGCTTCAGCCTAAAGACACACTCTTGAATCTGTTATTGGAACCAAGCAGTAGTAAACATCGGGGTTTGAACCCAAGTGGCAAGCAATCATTACGCTATTATAGTTTGTAATGGGAACTATGATGGATTTACGTAGTTACGAGGTAATTGTGTTTTAAACCATTAATATATATTCTTTATAGTTGATGGTCACTGGAGCATGTGGCAATCATGGGGCACGTGCTCTGTCACGTGTGGTAGTGGCAAAGAGTCACGTGTGAGAACGTGTTCAAGCCCTAAACCTGCTCATGGAGGAAAACAATGTGTCGGTGATTCGACAGCGTCACGAACATGTGGCAAACCATGTATAGGTAGTTTCTCGTCATTCATATATATGTATATATGCACATTAGATATGTATCTGTATTGTAAACAGGTCAATTGTAACCTATCTCCATAACCCGGGGGACCGTGTACACATTCAGGCAACCGCCAGGTAAACGTCTAGCCCTGTAGAGAGAGGCAGATAGTATAACCTCCCTCTGAATCTCGCCCCCCCCCCCCTCTCAGGAAATACCTTGTCAATGCAGGTTCGATCTATACCCTATTTTTTGGCACAGACCAGGACAAATTAAAGCATATACACATGTTAAATCACTTCAGTGCAGCCCATACATCCCCTGAGTTGCTTCAAATGACGTGTCATCCTAAAATAAGACACTCATTACCTCCCTTGATGTACTGATACGGAATGAATCGTTGCGCTTCAATTATCTGTTCAGAAAAGCATTAATTTCTGGTAGAAGTTACTTCATTATATATTTTATTGTTATACTAACCGGTCAGCGTTTTTTGTCTTTTGTTTTCATGTGTGCTTTTGATTAATACTCATTGGGGCACAATTCAGTATCATTTTTTCTAAATCATGTTGATGCCCAACACACCGTAAGTTTATCTGTTATTGAAAAATAAATGCCATGAAAGGATACAAGATCACGACTCGTTTAATCATTTACATACAAATAAGAAATACAACTTTAAATCTTGCTTAAACCTTAATGCGGGTTAGTACCTACATAGAATAACTTAAAGTCTTAGTCTATTAAATGTATTTCAAAATATAGTTGACGGTTCATGGAGCGCTTGGCAAGCATGGGGAACATGTTCTAAAACGTGTGGAGATGGTCTTCAGTCACGTGCTCGAGCATGCTCAAACCCTTCACCAGCAAATGGCGGGAAAACTTGTGCCGGTGATTCTTCTCAATCTCGACACTGTGGAGATCCGTGCGTAGGTAAATATCTACTTATATATCAGAGAGATAGTCAAGAACACTAGTAAGATGTCTCATTTCTAATTTATTTTTTTTAATTTTATAATCAAGAAAACAAAGCAGAATTAATCCGACCTTATCAAGCTTTTAACCGACGCAAGCTGGTTCGCCTTGACCTTTTACGAAAAAAAATGTCATCTAAAGAATAACCTAAAACAAAGTTTTTAAGATTTCCATGCAAATCTTATACTTGTATTTGTTTTGCTCCCAGAACATTAAGCATAGTGTAGATTTTGCACTATATGATTTTAAATATTCCAACAAACTATTGTGTAATTTTTCATCTTTAAAGCTACATGCCTCCAGATAAGTCAAAATATTTCAAAATATTTCAATGAAATAAAACTTGAGATAAGAGTACTAAGATGTATGGAAAAGTGAAACGTTTTAAGGTTCAAGTAATATTTTACATATTATGTGCGATTAAAGTTTTTTTTAAATATTTACAAATATATTTCTACTGAGTTACTTACGCAATAAAGGCTATTTATGCATAGTTTGAGCAGGTTTTTTTTCTTCTAATTTACGTGGTTTGTAATGTGTAAACTGCTTCCTTTTGGTTACTTCAAAATATTCCATATTCAAATACATTTTCAAAATTTTCATGAAAATTAGCATAAATCTGGAGGTGTACTTTTAAGTAGTCTCAGCATAGTGAAAATTTTTTATTATTTTTTTCTTTTTAATATAGTTGATGGCCATTGGAGCGCTTGGCGATCATGGGGAACTTGTTCAAAAACGTGTGGTAATGGTCTTCAGTCACGTGCTCGAGCATGCTCGAACCCTGCACCAGCAAATGGCGGGAAAACTTGTGCCGGTGATTCTTCTCAGTCTCGACACTGTGGAGATCCATGTAAAGGTAAATATGTTAATTTTTCTACAATAGAAAGCAAGCAAAAAATCACATGTGTGAAAGTATTGTACGTACATTTGGCAATAAATGTGGCAAATCTGTTTTGGGCCCTTAAAGATAACGTTTTAACGTGGCTTAAGGCATGACTTCTCTAAAGGATACTGTAATGAACTGTTAAATTGACAATAAAGGGTCAGTTATATATCTCTTAAAGGACACCAACTGTATGCAAAATGTACCGTATGGTTTACGAGTTGCAACTACTAGGGTTTTCCCCCGACTCCCAATTTTTTATGCTTAATGCAGTTGACAGTAGTCTCCAATGTTATAAGAAACTGTAAAATCAGTAATATACCTTAAAGTACACCAACTGTATGCAAAATTTAAATAAAGTTTTCCGTATGGTTAATGAGTTTCAACTTTTAGGATTTGACCCCACCGAAATTTTAATGCTAGTAATGCAGTAGTTGTAGACTTTTACAATACTCTTCACATAATAGGTATAGCATCAGAGGGGTCAAACCTTAAATGTCCATTAGATATGCCTTTTATCAAAGGTAAAGTAGAGCGGAGCATTTCAAGATGAGTTAAAATGGCCTGCAATTTCACTGATTTATCCAACTGAAAAAGAGTGAACAAAGGTATAAAAATCTTCAAGTTGACATAGAACAATTTTGTCCCCCCCCCCCCCCCCCCCCCCCTTGCCTAAGTTGAAACTTCTGTTGCATTTATTTTTTTCGGTTTGTGTAATGTTAATATACATATTATGAAAATGATAACGATTCAGTTTATAGAAATTAACATGGACAATGATAAAAAAACTTGTTGTTTTTTTAAGTTTAATTGCATCATTTAAATGTGTAAAAAATTATAATGCTTTCTTCCTTTCTTTCTTTCTTCCTTTCTTTCTTTCTTTCTTTCTTTCTTTCTATTTGTTCTTCTAACGGTAATAGACTTTAAATTATATTACAAGATATCGCTTTATGCAGTTTTATAATTATTCTTATTGCAATTACATATTTTATCATTTAATTACATTTCGCTAGTTGACGGCCATTGGACCTCATGGACGTCATGGGGTACCTGTTCTGTAACATGTAGTGACGGAAAGGAAACAAGAACACGCACATGCACCAATCCGGCACCTGCTTACGGGGGACATACTTGTGCTGGCAGTGCCTCGGATGACCGACATTGCGGACAACCTTGTGTAGGTAGGAGGTCATTTGAGAAATAGAAAGCTTTCCTAATTCTTTAGTATAATTTCGAAATTTGATTCTGAAACAGGTTTGTTTACGATGACAAAAATGAAATAAAGAACACATGACTGTAAATTTGTAAAAACGCGTTAGTTTTAAGATCAAATCTGTTTATATTAGGGAAGGAAGAAAATGCTACTGTTTTTACCATGATATATCAATAGCATTAGGTACGAATTTTAGTAGCAACTGAAGAACTCATGTCGTCGGTCACTTACGGTATTTGTTCAGAACGTACCGCATTAAAATCCAGTTAGTACGGAATATAAACCGTCGGTAACCGACAATTGATAACAAATTGTCTGCTTATCTCCGTACCCTGCATTTTTAGATGAATGAAGCCAAACAGGCTTTTGATATCATCGAAATTAGATTGTAAAAAAGATTTCCTACGTTTTATAAAACCGTGTTATAAACACCACGTTGAATACTGAGATTAATTCATATTGCATACTTGTCCATTTAACAATAATTGAATGTATTTTAGTTGACGGACACTGGACAAAGTGGCATGAATGGTCTACATGTTCAAAAAGCTGTGCATCTGGGACAAGGTCACGGGTTCGAACTTGTACCAACCCCGCTCCGGCAAATGGTGGCACAGATTGCAGTGGCTCGAAAACCGTGACCGAGGACTGCAACACTGATAGATGCCCAGGTAGTTATTTTGTTATGATTGTAAATTAGATTTGAATCATTTCTAATGTTTCAGTAGGATCTCAATTCCTTTTGTCATAATTATTACAATGTTTTTGTCACAAACAATCTGTTATGATATTGAAAAAAAAAGTTGTTTGACAGGTATATATTATCCTCAATGTCGTGCACATTACTGTACATTTGTACTCTAACCATAATTATTTTACGAGTGAGACTAAAGTAATGTTGAGGCATGACACTAAATGCCGTATTTCCGTTACATACCGGACAAGGCGCTTGAATTATTAAATGTTTGAATCTCGCTTTTTTATCCACCGAAATGCTCGTTAAGACGCCTTATTTATCTGTTCACAACGATTTATATACGATAATGAATGAAAAATGTAAAAATTTGCGTAAAAAACAATATTTCTTGTACTTTGTGATCATGATTTATCCAAGCGTCTGAAGGCCTTGCTCCAAAACTGTTGTGAGTTAGATCCTTTTTCTACACTAACGAAGTCAATTAATATATCTTTTTCCTAAACTTCAACATTAATGTACAGAATGGTCACGTTGGTTCTACGACGCATGCTCAGTGACCTGCGGAAATGGAACGACGATGAGATTGAGGCATTGTAGTTCCGGGAAAGATTCCGACTGTGGAGTTGGAAAGGCATTTGAAAACGTCCCTTGTAATGAAAAACCTTGTCCTGGTATGTTTTATAATATTATTTTATAATATAATCTCATTCTTATGAGTTTTGAAATATGATATAAAAAACTAAATTGTAAAAAAATAGAATATGCAAAACAGTATGTCCCCCTTCTGGTTTGTACTGTAGCTTTCAAAGTCCTGCATAAGAAGCCATGGAGTCCTACGTAGGAATATTAAGCTCCTAATTAGATCTTAAATCTCCTACGTAGGGGTTTAAAAGATCTTATTTGGTTTTACATTTTTGTATAGAACAGGACACTTCCATATAAACCGGGGCTCTTGTATCAAATAATGAGTTTACAGCGATCATACCTGGCTGAATGGCATTTTTTTCTGTAAATTTTGATAATAGCACTAATAGCGTTTTCTATTTGTTCTTTCCGATGTTTGTTAGTTTTGAGAATACTTTGCTGACCGTATACAATAATATCAATGATTTCTGCGTGCATATATGATAAGAAATGTTTGACAAAACACTTACATTCAGAAAGCTGTCAATTGGTTTTCTAATTACAAATTAGGTCTATATTTTAGTAAACGGAGCTTGGAGCACATGGAACGCTTGGAGCACGTGCACTGCTACATGTGGGGAGGGACTGCACAAACGTTCAAGGTCATGTGACCATCCAGCACCACAATATGGCGGCGCGGATTGTAATGGACTTTCGGATGAAACTGAAGCGTGTAATACACAAGAATGTGCACGTTAGTATGTTTTTACCCGAGGCGAGGAAATATAGGAAATATACGATTGTTTTTTTTATAAATATATATTTATCTTTTGTAACAATGAAAAAGTCTGTGAGTAACATATTCTTCGATGTTAATTACACATAGGTGGGGGAGCGTTGGTCGCAAATATGACAAGTTTCAACATAATTCAAGTATCGAATATAATTGTTTGAATAAAAGACAGTGAAATATGGGACTTTCTTACGAGCCAATGAAATATACATAAATTCATGTACTAAACATTCTGTAAGCATGGAAAAATGTTTATATTGAATGATAAGAGACTGTAAGCCTATGAACTATACATAATTAATTACTGAAAGGAAAAAACTAATGAACAACGTATATATAGAATGATAAGAGACTGGGTTTATTGTACATATGGCCTAGTGGTAAAGGTGTATGTTGCTTAACTTTTGTACCCATGTCCAAGTCCCTTACCTAATACTGTATGTCAAGATGAAATAACCGGTTTCTGAAAGGTGTGATATACATTTGAACGCATAGCTTTTCTTAACCATAAGTATTAAATAAAACCCATGTAATATAAATGGGTTGTATGCTTTCTCTATAACAAGTGAGCTACACTTTTATTGGTTATCCTAAGAAATAATAGTAGATGGGATTAGGTTTGTGATGGTGATTACATTTGACACTCAGTATTTTAAATTGTTTATAATAAATCATATTCATATATAATTAAACAGTTGTTAAAAATGAACAATCTAAACGGAATAATTATTATTCGGAGTCCTTCAAATAAATAATCGAGACAGAACATCTGATACAAGGACACAATATAGTTTAAAAATGTTTTAAAAATTTACTATAATTAACAGTAGTCACTTGACCTGCTAATTATTTCTAAAATCCGTTCGTTTCCGGGCCATAACAGACTCATCTAAATCCGTAGGTTTCGGGACCATATTTTTTTGCAGATTCTGGTGCACAACAAAACAAAAGAGATAACTTTTCATTACACTCATACGTATTCTATACTGACATAATACAAACATGTACATTTATATCAATTTCAGACTGGCTCCCGTTCCAGGAAGTGAGCCCGTGTTCTGTCACGTGTGGTAAAGGGTTCAAGCAAATGAAACGTACCTGTAGTACAGGGGTTGTGTCGGATTGCACCGGAAGTGCATTCACCGAGGAAACCTGTATTCTTAAGGAATGTGCTTAAATATTTATATTGTTATTACTTGTAATAAGTGAGAACTATTTGAAGAAATAAATACTACAATCCACATAGTTATATATCAATAAAAGACAAAAACAAAATGATTTTGTTATCCTATTGGACGTATTGTGACGTTCATTCAATTTACATAAATATACGGTATGTACAGAGGTGAAAGCCCAATTGCTCAAAGTATTTGTTATGAAACTATTTTATTGGAACTTTATGATATTATGCATTCCCATTGGTTAAACCCGCTACACAAATACTCAGGACAAAAGGTCAAAGGTCTAGGCCACAGGACCTATAATAACAAACAAAACTGACCATAACTAAAAGCAATGTGCGTAGATCTAGGATCTTCAAAGCTTTCATATGAATGCACGGTGACGAGATCTACTTACACACTCATATTAAGGTCGCAATATCAAAGGTCAAGGACTGAGATTTCATATACAGTAGACATTGTATAAAGAGACCACTCAAGGGACTGCTATAAAGTTGTCTCTTGATAAAGTGGTCTCTCCAAAGAATCCTGGAAAATTCGAGACTTTTTAATATTACAAGTCATAGATATAATAACGTCTTTTTTATAAAAAAAAAAACAAAAAACTGTACAATATTATGTATGTATTACAATTTCATAATTACATTTATGCCTTTTTTAAAAACAAAAGTCCTCAATATGTGCTTGTTTTTGTTTTTAGTAGAAATGTGTGTACAAATGTGATCTACGCTCATAATACTATTAATTTTGACCATGAAACAAAGCATATTGTCTTATATTGATAATATGTTCATACACATCTCCTGCTGAACATACTTTCAAATCATCAGCCAGAGCTCCAGATAATTTTTCATGCAATGAGTTTTAAACTTCTTGATTTTTTCAACAATTAGTTTTCACACTACCCCGATTTCAAATTCAATTAGGTAGAGATTTAGGACATTTTTTTGTCTGAGGGTCCTATTTAATGGGGTACTACATGCATTTTATAAAGTATCAGATGAGCAACTACATCATCAGCAATGAAAGGCTCGGTTCTGTAATGTTTTGACCACTACTTTTCACGATTTTATTTCTACTACAAACGATGACATTTGCTATTTACACAGACTCAATCCCATGGACGATTTCCTTATTCAATTTATCCGGTCTTATTAATTGTCTGTCATTTTTTCACTCGTTCCGACGCCATTTTCGAAGGGGAGGTTCATCTGAGCACATGACAAAACTGTGCAAATGCGGTGTTGTGATACATTATTGCGCTGATAAAATATGTCACAATAAATATAACGATCGGAAAACTGTTTCTTTCTTTGCGATTTTGAAACGATTGCAATTGTTATTCAATTCGTTTTTAAACGACAATTATTTATGAGGGTCGTTTAATTGATACTTTAACACCTAATTTCGTATATTTTGGCAAACATTAAGTGGACGCTGGCCGCGATATAAACACGTCGTTTAATGGAATTAAATTATATAGTAAAAATCATCGGGAGGGATTTTATGCGGCCGTTTAAAAAAAGTCGCTTTATAAAGGTAGACGCAAGTGCAATGCCGACTGTATAAAGTTCAAATTAAGGGAAGTGCATTGACTTAGAAAACCTGCAACTTATTATTAATATGCATTTAAATGAGAACCAGTCGCTACATATAGCAGGTTAAAAGATCAAAGGGCATGGTCACTGTCACGTGTAATCGTAATAACAATACATAAAACAGGCCATTCAACAAAATTGCATTGGCCTAGGAAGATGACATTTTGTATTTATATGTACCTTGGTGAGCTCTACCCTCTATTATGGTCAAAAGGTGGCCACTGAGACATGATGATAAAGCAAAATGTAGAAAACTTGACATTAGAACAAAGTGCAATGACAAAGGAAACATGAAACTGAGTAAGAAATTGAAACCAGCTGAATTCTATCTGACCGACTCATTCCAAAAGGTCAACTGTCAAGGTCACTTGGACAGTGCTACATGTCTCAAAACAATAAAATTTCTATTCAATCAAACTATCAGGAAACTCCTTTTTTGTTTGATTAATATAAACTCTGACGAAATCTACCTGTCAAATCAATAATAGGTCAAAATGGCCTGAAGTTTGTTCAGCTCTGGTATTGATTTTTTTTTATTTATTTTTTTTATAGTCATTAATTCAACTATGACTCTGAAACAATATTTAGGGATGATTCCTGATGAGCCCTGCCTGTCACACCAAGTTATGAATCAAATTGTTAGGGTCTGTTTTTAATTTGCATCAGATTATTTATTTATTTTGAAAAATGAGCATCCTGCGCTGAGACAAAGGGCATGCGCTGCTCCTCGGACAGCTCTTGTTTTACTTTTATAATGACCATATAATTTGGAATAACCAACTAACAACTTGTGACAAATGTTGCTACTATTTACCATGTAACATTAAATTCGTTACACTTGTCAGTCACTATCTATACTACATGTATGATCAAAATAAACGATTATGTCATGAACAATGTCGAAAGTTTATCAAAGAGCTGCATGCACTCGACCGGGCTGCATGCGCACGCGCACACGTATAATATTAATAATACGAGGAAAACGTCCGCGTTTTTCTTCGTTTTAAAAATAACATAACGTTAAATGTAATGCTATCCTACTGTCGCTTAATTGATTAACTTAATTTCATACTAAATTTATTGACAGTTTATTTTGTTTAAAAAAAGGAGAAAGAAACCTTGCACTTTGACGACCTACTTTACATTCCTAAATTCTGTCTTAAAATTGGGATCAAATGTACACAATTGCATACATTTACATAAACTGGTTTAACAATTATGTTAGATCTATTTAAGTTTAAGTACATCCTTAAGCATGATAATTTAGGTTCTTATCTTTACTATATTTAGGTCTACATTATATACTCACAATTAATGATCTCTGGAAAGACATGGTGTTATTCATAGGTAAATATTGTTTTACAAATAAATAAAACATGTTAGATTTTTTTTATGTGTGTAATGTCACAGCTCTTTAAAACGGAAATATTAAGTAATTTAAGAGGCAAACGATAAAACATTTTATAATAGTACTGTAGAAATTATTTATTGTAATGTTTGTATAATTAATATCCTGAATTTATGATAGGGGGGATTACATAGAAGTGAAAATTGGTCTCTTGTTCTATTCGGCTAGCTGCCGATGTGCGTCTGTCTAAAATTAAGCAAGGTAAACGGCATTGTGTTAAAGGAACTCCACTGAGGTTTATAAGCCTAAAAACATGAAATTTTAATTTTTCACACAGATAAACATGAGCACTTAAAACATAAATATTAATAAAATATAACCAAAATTTTTGAAGAAATACATTGAAAATCATATGTTTGTGCTATTCTCAGTCCGATTTGAGTTAAAAGCGTTTCGAACGCTTTTCGATTTTGGGTCATTTTTTAATAATATAATTATTATTCTGGAAAAACGGAGCAAGCTAATGATCTGAAATTTTGCACATAAGTTATAAGTATAGATCTACATCAAATAGAGTAATAATCTCAAAAAAATATTTCCAGTCCAGTCATGTCAAAAAACCTCAGTGGAGTCCCTTTAAACTTTCCCACAAACATATAATATTATTTTGTGATCTATGGAATCAAGCATACAATGTTTTGATATTCTTACAGCTACTCAGAGTTAGTTTAAATAAGGTGTATCTTTGCTTGTAGTTTCACGTATAGATTGACTTTATTCTCTATAACCGATTACTAACAACAAAATACAACATTTTTTTCAAGGTCTTACAATTCTGGTACACTTGGGTGTGACCGAAGCCGCCCACCATGGTACGTTTATACATTTCATATACATTGTATGATAAATGTTTATAAACATTCCGAAACATGCAAGATTGTCATAATTGTATTTTATCAGCCTGTATATTTAGTGCTATGTTAAATTACATGGGGAAAGCACAAAATATTACTACTGTGTATTTCCATTTTTTATCATATATATCTCATTTCGTAACGTTTCAACCATCGGTTTAAACCGCCCTTGAACACGGTCAATAACAAAGACTTTTAACGTTTTTACACAAATATGGCATCTATCTTAATCATGAAAAATTGTCTGTGAAGTTGAAATTCAATTATTGTCAGCGATGATGTAGTTCAGTAAAGTATAAATTTCAAATTCCATTAAGCAAGATGGAGTCTCCATCAAATAATGCAAGCTCTAATGTCACCTAATTACAGTGAATAAATGCATGCAGTAATTTCGTTTTATAGGTTTTATATTGTTAATAATAAAGCTGCATCTTTTCTATATTTTTAAAATAAGAAAACTAAATAGCCTTCAAGCTTGATTGACAATTTTTCAACTATTAGTTGACGGAAACTGGGGATCATGGACAAACTTCACTGATTGTTCACGCACGTGCGGATTTGGAACACAGTCTAGATGGCGCTATTGTAACAACCCGAAACCCAGTCATCATGGCCAATATTGTGTAGGGGAGCATCACGAAACTCAGCCGTGTCACATCAAAGGATGCCCAAGTAATGTTGTTGTTGTTTATTTTTGTTGTTTTGATTTATGTACACTAATGTTCTGTTCGGGTTAGCTATATGCAGTACGCATTTGTTACTTGCAGAGTTTTGTAAGAACCATAATGTAAACGAGCATTTTATACTGAACTTGAACTAATATAGGTCACGTCGCTTAGGGACCACATGTGTTGCTAATTCTACATCACAACTTAAATGACAACTTTGTAATATTAGAGATAGGCATTGCTTCGAGGAACAAATTAAACATAAATTGCTGATCATGAGTCCAGCATAACTATGTGCATACGTATAAATCATATAACTGTAATGTTTGAATTTTATATTACTAGTATTAATTAACAGGATGTAGGATTTAAAGGCAATTTGTTATTACAGTAAATGGTATATGGGGTCACTGGACGTCCTACCAGGCCTGCTCGGTAACATGCGGTACTGGAAAAAAATCCAGATATAGGTACGTTTAGAATGCGCTTATGTAAATGAGATTCCAACATTAGCCTCGTTTTGGATTCTATTTCATCAAGGGAAGTAAATGCTTATTGACAGAAACATATGTTTTTATTTTACTGGCAAATAAATAGAATATGTGAGAGAATATTATTCAGTCAAAAGTCTACAAATCTACAGCATGGTTTGGACTTCATTATGATATGCTGTTGATTTAGTCTTATAACGTATGCAATGTTATTGAAACCCTAGCTACTGCAGAATATATTATGTCGAGATCAACCGACATATCCGTGCTATCCGATCATGTTGCTTTTCAGTCAGTACGTATTTTTGAATTTGTACCAACGATTATGAATGGTTTTGCCCAGAATAAAAATGGAAAAAGTTCATTTCAGATATTTAGTGGAAAGGGCTAACTATTAAACTATATATTAAACTTTTGTCATTATGATAACGATACCTTTGCTCAACTGTTTTATTTTATATTCGATTTGAAGTCTTCGTCGTTTAAAACTTTGTTCAATTCCGTTTTAGATATTGCAACTCCCCTCCTCCGGCATATGGTGGTCAGGATTGCGCCGGACATAGCTACGAGACGCTCTCGTGCTCATCAAATGCATGTCCCGGTCATACAGGTGTTGGTAAGAACTTTCACATGCTACAATACGTAACTAGTTTACTTCTTTAATCAGTAAACAACGGATCATTTCACAATAAACAATGTGATTGTTAAGATTAGTGATGTCCGTTTCTTTGACACAATATATTATGATTGTTTACATTAATGCTTATAATAACATGTATAATCTGATTGTTTAACTTTACTAATTAACCAATAGTTAACCTATCAACACTTTTTCTTACAAAGAATGTCTAGACTCTTCGACACGTAAGACATTATTTGACACGTGAGAACTATTTATCAACAAGAAATGTCTTAATTGTAATTTATATATATCAAATACAGTGAACGGTGGGTGGGGAGCATGGTCGTCTGTATCAGCCTGTACTCACTCTTGTGGAGGTGGTACACAAACAAGCTACAGGTATTGTTTCTTGGACGAATCATTTGCTTTTTCGATACATTTTTCTTATCAGTCTTACATAACATTTACTGCTAAGCTTCGTGTAATGAACTTTGGTTCCTTTGAACAAGAACAATGTTCATTACCAGCATGATGGTATCAATGTGCAACAATTTAGTTACTAACGGTACAGAACAATGCCAGATTGCATAAACTAGCTGGCATGGATGTATATTAGGTGGAAAGCCATGCTTCATTTTTTATTATAAACAGACATCTGGATTAATTTGGTTTACTGATTTATTTGACAAACGTTAAATTCTCACAATAAATGGTATTCCTTATTATTTGAAACAAGGCTAACACAACTAAATGTATCACCTTGACATTGTGGCTTATTGCTTGCAAAAATCCTTTAAACATTGATTCAATCCTAGCTTGTTTTGCTGTTGTCTTTACCAGGGTATTTCAAATAGATTTGAAAGACTCTGCCGCCTTTACACGCTCGTATTATCAAAGCATTTGACATTTTAAAGGCTATTTATTATAGTATTACGGCTACATTTAAACAAAGTATTACATTATTACACTATAAAAATAAGTATATATTCTAAAATACCATGATAAAATGCTAATGGGAGTAAACCATTTCATTGACTTCATCTTTTCATGCATTTATGATAATTTAAGATCCGCCATAGTTTAACACACGTATCACGAATATATATATCCGAACAAATTTATATAACCATGTTTTAAATCATCTTCTTGGATGTACAAGAAAGAAGGAACATTTTCTTAAACTTTGAACGTTTCTTACTTAACAAACATAGATGGTGTGATAACCCAAGACCTTCCGGAGGCGGCCATGCTTGTCCCGGAAATGACGTGGCGACTCAAACATGTAATACGCAATCATGTCCATGCCATGGGCCATCTTGTCCAGGTTTGTGGGATATTATTTTTGTTTTCAAGTTTTGGATTATCAAGTTATCTTTTTAGAATGTTTACGGAACTTAACAGAATAAACGGTTTATTCAAGACTTGTACGCCCCCTTGGATAAAACAGATAGCGTCCTCTTTAGATGTCAATATATAGCATTGTCTAATTTTATGTATCGAAAGACACTAACAATTGAGGCCAGGAAATGTACAGGAAAAGAGGACATTATTTGTTTATCTGCCATAAATCATAAACATATGTTTAAATTAATCTAGCATTTAAAATTTTCTCACCACGACTTAAAGATCCTGTAACACAAGTTTTATGGCTTTATTTCATAAATATGATGCTCAAATTAAGATTTGTCAATATTGTAAGTTCAAATAAGCATTATTTATAAAGATATTACCAAATTTAACATTTCATGTAAATAAAGTAATTAGGTAATTAGAAATTTATTTTCTATATATTCTAGAAATGAATGCATATAGTTTATTGATTAAATATAACGTGCACACATATTTGCAGTACATATTTTACATATTCTTCGATGTTTGAAAATTGTTTTATTTGCATAATTATATACATACATACATGTATATAATTTCTTGTAAGTGTGGTACAAACTCAATATCAAACACAAAACATATAGGATCTTTAATAAACTGTGAATATTTTAAAGTCTAGCTCCGTTCAAACGGATACTCTATGAATATTATGACTGTAAAAACGTAATGATTGTCATTATTTCACACACACAAACTATTTCATCATCAATAAACAGTTAACGGAGGCTGGGGTAAATGGACCGCGTTCCAGGCCTGTTCTAGGACATGTGATACCGGTACACAGACTCGCTACCGCTATTGTAACTCCCCACATCCGGCTCACGGTGGTGCACAGTGCGTCGGCGACAGCTACGATACACAGAACTGTTTCCTGGCGGCATGTCCCGGTTCTTCAGGTATTTATCCCAACGGCACGTCCCAGATTTTCAGATATTTATCCGAGCGGCATGTCCCGGATTTAAAGGGTTTTTATCCAAGCGGCATGTCCCGGATTTAAAGGGTTTTTTTTTTCCAAGCGGCATGTCCCGAAGCTTAAGTTATTTATAGATGTAAAATTCATGTATAATATTGCATAGTCGCGTAACATTCGCATATTTTGTCAAACATGCCTTTGTTTATACCTTATCGGTTCTTCGGGATCATTGATTTCCATTACATTTCGATGTTGAAATTTGAATATCGCTTTAGCCGATGTTTAGGAACGTGAGCAATTTCGCACTTTTTACATCATCTCTGATAATCAAACTTAATCAAACCGATGTAAAAGCTAAAACTCGCATATAAACTTTTACCAACCTAGCTGATGACCCTGCAAAATGTACGTGGAATAGATGTTTTCAATTTTGCTGAGCTAACAGTCCCATTAAAAAGTAGCAGGGTTGCATATTATAAGCTAAATAATTGTTACACCGATTATGTGAATGAAATTTTTAATAAAACACCAAAAGCACATGTTCAGCATATACTATTATTGGCATGTTAAATGTAATTCCCTCTTTACAATTTTATACACTTAGAGAGATTATTTTTAAATGTCTTTATTTTAAGTTATCCATGGCGGTTGGGGACTTTGGAGCACCTACAGCACTTGTTCAAAGACTTGTGACACCGGGTATCAATCTAGATACCGTATCTGCGACAGTCCGAAACCCAGCGCAAACGGACATCCATGTCTCGGTATTTCTCAGCAAACAATCGCCTGTCACACAGAGTCTTGCTCGTGTAGTGGATCCGATTGCCCAGGTAACGGGTACATTAATCATTAATCATTAATCACGGGTACTGTTAATCAATGCCCTATTCTAATGTACTGTTTCACATAAAATTATCAAATACTGCTATTCATTTTATATTTTCTTTTATTTCTGTTTAATCATCCTTGTGGCTGAGGGTTTTCCTTTTACGGATTGAAGCATTAAATTACAGCCACCGTTTATCCTAGAGTAATCCTAAAATGCAAATGGATCCCAATTATTGGAGTGTATGCATATCTAAGCTCCAGCAGTTGAGGTGGTTTCGATCCCTATTTAAGCTTAGTAAGTTTGTAACACGTGAGATTAGCCAAAATCATGTTTCCGTTTTGGCGCCATATTACCCTAATTGTGTTGGTGCGCCGATAAACTAAACAAACAAATCCTTAGAGGCACTAAGTGCTCAAAAGGAGCTTATTTATAAAATCAGTGAAGTGTCTTTACAGAAGAAAAATTATATAAGACTTCGTATTGTCTTTCGTTTTCATTCCTTTCCGTTATATAAATGTTTTGTTGAATGCTTGTATGCAAATTAAATGTATAATATCTCTTTTGTTACTATTTATAGTAAATGGCGGGTGGGGCAACTGGTTACAGTTCTCTGCTTGTTCTCACACATGCGGGTCGGGTACCAAAGCAAGATGGCGGTACTGTAATAATCCTAGACCAAGTCATGGAGGCCAACCTTGTAATGGAAACGAGAAAGACACACAACCGTGTCAAATGACTGATTGCGTAGGACCGTCACCAGGTGAGAGAGACTTGCCAAATTGAATTTGATTTTTATCAAATCAAACATAGAGATACATTTTGCTGCCTTACATAAAACACATGAAAATATTAGTCTTTAAATTCTCATATTCAAAACTTTTGTTTACTTGCAAAATGTGCTATAACAAGTTCGTCGTTTGACTAAAGGGTTATTTGCGTTTCATGTTAGGTAAATTATATTAATTGTTCCACTTTCTGCCCAACGATTTTATAGTTGCATTGCTTATGTTATCTTGGAAATGTTGTCCACTTCTTTGTTTTTAAAGATTTTTAGCAGGTGTATACAAATTAAAACTACACTGATAACACATATAAATATCAGTGTACTTAAAATTTGAAAGTTTGAAACTGCTTAATGTCATATATATTTATTGTTAAATTGTGTATGTGTGAATTTTAAATAGATATGGTACCCTGCGTGGATCCGTAGCAAAACAAACAAATAAAAAAGTTCGTATTTTTCAATTGTTCACGCTACGGAATATCGCTTAAATCCCTCTGAAACAAAACAAAAGCAAAACAAACACATAAGAAAGTTCGTATTTTCAATTGTTTATGCTTTAATCGCCCTGAAACGTTCTCCGAGTAGTCTATACATGTACCGGATGTACATCCTACTGCTGGTAGGACACAAAAAAGTGGTAGACGGCGTAACTAAATTGAAAAAAGGCTTACACTGTTACGTAAAAAAGTAATCTATCATGAAATAAGAACTCTTTGTTCTGGAATATGCTTTTCACTGTTTTAGTTGATGGCGGTTGGACAAGCTGGTCATCTTGGGATAAATGCACACAGACATGTGGGTCGGCAACGCACTCAAGACACCGAAGCTGTACCAACCCAACACCGGCCCATGGAGGGAGCACCTGCTCGGGAGTTTCTACGCAATCACAGAGCTGTCATCTGCAGGCTTGTCCTACAAGTATGCCCGATTCTATTTTATTTTTGTATTATCTTTTTTTATTTATTTATTTTTGCATCTATTTGTAAAGCATGCAATCCTTCAATAAATGCAGAATGAAAGGCGTATCCTAGTGTTAAACATGAATATCCAACTGTAGTGAAATGAAAACTGCAGGATGTCTGTAGTAAGTATTTAAATCTTGCATGATCTTAGTATATCATTACATAATTATTCTAAGAAAAAGTATATGCGGATCAAATATTCATTTTAATTTGTTGTTGTTGTTGTCGTTTTTTGTTGTTGTCTATAAACAAAAATACATTAAATTAAGTTCAAACTCAGCTTTTAAAACTGCATCTATATAACGAATGGTACGAATCTTGCATGAGTAAAACAATATGCTCGTTAAATAAGTGACATCTGAAAAAAATTCTTAGGTTATTAATCAGCGAAACCGGAATAAATCTACTTGTCATAAATCAGTAAAACTATAAATCGGTAGTATGTATATATCTGAAAACTGACTTATACGAGTATACGAGGGAAGTCGGAAGAACGTTTCACGTATATCCTCTGTATATGTAGAAAATACGGTTCCGTATATCCTTGGTATATTTAAAGTATACTAAGGATAACAACCTTCATAAAGTCAGTATACGGTATTTCATTCTGCGTATACTTCAAAAGTACGAACAAATATACTTACATGTATATGGGGCAAATACAGAATTCCGTACATGCCTGATGCATATACGGACTTCCCGTATACCCCGGTGTTCCCTATACGGACTCGTATACTTGGTCCGTACATTCGACAAATACATCCCGTACACACCCGTATATGTCAAATATACGGGACCGTATATTCCCGTATATCAGTAGATTTTTCGCAGTGACATATCAGAAAACTGACTTATACGAGTATATGAGTGATGTCTGAAAAACGTTTCATGTTATATTATATCAGTTTTACGTTCAATTAACAGGTTCATGCGGTACGACGCTTGTAACTGGTACAACTACTAAAATTGTTGGCGGAAAACTTGCGCAACATGGCCAGTTCCCCTGGCAGGTGCATAAAACCTTTTTTTTATTAACTGGTGATTCGAAACATGATAAATTCATTGTGCGTTTCCAATTTTAAGCTTTGTTAAGTTGAGAAACTAGATATGATCTGGAATTATTTAAGAATTGCACTATTTGCTACTTACTAATTTGTAAAAGATCTTGCGAAAATGTTTGACGATGAGATACGTTATAAGTTTGAAAATTTTAAAAATAAAGAAAAGGTACACGACGAAGGAAATTTTCTCTAGAGATTGTTAGTTTAGAGATTTTAACAGCTTATATGACCCAGTTTAAACGATTGTAAACTGATATATCTAGCGATGCTGAGCGATGGTTATTTTGCAACAATGGTGTTTTTTGTTGTTTGTTTTAGACAACGTTCTTATAACCTGACAAAAATCTTAAGAAGGAAACTATGATACAGCACAATTTATTTTCTTTGAAAGAAAATAAAATAACTTTATAAGTTAAGAGAAGTCGATAATATACAAGAGAAAGTGCAAACGCCATGATATTTCAATGAAAAATGACGCTGCAAACATCCAGAATTATAAGATATGAAATAAAAACCTACTCGAATTGTATCTTTGTATATAATCTTACGTTTATTCTATAATTTTCGCTTCTATGTTAGGTTAACATCAATTCATATTTTACATGTTTAGATATCGTTGCGATATTTCGGAGAACATTTATGTGGTGGAACACTTATCAGCGACCAGTGGGTTCTGACTGCCGCTCACTGTTTTGAAGAGTAAGTACTGAAGAATTTCGGGATAAAACGTTGTTTTTAACTGACTTTATTAAGTTTATTTTAAATTTGAAGAGTTTTAAGCACCAAACTTGGACTTTTCTGGTGTTCTGTATTTCCACTTATCTTCAGAGTGCAGTGATGTAACTTTTTACGAAATAACTTATTGACAAGTTCAAGTCTCAATTTGGACTATTAATTGTTACAAAAGTTACCCTCGCATTTATCTTCAAGTTCTAATTTTGCAATTTATAAATGTAACAATATGAACACAGTAATTTTGGCATTTATCTTCAAGGACTACATATGTAATCTATAAATTAGTTCAATCTTTTTTTTTATTGGCATGTTAGATAAGTTTGTTCGTGTATCACAATGTAATAATGCACGACAGTTTATCGTTCAAAAGCTTTGCAATTAATCTCTCAGGCCTATTTCATATCTACACATTTGGAATCGAACCATGATTATTCTTCAACAGTTCACTAAATATTGATATATATTTCCTAAACAAAAAACGCTTGCCGTATAAATGTTAATTTGATTTGAATGTTTTAGCCTCGGAACGACGGCACGAGAATGGTCAGTAGGTGTTGGCATTCAGGATCAGAAACACGTCTATGGTAGTAACGTCATACATGCCAGCCATATCTATGTCAATGAACACTACGACTCGGACAAATCCAAGAATGATATAGCTCTTATCAAGCTTAACAAGAAGATAGATATTACAGGGAAGTAAGTGTTGAATAATTGCTAAAGCGAAGTTAGTGTTGAATACAAGCGGAAGTGTGTTGAATGCAAGCGATAGTAAGTTTTGAATGCAAGCGAAAGTAAGTGTTGACTGCAAGCAGAAATATGTGGTGACTGCAAGCGGTAATTAGTGTTGAATGCAAGTGGTAGAAAGTGTAAAATGTAAACGTTAGTAAATGATTTTAAGAGGGAAATAAGTGTTCAATAAAGAGGAAAGTATTTATTATATTACAATGAATTACGTGTGATTGATAAGAGGAAAGTACGTGATTGATAGATGGAAAGTACGTGATTGATAGAAGGAAAGGTCGTGATTGATAGAAGGAAAGTACGTGATTGATAAGAGGAAAGTACGTGATTGATAAAAAAAAGAACGTGATTGATTAAAAGGAAATTGTGTGATTGATAAGAAGAAAGAACGTGATTGATAAGATGTAAACATGCGATCGTTTAGAAGAAAGTACGGGATTGTTGATTGATTAAAGGAAAATACGTGATTGATAAAAATAATAAAATATTGAATAAGAAGGAAATATGTGATTGTTGATAAAATAATAAATAAAATATGTAAGAAGAAGGAAATACACACGTTTAAAAGGAGGGGAAGAAAATTATAATAAGAAGGGAGTCAGTTTTTGTATTTTCTGATCGTAAGATCAGTAAATACATAGCTAACATCCACGGTCTAACACAAAATTTCCTAACAGTCCTAACAACGCAAAGTAGTTCTCACTCAAAACTGCTTAAAAACCAGCAATTTAAAAGAAAGAATAATTTTTAATGTAGGCATTTAACGAATTACAGTGCATTAAAAGTTTAGATTAGTCAATAGAAATATGAGGTTACAATCACAAATTTCGCGGATGAATATCTTTTTTACCCAATGAAAAATTTCGGCTATTTCCGTAAAGCTTCGGATTATCATGAATATCATTTTAATCAATGAAAATGCTATTTTTAGCTATGCCGATTACCGAATACTCCAGAGCGTAGTACACAAATAAATCTGACTGTCGAGTAGTGGAATATATACATGTCGGACTGTTTTGGCGAGAAGATTTTCGATAAATTATTTTCATCAGTGTTAAACAACACGTTTATCGTGAACAAAATACCTCGAAATTAATAAGGATTAAAAACACGAAATGGAAATTCTCAATTTAGAATTACATAATGTATTCGTTTTTATTCAAGGTTCATATGTATAATTTCGCCGTGGTGCAGAGGTAAGCGGTCTCGTTGAGGGTGAGAGAGGCCTATGGTTCAAATCCTAGTCGAGGCAATTCTATTTTTTTCATGCAAATTTCCATATGTAAATCTCAAACTGTTATAGAAGAAAATCAAAACGCTGTCGCTGCGTAAGATGAATTATAGTATATAAAAATAAACTTATACAGGAAAGTACATAAAGATAGTCAGTATGATTTAGATTGCAAAGATCAGAAAATACCATAAAGCTGCAGCCCTTTGATTGATACTAGGAAAGTATGTTATTAAGAAACAAATAGGATAAAGTGATTTATAAGTGTAGTGGGGCAAATGCTAGATTTGAGAGAAGTAAGTTATTTATAAAAGAGAACAAACTGCCTTATCATTGAAAGAAAAAATTGCTTGATCAATATCATGAATACTTGACATTTTTATGGTGCAGATTTGTTCGACCAGCGTGTTTGCCAAAATCACAAGATGCGTTTGATTCCGACACGTGTGTGGCGTCCGGATGGGGAGCAACTTATTACGGTAAATAAGCTTTGTGTTGCATTTCATATCAGCGGGATCAGATTCGTTAATTTTGTGTAAAATTAAACACTTTTCAGCAATATTCTATCCACAAAATTGCATCAAGACAATATGACTCATCATTTTCACCTGCATACATTGCTTTCCTTATAGTTGATAGGACGATTGATTTGAAATTAATTTCTTGCATTTCGATGTTTACATTTAAAAAGCACAGTTTTCCCCATGGATTTATATCTTTTATCTGTATAAAAATAAATATGAGTTAAGTAATTTAATTATTTTATGGATTAAAAACACGCTTATTGCATTTATTGCAGAGTTTATGTTTATAAATAAAGGTAGCAAATCTGTAAACAAAGAAGTAGTTTGACCTCCATACAAAATACGTATTCACTATAGCTATACAAGAAGAAAAATGATTGCTCAGGTAGGTATATGGCCAATCAGTAACTCTTTGGACGTTTCTACATGACACCAGAAATGAAAATATATTACAAAATAAAAACAAAAATATTTTTGAGGCTGAATGTGCTTTTAAGCACTACGTTTGCTGTATTTTAGACGACGATGGAAATGCTCCAGGTACCCGATACCTCATGTATGTTAACCTGGACACTATCACCAACTATAGATGTAGATCTCTAATGGGTTGGAACAGCGTCTTCAACACAAATTTGTGTGCTGGGGCTATTCAGGGTGGAGGGAAAGACACATGCCAGGTACTAATTTAGTATTTATTTATTTTCATCTGTTTATTTATTTTTATGTTTTCATATTATTATATTCACTTATTTTTTTTTTATTTCAATAAATTTTCCTTCCTTCATTCATTCGTTCGTTCATTCATTCGTTCGTTCGTTCGTTCGTTCGTTCGTTCGTTCGTTCGTTCGTTCGTTCGTTCATTCATTCATTCATTCATTCATTCATTCATTCATTCATTTTTATTATTGATTGATTGATTGATTGATTGATTGATTGATTGATTAATTGATTGATTGATTGATTATTGCTTTACAAAATTCCAAGATTTACAGAGGCAATATAAGTAAAATCAAACTTTCCAAGCACAGAAAGCACTTTCAGTGTTCCATGTTATAATAATTCACTCTTAATTAATACGCTGAATATCAACAGTATTGATTTAAATCATACCGATTTCAAAGCATAAAAAATAACAGAAAGTTAACTTTCTTTCTAAAATATTATTATTATAATTATTATTATTCTCCCAAAATTTCGAGATTTGAGCTGTTTAAATAGTTGCATAGATCCCTTTATACCCTCATAATATAAACTACTAACATTAAAGGGAGATTCCGGAGGCCCACTGGTATGTCAGAATCACGGTGTTTGGGAGATTGCCGGCGTGACGAGCTGGGGTGACGAATGTGGTAAGAGTATGAGCCCCGGCGTGTACACCAGAGTGACGTCATATCTTTCCTGGATTCAACAGAAAATGCACAGCGGATAGCAGAAACAAACGAGTGCACTTTTCGAATGATTTCCTATGCAATCACTAATAAAATGGTTAATCTGAAACCTCTTCATTCCTCATTTTTTTTATTATGTACAGTAAATTTCACATGGCAAACACGATCATATCTAATTGTCTATTTTAATTAACAAAAGTTTAAAATATATGTCAAACTACCTTACATTTACTGTTAACGTATGTAATCACTTATTAACATAATTTCTTTATTTATAGATGCCGTTACAGTGCACCGATTCTTTAACTTGTTTTACATAATGCGAAAAGAGGGAAAATAAAGTTTTTGTTTGTTTGTTTCATGTTACGCCTTTTCCAACAGTATTTCAGTCTTATACCTCCCTCCGCGCTAAACTTCCAAAGCATCTCCCGGGGATCGAACACACGCCAGAGAGGTAACTGGATTATAAATCATCGACTCTAACCCCTTGACCACGGAGTCGGTTGAAAATAAAGTTATTTAATAGTGATATGTTGAAACAAATTACACAATCTATTGTACATCTTATAATCCAAGTGTCACATTTACTGGTAGAAAATGTTAAAACAATTGCCTTTGGCTTTCATCAAAATATTTTTACGAATAACGATCAAGATTAACTATGCAATGATAATAATGATAGTAATGGTAATAATAAAATATAAATGATGCCTCAAGCACTTACAAACTTGCTTGCGTGATTTCAGTCCGCCATATTCCCTAGCCATGAATGATAACTCCATGTTTCCCTGTCTAAAATTCCACCAAATTATTCCCCTTTCAAATGAACTCAAAGAAGGGACCTTTTAAAAAGACTTTGTATTTATTTATTCGATTTTTTGTTCAGAAATGGACAATTTTTTCTTTACCTTTGTATAATTTGCTTTTATCTACATATGGTTCCTATGGTAAACATATGAGTTTTGATGGTAAACAAATGAATTTTCTGAACCGAAAGTCATTTAACACACAGCGTTGCTGTCATCACATGTACACAATACATTAAATCGGTAAGAATATTGAGATATTTGTTTGACTATCAGTTTCAAATGCAAAATATTAATATGGAAAACATCTATGTGTAGTTTATGTGTATTGTTTTAATGTGTTTGTCTGATATTTTAGTTGAAAAAGCCATGTACACTTAGTGTCGCTTCATAGCAACGGTTTAAAACGTGAGCGGTAACTGAACGAGATATGGCAAAGCGCATGCTCGCGCACTGACTTCAGCTCAATCGAAATACTGCATATACATAAAGCGAAAGTTCGTAAGTGTCAAGTCAGAATTGAATAGTAGTTCAAAAACAAACCTTATTTCTGTGGAATGAAATGGAAACCCACATTGTATTAGTGATTTGTGATGGATAATTGTTTCATAAGGTTTTAATGATATGTTTGTTAGTTCATCAAGACTTTAAGTATGGTATCTGAAACATAATTCATATTGATAATCGATGGTTAGATTAATAGAAATTGTGTGAAGAATGTTATATTAAGCAGTTTTCAAAGTAGATACTATTGCTAGCCATGTTTGTTTTCACTAAGTGGGTCCTAAGTGAAAGAAGGCCAAAATTCATATAACAACAAAGCTTACAATGTCTAAAGATGAACCATTTGCAATAACACTTCCAGGTGTCTGTTTTAAGGACTAATATAAACAAAAATAAAAATGATAACAATAAGAATATTTAACTTGAATGTGATACATTTTCAAAGACAAAGCAAAATCCGTTGTGTAACAGTGTAGTGTGTCTGTCGGTCACGTATACAAGAAATAGATAAAAGGTGTTAAAATGTACTATACACAGCATGGAGGCATTATTTTTGTCCAAGGTCAGATTTACTACTTTCATTAGATTTAAGTTTTGCAAGTATTTTGTGTTTGATACAAAAAATGCGTTTGTCTCCACGACTGGAAAAAAAAGTATAAGGTGAAAAACGATACAAAGAAAGTGTTTTTCAGAGAAAAGTGTTAGGTGAATATTGATAAAAAAAAGTGTAAGGTGAAGAATAATTCAAAGAAAAGTTTTTGGTGAATGATAATTATGAAAATTATAGTGTTTGATGAATTATGGAATTATGATAAGAAGAAAAGTGTTTGTTGAATAATGATACAAAGATTAGTGTTTGGTGCAGAACATTACAAAGGATGAATAATACAAATGAATAATGATACATATAAAAGTGGTTGGTTAAAAAGATTTTAAGAAATTTGTTGATGATTTAATGATTCAAAGATAAGTAAGTGTTTCATGACAAAAGATACATAGAAAGAAAGTATTGGTCGTTAATGAAATGAAACAGTTATGTTTTCTTAAACATTAATACATATATAACAAATATGTTTGTCAAGAAACATCGCAGAGAAAAAAATGTTTACAATCAAGGCAAAAAGCAAACTGTTCTGTGATGGGTATTTATTGTCTCATGATGTAAATAGAAATGACTGTCGACTAAACAGAGCTCTGTTGAAAATAATCGATACATATAAAACGTCCACCGATAGTATGTGATTCTTTACTTTTAGCTTACAATTGGATCATTTATTTTTTGACAACTAATGCAAATAGACATTATATTTTCTCGACAATTATTGGACAAAAAATATCTGTTTGAAATTGTTGGACATAAAATTTTGTTGATTATTACCGACATTGTCATTAATAATGACAATAGACAACTATGGCAGGGTTGACTATCAGTGTAAAAAAAGGAACATAGTTATGTCAACTATTTAAGTAAAAAACAATTTGTTGACGAATAATAAATATGATTATACCAAGTATACAACAGTAAGTTATGTACATGAAAGTATTTTTCACCATAAAATTTAATGTAGAAGATAATATGTTTATAGACAACTGATGCCGATGCAAACACAACAGCTCCTTTTAACTTTCAGGCTAACAAACAAATCACAATTTTTATCTATATACATTTTAAAAATATACAATTGAAGTCGCATCAATTTGAATTTGACCTGCGTTTCTTTGCAGGGCTTGTCCGGGTCACGTCAGTCACACATTGGATGAGTTGCACTATCGTCTGCTACTTCTGTAAACAATATTATAGATTAATCATACAAGGAAAGACATTTCTTACACAACACTTTTCAAATTCATTTTAGGATGACTTGTTTGTATTTAAAGTAGGACACAAAACTTCTAAATATCTGGAAAAAAGTGATCCCTCGGAAGCATTTAAAGAGCAAAATTACATGAAAATTGCAGACTCGGTTTGATTGAGTCTGTTCATGAAGGATAATCATAAAGTGCAAATCTTTCATGCCCCGCCTAGCACCGGCTTGAGCAGTACTCAATTCTCAAAACTTAAAAGTGCTGAACTCAATTACTTTTAAGACTTGTAAGAAATGACAAGTTAAACTTATTGTTGTTTCTCAGAAATAATTTATGGAATAAAAGGGCATAACCTCATAGTAAATTTTATCTTTTACAGGTGGACTCGATAAATTCCATACATTTTTGAACATGTTATAAAAATGAATGTTTGTCAAAACATATGTGAGCAGGTACCATAGTTCATTTTTTTTATATAAAGTAACATTGTGATTTTTCATCTTCAAATTTAAGTAAATGTAGCCTTTCTGTAATGCTTTCCCGCCAAAAATACTTACATCGGCTAAAAACGTAGCAAATCGGTTATTTCCGAAACCTTCTTTATTGAAAATCTTAGGCATTAGATTATTTACAATCACTTATACTTTATATCTTCGTACGAAATTCCATTTATAGACAATTAAAATTCATCAAAGAGAAAAAGAACGCTCCGGAAATTACCGATTTATTACGATATTTGCCGATGTTAGAAATTTCTTGGCGGGAAAGCATTTAGTTAAGACTACCGTACCTTCATTTAGATTGTAAGCTATATACATGTTTCCGTTAGGCATACAATAACCACAGTGGCCTCCGCATCTCGCGGAGATCACGTTGTTGTCGGCGTTCCTTTGAAAATGAGTCATTCCTGCGCTCCAGCCAGCAGCAGTCCATTCAACCTATCAGAACAAATGTTTACTGTTTTACATGATGTTATCGTATTTATTTATTTCATTTAGTAAGAAAGTAAGTAAGTAAATTGTTTATTATCGTGACATGTTCATTAACATAATTACAAATATTTATATCATATAAGTAAACATAAAACGACGCACCCGGCCCGATGTGCCTATATGTCACCATGGCAAATGGTTTTCATAATAACATGCTATAAAATATGAAATACATTTATGAAATTTCTCAAGATGATATGGCGGGTTACTTCACAATTAGAATATGAACACTCATATCTTAAAGTCCTAATGACTCATGAATAAAGGTAAGCTTTCACAATATATTTAGCTGTTTTCCTAGGATGAATATTTAGTAAAAAGGCAAGTTTATCACCAGATGACAAGTTATTTATTTATTTATTCATTTAACATTAAAAAGATGATTGTAAGCAAAAAACAGTTAAAAGTACACTTTTTTACACTCATTTTTATTCTCTTTTTTCTGTTTGTTTGTTTTCTTTTTTGGGGGTGGGGATCTTGTTATTTTTATCATTATTATTATTTATTATTATTATTATTATTATTATTATTATTATTATTATTATTATTATTATTATTATTATTATTAAAAGTAGTAGTAAGTAGTACTAGCAGTAGCAGCATCAAGTAGGAATTATGTGATGGTCATTTTTTACAACATTTTGAAGCTGCAAAATGTTGATCATAACATTGCTATCTAGTCATCGACAAAAAATGCCACCATCTTTATGTTTGTGACCATGATATCGAATGCCTGAATATGCGACAGTAACTGTTTAAGTCCATTATTTAGTTATTTTTAGGTCGTTTTTACGAAATATTCTTACGAAATTTTAACTCGGCTGAACATAAAAAATAAATGTCATCAGTTGAATACCCCTATATAATTATCATGTCGAAATGTCATCAATTAAAATGTGTGTGTGTTTTTGTTGTGTTGTTTGTTTGATTTGTTTGTTTTTTGTTTGTTTTTATTTTGTGTTTTGTTTTATATATAATATACATACCTGGTCACTGAATTT